TCTCTCTCTCCTCTCTTTCTCTCTCTGTTTCTCTCTCTCCCGCCTGCTCCTCTTTCTACCGAGATGAACGTACCCGAATTTTACATTCTATCGCTACGTGAATATTCCAGCCTGTACCCAAACGTTCCCTTAAAGTCCAAATCCCCGATTTTCGTCAAAATTCGAGTTAAATATACCTTTTAGGAGATCACCACTCGCGTCGCCAAACACCTTTCTGATCTCATCAAAAACTAAGACGAAACATCCGTAAAATCCTTCGCATAATCGGATTATAGCCAGCGGCCCCGGCGGGCTAATTTTAGGCCCAAGGCCAAGGGGTCAAAAGTGGGCACCCAATTTTTTACCATTACGTTTTTTGAGGGGGGATAGATAATCCGGACGAGTGCTCCCATTTCGGGATGGCCCCCGGCTATTTTGGGTTCGAAAAAGCGTAATGCACGCGGGCTGGAAAGGGGGTTCTTGAGAGCTTTACGCGAGTTCGGGGGTCAAAATATAGGATTTGGGTCGTAACTTATCATTCGGGTATTTTTGGGAAGGGGGAGAACGAGCCAGAGGGAAAGATAGAGAGAGAGAGAGAGAGAGAGAGAGAGAGAGAGAGAGGGAGAGAGAAATAAAGACAGATAGAGTAAGAGAGAGAGGGAGAGACAGACAGAGAGGGGGGGGGGGAGCGTTAATTTTTTATAATTTCGGTTTCCGAGAAGATCTAAAGCCAAATATTCCGTTACACTCCGCAGTGGCATTTCTGCACCTGACAGGATCTACGCATCAAAAAAATCCGGCATTTCCTGGAAAGTGGTGGGTGAAAACCAGTGATCATCTCCAGGCATAGGCTTTAGAAAACCACGAACAACTTGAGGGTTTTTAACGTAACAAATACTGAAAATGCCGAAATTTTGAAGAATCGCGAAAAATTTGTATTTTTTTCATAAAAATTTGTAAAGTTTTCAGATTAAAAAAAGCACGACAAATAATTGGAAACACTTCCTCTGTTTATACAAAAAAAATTGGACCTTAAGGAAAAAGTTTCCATCGAAAAAATCGGTAAAAACGACAACACGTCGAATTCTAAACGCACTTTTCGAGGCCATAGATAGTCAGCAAATCCTAGTATGCAAATAATAAATAATTCCCGGAAAACTACCGTAATCCTGTAGGGAAATCGACTATAAGGACTATAGGCCGTCACATGTTTGGTGGAAGGGGGGAAAGCGAGACAGTGGCGTGTCGGGGTCCCGTGTGGGATTGGCCCCAATTTACGGTAGATTGGCCCCGGGGTCGGGGCCTTTTTCTCGAATCCTGGAGCAGGAGGGTGACTGTCGATAGATATACAGAGAAGAGGAAGGGGAACAGATGATAGTCACAAGGAAACTACGAACATTTCAGCGCTATCAGGTAGCAGATGGGGCAGGCTAGCAGGGATTCTTTGCGGAATTCCAGGGCAGGCTAGAGCTCTTTGACCAATTATTGGGAATTCGAGGGCATGCTAGCAGAGTTGCTTTGAGGAATTACTGGCAGGATAACAGCGATTCTGGGTGGAATTACAGGGAGAGATTCTTTGAGGAACTGGAGGGCGGGCTAGCAGATATTTTTGAGAAATTGAAGAGCAGGCTATCAGAGATTCTTTGAGGAAATTGAGGGCAGGCTAGCATGGATCATGGAGGGAATCGGGCGAGTGGCAAGCTAGCTGGGATTCGTTGCGGAAATGGTGGGCAGGCTAGCAGATATTCTTTGAGCAAATCGAGCGACTGGCAAGCTAGCAGAGCTTCTTTGAGGGATTGAAGCGTCGACTCGCAGAGATTTTTGCGGAATTTAAGGGCTACCTAGCAGCGATTTTTGAGGAAAGCGAACCGCGGACAAGCTAGCAGAGATTCTTGAAGAAATTGCATGGCAGGCTAGCAGAACTTCTTTGAAGGAGCAACGGCATACTAGCAGAGATCCATTGAGAAACTCGAGGGCCCGCTAGCGGGATTCAAATCGCCGGGGCTCGATTAAAATCGTCCTTGACACCCCAGGGGTGCAGAGAGGGGGCTCAATAAATTGTGGGATACGCGTTTTCATCAAGGCAAACTGAACTGGGCAAGGTCACCCCTGCCAAGTGCCCATACAAAGAATCCAATAATAACGGTCAGGGTTCAACACGGGGCCGGGAAATGGTGGGATACTGTAGAAAAAAATTACGGGCAAGAAGTCGATCATCTGAAAAATTTATTTTGCTTAGATTCAGAATCGAACCAGCAATTAAGGTTTTACAGTGGTACTGCTCTGTTAGCGGGGGTGTTTAGCGGACGGAGAAACTACTTTGCATCTTTGTTTGCTGGAGATAATATGTAACGCATTTTTATAGTGTTTTAGCAGTTTACTACTGGAAAAATTTTACCCCCCCCGCTAACAGCCCAGTACCAATTTTTTACAAATTTTTTTTGCGGAATCAAAACATATTTTCGAAGACATTTTTATGCGAAGTCTAACAGCACCGGATTCGACCGACAGCCTGCGCGTGGGTGCTGCTGAGTGCGAAGAATCTTTGGGGGAGGGCCAAAATATCGGAAACCGGCCAGTCAACCTCTAGAAACACACAGCGGGGGGCCAACTGGGAAGGAGAGAGGGGCAGAATTCTGCATCTGGAACACTTCCCCCTATACTCAAGTTTACGAAAATACACGGCAAAGGAGTAAAGATCTTTGAGGAATTCAGGTCAGGGTGGACTAGCAGGGCTCCTTTACGAACATCCTGGCAGCCAAAATGCCGACATTAATAATCTCGACAGCTAAAATACCGACAGTTTAATTCACACAGTTCAAAATTCCAACTGCCAAAGTGCCGACAAAAAAATTCCGAAAAGAAAACCGACAACCAGAATCTGAACAGGCCAAAATCCCGACAGCCAAAGTCTCGACAACGGAAATCACGATAGCTCTAATCCCGACGGGAAAATACCGACAGACCAATCTCGACAGATTCGTTGGCATTATTTTGAACTTCACTTCCTTTTAAACAGCTATCATGGATGTCGGGATTTTGCTGTCGGTATTAGGGCTGTCGGGATTACGACTGTCGGGATTTTGCGGTTTTCCGGACACATATCCTTGAGGATCATCGTTTTCCTTTTCCCAAAACATGCCCTTTCCGGCTCGATCCGTTCGTTCCAGATGATTAGCCAGTCCCTGCCCGCCTCCCCGGCCCGTTCTGATAAGACCGGAAATTTGCATATCTTTGTCGGTCTCTGTCTCTCCCTCTCTCCCTCTCGCCCTCTCTCTCTCTATCGCTCTCTCTCTTCGGGGGAGAGCTAGCCTATCATCCAGCTCTCTAAAATTCGCCCCAAATTTCCCCCCAAAAATGCTGAAACTCGCGTCATTTTCTAATTTTATGGTAATCGCCCTAACGTGCGTCCCAACGTTACCCCCACAACCAAGTTCGTGCTCAAAAAATTTGATTATGATGAGTTCCAGAATGCTGCAACGAGCTGACTGATGTTTTGTACCCGAGGGTCGAGCCGGTTGGAGATTATGATGGTGGGCTAGCGGAGATTCTTGGGGAATTGGAGGGCAGGCTAGCAGAGATCTCTGAAGAAATGGGGGGCAGGCTAGTGGGAACCCTTGAGGAATCCGAGAAAGAGAATTAGGCAAGGTAGCAGAGATTCTTTGAGAACCTGGAAGGCCAGGCTAGCAGAGATTCCTGGGGAATTAGGGAGCAGACTTCCGGAAATTCTTTGAGGGAATTAGAGTGCAGGCTAGCAGAGATCTTTGAAGAATTGGAGGGCAGGCTAGCAGAGATTCTTTGAGGAATTGGAGGGCAAGGTAGTTGAGATCCTTTAGGGCGTGGTAAGCTAGCAGTGACTCCCAGGGCAAGCCATCGGGGATTCCTTAGGAAAAGGCAGGCTAGCAGAGACCATTTTACAGAGCAAGCTAGCAGAGATTCTGCAGGAATTTCCTGAATTCAGGCTTGGATCAGTGCGCGATTCTGAGTTTCTACAACGACGAGCCGTGCCCAACTAACGGCAATATTATTTGTCAGGTTTGAGAAGCCATATCCCCCAAATTTATGCAAATCAGATTGCGCCACTGACGGGTGGGACGATCGCCTATCTGCAGTTGATTAATGTGGGTTGAACCGGAATTTTTTTTGTAGTTTGCAGTCTATAGTGTACTGTAGTTTGCAGTGCGCTTTGTAAAAACGTAGTACGTATATCTATATTTTTTTTCCAGGATGGTACGGTCATCTACCAGGCGCAAGACGTCACCCAGGTGGACGTCTTCGTCCACTGCGTCAACGGAAATTGGGTATGATTTCGATTTTTTGCCTTTTTGGGAATTAATACAATTTGTTTTTGTTTAAATTTATAAAATTTAACCCTATGTAAATTAATGAAATTTATACGTAATTTTTTACTAGTTTGACTTTTACAGGAATACAACGGCCAAGTGTTCACCACCGTCTCCTGCTCGCAGAACTGAACAAAATGTGCTCAAATTTGCATAATAAATAACTCTAATAAACGTTGTTTCTTTTGATTTTTACATAAAAACCAGAAAACAGTTGAAAAATATTAAAACTTATTTCAAATTTTACGGTGACGTTATTTAAAATCAGAATTTGTAAAATCGCGCCTAATTTGCATATTAAGAATATAGGATCACCTCAAAAAGTTTTTTTCGATGTTTTTCTGGACGCATCTAATTTGCATATTTAGGTCTGGTTTTCACGCAACCAGGCGGATTTTCACGTTTTTGGAACTAGCCTAATTTGCATATTTTTGACAACACTCAAACGAGCTAAAATAGCATTTTCATACATTAAAATAATAGTGTAATTTGCATAGGTAATTAGCATTTTTGAACCTCCGTAATTAGCATGTTTCCGGAGGTATAAAATAAATTTCGCGGCCTAAAACAGCATTCATACTTCTGTAAGTGTTTTGACTACACAGTGTTATTTCGGTATTTCGGTTCTACAGGGTAAGTGTACTGGATTTATGCAAATTTCGAGGATCCCGAATTCAGATGAACAAGAAGAAGGGCTTCTTCGCGCTGAACGACGCCGATTTCTGGGGGAATCGCGATTCGGATGAGGAGGAAGAGGAAGAGGAGGGAGAGAAGAAGCACAACGAGATGAAGGAGGACGAGAAGGAGCGTGAGGGGAAGAAGGACAAGTCGAAGAAGACGGCGTGGGCAGAGCTGGAGAAGGACGGCGAAAAGGAGAGGGAGACGGACAGGGATGATGGTGAGGATAGGGGGCAGGCTAGCAGAGATTTTTTGAAGATTTGGAGGGCAGGCTAGCAAGGATTCGTTGGGGAATCGAAGGGCAAACCCGCATTGATTCTTTGAGCAATTTGAGGCAGGCTAATAGTACCCCGTGAATTTGAGCAATGGAGGCAAGCTAGCGGCGATTCTTTGTGGAATTGGAAGGCAAACAAACAGAGATTCTGGAGCCTAAAACCCCCCAAATCTCAATTTTCAGGCGCCGACGTCGTCTCCAACGGCGACAAGGAGGAAGGCGGGGAATGGATTGATGTTCGAGGTATCTCTCTCTCTCTCTCTCTCTCTCTCCGTCTCTCTCCCTCTCTCTCCCTCTCTCCCTGTCACTGTGCCTTTAAACCCCGCCCATCTCCAGAGCGCTCCCATCATCACCACAAGGACAACCACCACGGAAATCAAGGCCCTCCGGCGATGCACCACCCACCGTACCCCTACCCCCACCATCATCACTACACCAACAACAACACCTCCAACATCCCCGGCGGCTACAGTACCCCAAGCCCCGCCCACCACCACCACCACTACGGTAGCCCCGCGCAGCGGCCGACGGCGCGCCGCCCCAGCTATGTCGAGGTGAACAAGACGGCCGAAGCCCAGGCCACCCTCCTCTCCAAGAAGAACTTCACGGCGTTGGAGGTGCTATACTTGAGTCGGACTCGTGACAGTGAGCAAAAAGCAGAACAATGTTACGCCCGGGATTCGAACCCTCAACCTTTAGCTTGAGAGGCTCGCGCTCTACCGACTGCGCGATACTCACTGGAGCAGAAATTCGGAGCAACCGCTATAAATATGGGGGCCTAGATGAGCATCTACGACATGGACGGCAGAGACTCGGATTTTTAGCCCCAAAAAGCAAAAAGAAAACAGTGCGGCGCTCAGGGTTCGAACCCTGGACTCTTCGCTTGACAGGCTAACGCTCTACCGACTGAGCCAAGCCCCAAAGTCCGGAAAATAACTTGCGGATTTGCCATTTTGTGCCGATTTTTTCCCGCTTCTCATTTTTGTGCCTTCCAGGTGCTGAACACGATGTGCCGCCCGAACGCGCCGACGCCGCCGAAGCAGCGGTTGACGAGCGCTTCCACCCCCGCCGTCCCGACGGTGACTTCTGCGGGTGCCGTCCACTCCGACTCGACGACGTCCACCCCCCGCCGAGCACCGTATCCTCCCTCCGGGTCCCAGAACTCGCAGAACTCGTCACCATTCCGCACCGGGCCCTGTGGCGGCTTCTCGAGGCCGTCGTTTGGGCCAAAGGCGCCGCTTCCGCAGTCCCCGGCACCGCAGAGTGGATATTACCCGGTGGGTGGCAGGCTAGCAGGGATTCTTTGAGGAATTGCAGGGCGGGCTAGCAGAGATTTTTCATTTTTCGATTTTTCAGCCCTCCATGCCCAAGCCGTCGCCGACGATGAACAACAACAATAACCCTCCTCCTGCCCCTGTCGGTGTCGGTGGCGGCTTCAACCCGGTCCCCCAGTCGAAGGACGCTTCCGGATTTGGAGCCGGGCTTGGCCGGTAAGCCCCCTCGACCCCTTATTCCTGGTGTTCAGCTTCAAGCGCCCCTCCACCAACACCAAGGAGGTCGAGCCGCCTCAACTTGCCTGGGGCGACGACGACCCCGCCGAGCCGACCGACGAGGACGAGATGAGCTTCTGCGAGGAGAAGCTGAGGGACCCCTTCCACGACCACTCGCAGGCCCCGCGCCCTCCCAGCCAGCTAGTACCGTACGCCCGCCAGGAGCCGAAGGAGATCAAGATCGACTTGGACAAGGTCGGCTGGCACTCTGCCGTTAAAATGGTCATCTCCAGGCCCAGCTCGTCAACCTGATGGACGAGAACTACATTGTGTACTATGAACACTTGTGCCGCGGGGTGCAGGAGCTGTGCGAGTCGGAGACGATGTTCGACTGCGAGACCAACTCGTTCCATGAGCCGTTCGGCAACTCGACTGTTTGGTAGATGATCTCGATGGCTCTATCTCTCTCGCTCCCTCTCTTGCTCTCTCTCTCCCTCTCTCTCTCGCTCTCTCGCTCTCTCGCTCTCTCGATCTCTCGCTCTCTCTCTCTCTCTCTCTCTCTCTCTGGATTTAAACAACGCTACACATTAGCGCTTCGACAACTCCAAGCAGTTTAGCTCCTCCCGCCGCTGCCCAGGACTTTCTCTCTCTCTATCTCTCGTTCGGGTGCTTGTGTTCATCTACCGTTTCCAGCCGTGCCCTCAAGTCCAAGTACTACTACCACTACAGCCCGGGCCCCGAGGTGTACTCCCGCAAGGTGTTCGTCGGCGGCCTCCCCATCGACATCGACGAGGGTAGGTCTGGCTTCAGAAGCTTCTAAAGTTGACTTCATTTTTCAGAAGAGCTCGTCTCCACCTTCTCCTCCTTCGGCCCCCTCACCGTCGACTGGCCCAACAAGAACGAGACGAAGAGCTACTTTCCGCCCAAGGGTACTTGCTAAGCCTAAGCCTGAGCCTGAGCCTGAGCCTGACCCTGGGAGAAACCCACGCTAACGTTTCACGCTCACGTTTAGGCTACGTGTTCCTGATCTTTGAGTACGAGATGTCGGTCCGTGCCCTCGTGCACAACTGCTTCCTCGAGGACGAGAAGTACTTCCTCTACATCACACGCCCCAGCACGCCCACGAATAAGCTGGTATGAAAGAGTTAAGCTTGACCATGAGCATGAGGATGATCCTAACCTTAAGCCCAGTCCTCACTCTAAACCCTGTGAACGTCTCTAACTTGAGGTCCAAATCCGCCCATGGCGCCTGGCTGACGCCGACTACCTGGTCGACGTGAACATCCCCATCAACCCGCGGCGCATCGTGTTTGTTGGCGGCGTGCCCCGTCCAATTCGAGCAGGTTGGAGGAGTACAGAACAAGTAGATGAACATTGCCCTCTAGTTGAACTCGCCCACATCATGGACCGGCTGTACGGGTCCGTCTACTGTGCCGGCATCGACACCGACGTGGAGTACAAGTATCCAAAGGGTACGGTAATTCAAGGGGTTCGGCTTTTGGGAGATGTTCAAGGGGTAGATGAGCTTCTGGAAAATAGCAGAGTCGTCAAGACTTCGAATTTCGTTCCAAAAAGCAAAAAGCAAAAGAATAACGCTCTGAGGATCCGAACCGGCGACGATTGGCTCGGGGGCTAACGCTCTACCAACTGCGCCACTCTCAGCACCCTTCAAAAGACTTCAAAAGCCCTTGAAAACTATCAAAGTCCAATTTCCAGGCGCCGGCCGGGTGGCCTTCTCGAGCTACAGCTCCTACATGCGCGCCATCACCGACCGGTACGCGCTGCTGAGCCACGGCGAGGTGGAGAAGCGCGTCGAGATGAAGCCGTACGTGCTCGACGACCAGACGTGCGAGGAGTGCCGCGCCCGCCACGCCCCATTCTTCTGTCCGCAGCTCGAGTGTCTACAGTACTACTGTGAGACGTGCTGGACGCATATTCACGGCGCGCTCGAGGGGTACGTATTAGGATTAAGGCTTAGGCTTAGGCTTGGGTTAGGCTTGAGCTTAGGCTTAGGTTTAGGCATGGGCTTAGGATTGGGCTTAGGCTTGAGCTTAGGCTTAGGTTTAGGCATGGGCTTAGGATTGGGCTTAGGATTGAGGAAAAAACAGGCTTACGCTTACGCCTTGCTTGCACCTGAACTTTATGCGAATTTAGTGACGATTCGCGTGATAGCCATCAGCCACTCATCAAAGAAGCCTGAACGTGCCCAACTCGTCGTCCAAGCAGCGCTTCACCAGCGACCTCAAATCTCTTATTTCTTTGCCGGTTTCTCTGTGTTTCGTTTTTCTGCGTTTTTCTCGGTTTTGGTGTGCATAAATATTTTATCTTTATTAAACTGACCGGCAGAACGATTCAATTGCCTTTATTTTCCTCAATTCCGTTTTTACAAATTATACAAATCCAGCTGTAGTTTGGAGGCTCTAATGTCCGTTGGGACGCCGTGGTCCATGTAAACCAACTCGTCATCCTCGTCAAGTTCGGGGGCAAAAGCCGCGATTTTCGGTGGTCCCTGAGCTCCTCCAGCCCCTGCGGCGGCCATATGAGCGTCAAACTGAAATCAAACTGATTTTTTTTTAAGCTGTCGTCTTGGATTTTCACGCCAACGTATCGATACCATGAACGCAATAAAAAATAGGGACGACAACGGGGTACTGTAATCTATTTCTGGTATGGGGGTGTGGAACGGAAGGAACTAAAGAATAATGGATCCGAATCGGGGGGATATTGATTACCCACGTTTTTGAGGAACAGGCCCAGCGAATTTTTCTGTAATTTTTACAGAAATACATTAAGGAAAATTCGAGAAAGAGAGAGAGAGAGAGAGAGAGAGAGAGAGAGAGAGAGAGCGAGAGAAGGCGATGGAGAGTGATAGAGCGAAAGAAGAGCGAGAGAAATGGAGAGCGAGAGGCAGTGTGAGCACGAGCGGTTTTTAGCAAGATTTATGAAGAACCAACGTCGCGTTCAAGCCATATAATTTCCGCCTAATTAAGCGCCGCGACCTAACACTCGGCGCGCTGACTTTATTACAAAACTTCGAGGAACACCAGCGATTTTTCTGACTAAGTCTCCTAAGAAAAAAATGCTTTTCCCAACTCCAACTGCGTACCTTGGCGAACATGCCGAACTTGGCGAGCGCGTGCAGCTGCGTCATCCCCGCCCCGATGCCCTTGTTGACGCTCAACGACTGGGCTATCTAAACTTGAAAGCTGGAAACGCAGGCTGCGAAAACGTACATGCATCATCTTCTCAGCTAGCAGCCTCGCCTTGCCGACCTGGCGACCCATGTAGTGGATGTTGTTGATCGCCTCGGCGGCTACCTAAAATTGTCGTGTCATCGATGATTTTACCAGCTTTTAACTGCTTGAAGTCGGTGTATCGTTTACAAAATCGGAGAAACGTACCCATTCCACCGAAATCGTCACCAGGATGACGCCAATGATGTTGAAGAGGACTAGGGCCATCACGTCGACATCCGGCTGAAATTTTGAGGATTAGGACGTCTAGGCCAAGCCAAAGCCAAGCCCACTCACCATAATATCGCCAAAACCAATCGTAAAAATTGAGGTCAAAGAGAAGTAGATCGAGTCGAGGGCTGACATTCCTGAAAATGACTCCGTAAAGTCGTTTATAAGCATCTTATTGACCTGAATTTTTTGGTATACACGCCTTAACACCAAGGCTAAATACCCAACAAATTTGAGGCCGATTGGATGCGTAGTTTAAAATTTATAACAAAAATAACAAAATTCTTTGGTGTTCGGGGCGTCGCAGCGAGACCATAGCTGTCTGCTCTCTCTGGCCTGGCCGCGCTCTCTGTCTCGCCTCCCTTCATCAACCTCGCTCCCAATCCCCCGTTCGCCTACGACCATACCACGTTGAAAGCACGGCATCCCGTCCGATCTGCCAAGTGAAGCAACGTTGGGCTCGGTTAGTACTTGGATCGGAGACGGCTTGGGAATCCCGAGTGTCGTAGGCTTTTTGCAGGTTTTGGATCAGTTGGGTATGATTTTTGGAGCTGCTTGGTTTCAGAAACCCCCAAAATATAGATTTTTCGTCTTGTTTTGGGGCCTATTTTCTAATTACTGATTATTATTTTTATTATTGCTGCTTATGCGTAAAAGAGCCATTTTCATCTTTTTTTACCTGTCCACAAGTTGAACAGCAGCCCGCCAAGCAGCGGGTAGACGACGAGGAACGAGGTGAACATGATCGTCGGGATCACGAGGCTCTAAAGCACGTTAAAAAAAGCCCAAAAAGATCCGCAACCTCCTCAAAGAAGTCGAGCACGAATTTGGAGAGGAACTTGCCGGCGTCGGCCATCGTGACCAGGGCCAACGGGATGCCGATCATGCCTAAACTTCGATTTGAAAAATTTGTAATTTGCTAGCGCATTGAAACACGAAAATCTAGCCTGAAATCCCACCGTAAATTATGACAAATGCTCGCCCGAAAGACGTTGAAGGAGCTATGAAGCCGTAGCCTGGAAAAATCGAAATTTTGAGGGCTTAGGGCAAATTTTCTGTGGGATTAGGTGTTTCTCGTAGCTTTCCTCACCGACAGGGATTACCGTAGTGCTCGTAAATAGGACTGCACCGGCGTAGGACCACTGGACCTCCGTCTCGGAGCCGTTTCTGTCGAGCGTTTCGAACGTTTGGAGGGCGAAGGGTTCTGAGGAAAGATCATAGAGTTTTTCCGGAGTTTTACAGGTCATTTTCAAAATTTAGGATATCCAGTTACGACATGTAATTTGCGTAATACCTTCGTCGAACATTCTCAACATTTCCTTTGTATACGCGTCCATCAACCGATCGAAATTCCCAATTCCAAGCGAAATATTCGAGATTAGGTCCTGAAAATGATTTTTATTGTTGTAATTAACTGTTTTAATTAGTGTTTATTGTAGTTAAATTGAATTAAGGGTTAAAATATTACATCTTTTAGCTGCCCGAAACGTCGCGTCGCATCCGTACGCGCTCGCTGCTCCACCGGGCGTTCGATGAGGAGGAAAACTGAAAAATCGTGGCATCTTTCTCTCTCTCTCTCTATCTCACTCTCTCTCTTCCTCCTAAAACTTGAAAAATAAAGCCTACTTTGAGCCCCGATCAGAATGTAGGAGACGCACAGGATGACAAGGCCGACATGGAGGAAGGCGGAGCGGACGCGCTGAAAAATTCCGACTCCGCAAATAATCTATGCTTGTATGCTTTCAGCTCGCCAAAAAATCCTTGCTAGCCGATCCCCCGTGCTTCAATTATCTCTGCTAGTCTGCCTCCGTGTTTCCAAAAAAGTCTGCTAACCTTCCTTTGAATTCCGCAAAGAATCTCTGCTAGTCTGCCCCTGATGTCCCCAAAGATCTCTGCTATTTTGCACTCCAATCTCTCATATAATCATTGCTAGACCGCCCCCTCCAATTCCTGCAAAACTCACTGCTAGACCTCCTCGAATTTCTCAAAGAATCTCTGCTAGTTTGCCCAATTCCCACAGAATCTCTGCTGGCTACCCACAAATTGTCCAAAAAATCTCTGCCAGCCTGCCCTCGTTCTCCTATTAACCCACCTCGATATGCTGGAATATTAGAAAGCTCATTGTCTACCGTAATCCGGTCAGCATTTTTGAGTAGGGAATAATTTTGCCTTTTCTAAGATGAGATGTAAGATTTTCGGGGTCCAGGGGCGCAATATAAAACCCCTGGGTTATTCCACTACGTGGTTCCCCCCTAGCGCAATATAATGGCCGGCAGTAATTTTCATGCAACAGCGAGCCGGCGTGATGGATTTCGTTGCGGGGCCGGAGCGGTCCAAAATTCTTTTTTGTTGGAAAATTGTCCGAAAAATATTAGTACGCGGTGGTACTAAATACGCATTAATCTGAGAGTCACGGCCCCAAAACTATATAGAAATTACGGTATCGTCTCAAAATACAGACTTTAAACAGGGATTGGAACCCCCAGAAAATCGGCTAAGTGGGTGTGATTGGCTTCCCGGACCCTTTAAAAACCGTTTTAAAGGGCCATTGAAGGCAAAAGACGGCAGATGTCTGCCTGTTTTTCCGCTTCCCTTGCCTTTGAAAATAACACAAAATGTTTTATGAGGTCAAGAATTCCTAGGCGAAAATGCTGGCGCCGAATTGGTACTGGTCCAGGGACGTAGCGTAATACCGGCCCCGGGGGCCCGGGGGTTTTAGTCATCTTTCCTAAAAGTCATCTTTCCTAAAGTCATCTTTCCTAAAGTCATCTTTCCTAAAAGTCATCTTTCCTAAAAGTCATCTTTCCTAAAAGTCATTTTTCCTAAAAGTCATTTTTCCTAAAAGTCATCTTTCCTAAAAGTCATTTTTCCTAAAAGTCATTTTTCCTAAAAATCAATATTTCTCAGTTGGTTTTTTTCAAGAAAAATTTTTTTTGGAGAGGCCCGGGCCGTAAAATTTTAATGTCTCCATGCCGTACTAGACCTTTTCGGGATGTTTTGATTTAAGTTATGCTATCTTTGAATTCATAAAACTATTCAGAAATCAAAAAATAGGATAGCTCCGATGCGACTAAGAGCTTTTATGAGGACTGACGGCGTTCAAGGCATTTTGCCGTTCCTACACAGGTAGCAGCTTTGAAGTTAGGCGGAGGTGGCATCCCTATTCGCATACCTAACTTCAGGAAAAATTAATCTTCGAAAATAATAGTTTTTAGAAAAAAGTGATTGAGGAAAAATAAAAATTTACGATTACCAAGTTTTAGGAAAAATGACTTTTAGGAAAGATGACTTTAGGAAAGATGACTTTAGGAAAGATGACTTTTAGGAAAGATGACAGGGATTCGGGGCCCGGCCCCCCGAAATCGGCCGGGGCCCGAAAATTTCATAAGGGGGGACCCTTATGATTTTTATTTTCTCAAAAATTTTGCTGCCTGCGGCGCTATTTTTGCACGTTTTTACGGCTATTTGTAGAGCTATGTAACCCTTTTTTCAAAAATGTTTGCCTGCGGCGCTGTTTTTCCGGCAAGTTTTTTGGAAAAATTTTTTCGGGCCCCCCGAAATTTTTTTCTGGCTACGCCCCTGTACTGGTCTGTTAACGGGGGGAGGCTGGTGAGGAACCAAATTTTTTTGAGGAATACCGTAGCAAAACGTAACAATTCGAAAAATTTTACCTAAAGAGTTATGAAAAAAATCGAAACGAATTTTTTATAGCTTTCTAGCAATCAAAAACTACAGAAAACACCAGAAAAATGCGGTCTATCCCATCAACAAGTAGCATGAGCGGAAAAATAAATTCATCTTCCCTCTAAAAATAGACTATTTAGGATAAACACCCCCCCCCCGTTAACAGACCAGTACCTGGTTGGTTTTAGGGCCTTGTAAAGGTAAATTGTCGTTTTTAACTTTGCAAAAAAATTATTTTTAAGCCAATTAAAAATATATAAAGTAGGTTTTACGCTAAAATCGCCCCAGAACCCCCGAAATATCTCAGCCACCGGCGTGGACAAGTGGCAATACGTAGCACGAAAATTCACATGGGGTTTCCCGGGGTGTGTTTGGGTTGATTGCCATGTACCTAGGTAGGTAGCCAGAGCAAGAGAGAGAGCTAGAGAAAATTCCTCGATCCCATACATAGCCATGTAGTGGCCGGGGGGAAGGCCATAAATTGGCACCGGTCCAAGCGACCTAGTAACGGACCCAACCGCCACTTTTCAATATGTCCCAAATTTGGCGTTCATGGGGGGATCCGGCAGGGGCCACTCACTCGCTACCACACACTCCGATACACACAAATAAACAAATAAAGGATTTTTGAGCAGCTATTTTTGGCGGGTTAATTCATTTTGTCGAAAATTGGAATCCCGCAATTCAGTTTTCGAACACCTTGTCGAACACTAGAACGTCGATGTTTTTTGCCGAAATTCAACCTTGTCGAAAAGCACTTTATCGATAGCTTAGCTTGTATAAGCTTGTATAATAGCTTGTCGAAATTCTTTTCTCGAAATCTCACTTTGTCGCAAATTAGAATGCAGAATTTCGCTTTGTCGAAACTTTTCCTTACCGAAAATTGAATGCCGAACTCCATTTTGTTAAATTTCACTTTGTCGAGAATTAGTCGGGATTCATTTTGTCGATATTCATTATGTCGAAATTTCCAAGAGCTGAAACTCAAATTCCAACAGTTTTGAGATGAATAAATGTCACTGAATGACTGATTTTCGACAAAATGGTTGGATTTCGACAAAATACTTTTCGACAAAACTAAATATTGACAAAATGAAATGTCGACAAAATTAAATTGATCAAAATTGATTTTCGAAATTCATATCAATGAATCACATCGAATCGATTAATTTTTCACGGGAGAACGCGAAAATCCCGACAGGCAAGATAGATGATAAAAAAGGTCAAGAATATATCGGGTTTTGGCTGTCGGTATTTTAACCATCAGGATTCCTGCTGTCGGGATTTTATAAAAATTCCTGGACCTACCGAAGACTTTGCCTCGATTTGTTCTTCTATCTGATGAATAACAGCCGTGTTCATCGTATCAGGACGGAATTTTTAAGCTCGAATAGTTGAAAAGTCGTGGATGTCTTTTTGTGGTACTCGAATAATCATTTTCATCCCCATCTGTCCCCCTTGTCGATCTTCTCGACCCCCCGGGGGCTATAAAATTTCATAGCCACCGCCGGCTAGGGGGTAGATATTCTTTTCGGAATGGCGTGTGTCGCTTTTGGAAGACTTTCGGAGGGAGTTTGAGTTGTTAAAGGGAGCCTGACATGCAGGAATGACTGTTTTTCAAGGGACTGTGACATATGTAGGAGCCTAGCGACGGATAAACCACATGCAGACATTTTTCGTAGCTTTGAATTGCTAGACAGTGGCCAATTTTTGAGAATGTGAAAATTTTTAGCAATTTTGGCCATTTTTCATAGATTTTTGACCAAAATGACAAAATGTTTGGGCAATTTTACAATTTTTATATGGTTTTTTTCTAAAAATGCCATAAAAATAGGCTATATTTTTCTATAGAGCCGTAGAAAATTTTGTTCTACTACTCTCACCTAGAAGGTACCGGTTTTAAAGGTACAGTGACAGCAAGAAATTCATTTTCAAAAGAAGCGTGGCAACCTAATTCTCCGAATCCCACCTTATTTCTCAAATCCATCGCCCTCGCCACCGTAATCAGCGCCTTCGTCCAGGGCTTTGACTCATCGAATCGGAAAGTCGAGAGAAAACTCGGGCTCCGCGCGCCGGATCCTAAAGCGCGGACTAGCTACCGTAACCCGGCAGGGAACAAACCATTCGTCGGGGTGGGTTCTGCCGATTTTGATTGGGCCTTGCTGAAGCGGCGTTCTAGAGAAAAAAAATTGGATTTTCCTGTTTTTGAAGCGGCAAAGGTAATTCTAAAGGGACTGGGAAGCCAAAGAAATTTCTTGGCACATCGCCAAGAGGTTCAGCAAAAGGGCTGAAAGCCATAATTTGCCTTCAAAGTCCCTTTAAAGCGGTGAAAAAATCATTTTTCATGCGGTGCATTTTTGAAATTTGTCGTCGGTGCGAAAAACCGAGAACATGAAGTAACGGTTTCGACGTATTTTTATAGCATAACCGTACCGACCATTTTTCATTGCGTAACTGAATAGACGCATTTTTGTGGAGTAATACGAATACGGTGTTTATTTAATGGCGTAACTGAATAGACACAAGAGTCACGATCTCATGCTCCATGCCCTTTCTGGTATACGGTACCTGCGCGCGATCCGGAGCGCGGTTTAGCGAGAAATCGGGTGGCTGACTGTATCGGCTCTATTCCGGGGTGCACCCCTGTACACCCATCACAGAAACTTACCACGGTCACGTTTGCGGGGTGTAGAAGCTCTGGTGCTTGAGAGGGGGACTTCTAGCATAGTGCTAAAAAAAATTGGGTTTGGAGAGAGAGAGAGAGAGAGAGAGAGAGAGAGAGAAAGCGAGAGAGTGAGACGGTGCGAGAGAGCGAGAGAGAGAGCGAGAGCGAGAGCGAGAGCGAGAGCGAGAGAGAGAGAGAGAGAGAGAGAGAGAGAGAGAGGGTTTAGAGGGAGCGCGAGAGAGTGAGCATATTCTAAAAATATGTAAAATGCGCTCCAAACAAATTCCGGCCCGAATTTTGACAACAATACCCCCAGATTTATTCGGGCAGGTTTTTCCTGGGCCCTATTCCGTTTAGAGCCCCCGTGAGTGCCCATTTCGGTGCATAACAGATTGGGGAGGACTGGCGGATAAACAAGGGACACCTATAGACACCAAAAAGGCGACAAAATGCCGGCTTTTCGCTTTATAAGAGGTACTGTAAAGAGCGTTTTAAAGGGCCACTTAAGACAAAAAATGTCGAGAAAGTGCAAGGCTTAGAAATGTAATAAGCATGGTGTTGTACGTATATTTTTAGCGATGAGCCGCCCGGCTATAAGTCCGCAACGATACGCCTCGACGGCCCATCAACATGCCGTGCGGGGCTATGCATCACCAATTACCCGCCACTCTGAAGGACAAAGGACAACATTCGCACTTCTTCACACGTCGGTCCAAGAGAGCCGCGGTAATTCGACACTTTTAAGGGCCCAGGAAGTTGTTTCCCAACAATAATACGCTTTTCAATGGTCTGAATGATACTTTACTAGAAAAAGATTGATTTTCTAATGGAAAACAGCAAAATGCCGACAGCCAAAAAACAACAGACCAAAATCCCGACAGATCGAAATCCCGACAGGCCAACATTTGGCCGCCAATATTGTTGCTGTCGGTATTTTGGCTGTATTTCCCAGCCGGTTCTTCACCAGTTTATATCTGTATTTTTCCTTGTTTAAATCCTTTATTCCGCAACTGTACAGTGTATATAATTCTTCATATTATTTTGGGGAATTAATTGCTAAGGCAGGCAGCCAGGCAGCAGCCCGTGCAGCAGGCCAGACTTGTGAATAGGCAGCAATCTTCGGCGTCTCTGGAAAAGGGCTTTATAGACTTACGCTTGAGCATAAACTGAGACTCAGGCTTGGGCTTTGGCTTAAGCTCAGGCTTAGGATTAAGCTTAGGCTTAGGCTTAGGCCAAGGCTTAAGCTCGGGCTTAGACTCAAGCTTGAACGTCCGGCTTCGATCTGTATTCCGTATTTTAAAGGGATCAGAAAGCCAAATTTGGGTGATTAATCTGTCGTAATCGATTGACGGTATGCCAAACTCTCTTAAAAAGTCGAAAACCAAAAAATACCGATTCTCGCGGTGGTGATGATGGTGGTGGCTGTGGCAATCGTCGACAACTCTGGAAATAAACATAGGCAAATTCACGGGTTCGAAAAATCTCTGCTCGCTTGCCCTCCCTAAAATCTACAAAAAAAAATGGAAAAACTCTTCAAAATCATTACATGACTTGCTGGGGCTGCTGGTAGATGACGTGGGCGCCCATGCCGGGCGGGGGCGGCGGATAGGGGCTGCCTAACAAAAACAGATAGAAATAAATCTAAATCATAAAAAAAACTTCGACAACTTAAACTCTATTTATTAAACCAAACGCTATATTTTTTGACGGGGTTTTAGTTAAAACTCGGGTAAAAACAAAAAAATATTAATTGTTAAATTTTTAAAAGTGAGAATTTAAAGACACTAATTTGAAGTATAAACTATGTCTCCGAGAACCCTTTATTTGTGCTTCAATTACCGTACCCGTGGGGTAGACGCCCTGGACGACTTGGGGTTGGCCATAAGGCTGAAATATCAGAAATTACGTTTTTTACGACATGACCTTACGTTGTAGTACGGTTGCGGCTGTGCGGTGTACACTGGCGGAGCGGACATTTTGCTCATAAATAATCTAAATTTTACATAAGTTTAAATTGGCATAAAAGTACAATAGCAAATTTCGACAAAAATGCAATTTATGGCATTTCAGGAAGCTTCTTTATAGCAAAAAAAAAGAATATTTTTAAGATGTTTTTTATAAAGTCTAAACATTTTTCACCCAGTTTAAAGGTGCTGGAAAATTCGAAAAGTGGTCTAAAATCACTAAAATAAACTCCAGCTACAGTAACGTTTTTGATAATTGCATTATCATTTGAAACAATTTTTTGTAAAAAAATTGTGGTAAAAAAATTTATTTCAAGCGATGAGAAATTCGTGATAACCCGCCAGAGAAGATCGCCGGGTCGATAAATGTGGCTGTTCGGTCTGGGCGGTCCTTTGGAGAAGAAGGAAGAAGTCCTTATCAGCTGGGCCTTGTCGCTTTTTTGGTCGGAATACATGCAAGCTTATGGCGGGTGAACCATCTGGGCCGATGAGTCACCACAGCGGGATACGTCAGCTGGAAGGTGACGGAATTCCGAAAAATTTATTTGCACAGAAGTCGGTGTCAAACTCAACTTGTATCTCCTTGTCTTTTGTTGCCCTTGTGGATACGCTACAGTATTCCATAAATCCGAATCCTCGCCCTGGCTGTAGCCTAGCCGGTTCGAATCTTCTCTTAATCATCTGCCGACTCCAGTTCAAATTTTTACTCCTCTTCATTCACTGAATTGCGTGTACTCAACAGGTAAAGGAAAAGTAAGCTGCAACGAAAAAATATTCCGGAGATACCGGAGATCAAGATGCTCCAAAAGCGATACCAATTAACCGAAAAACTGCAAAAAGCCTACGACACTCGGGATTCCCAAGCCGTCTCCGATCCAAGTACTAACCGAGCCCAACGTTGCTTAACTTGGCAGATCGGACGGGATGCCGTGCTTTCAACGTGGTATGGTCGTAGGCGAAAGGAGGATTGGGAGGGCGGATGATGAAGGGATGGGAGGGAGAGAGCGCGGCCAGGTCAGAGTGAACAGAGTGAGAAGCTCCCCGCGTCCCGAACCGACAGAATTTACTTATTTTTGTTATAACTTTTAAACTACGCATTCAATCGGGATAAAATTTGGTGAGTAATTAGAATAGAAGGTAAAGCGTGTATACCAAAAAAATCAGGGCAAATAGAAGCTTGTAAGAGCTAGAAGGATAAAAATGAGAGCTCCCTGAAAGTCAAGACCGGCAAAATTTCGATTTCGAATTATGTTAATCCCATAAATTGTCTAGCGTAATTTTAACACCATCCCAAATATAATAATTTATTATCGACAACGTGCAAAAAGTGAAGGTCACAGTAGTTATCCCGTATTTGCATTAAAGTGAAGGGGCGTTGAGCGTAGGTTACGACTCGTATATCATGTAGCAATCTAGTTCCTGAAAAATCAAATTAAGAAAGTTGTCTCCTTGCGTCTTTTGGTTTATTAGAAAAAGTTACGTCTGGCCGATGAACACGCAGAAGGCGATGGAGATGCCGACGAGCAGGATTTCGGTGACGAACACCGACGAATAGCGCAGATTTCGGACCTGGAAAATGAGAAATGAGCTTCAGAATCCGGGAAATATGACTGTATAAGGTTTCGTGCTCTACCTACCGTACTCAAGTTGTGCGGCGTCACCTCGACGCATCGCTCGATGAGGAGGAAGAGGAGGGAGAGCACGAGAAGGCAGGTGAAGGGGAGAACCTGGAAAATGGAGGTAGGGCGAGAGAGCGAGACGGAGAGAGAGTCAGAGAGAGAGAGAGAAATATTTCCATTATTACCAACCTCTAATACAATATACAACCCTTTCGGCGCAACACCCAGCTTCTTATATGCAGCAAAACCGAAGGCCGTGGCTAAAATCGTATAATAAAATTTTATTATTTTTAAAATTAAAAATAAGCTATTAAACTGAAATTCCGGTTGCCAAATTCCGAAAGGCTACTCTGCTCGTCAACCTACTCGCCAAAACCATGGCCGCCACTCCGATCAGCCGATGCACCCAGTTGAAGTAGGGCCGCCGTGGGTTTTTCGGGTCACACCTAAAAGTTTTGCATTTTAAAGGAACAAGAAAGGCAAATTTTGGCAGCATTTCAAGCGTTTTTCCAGATCCTACCTCATCGTCGAGATTAGCGGCTGAACAAAAGCGAGGATAATGGCCGTCAGCCCGATTGCCGTGTGTTTTTGGGCCCAAGAAGCTGAAAAAAAACATTTCTTTGATTGTTCTAAATATTTTGTACACTTATTAGTATAATAGATCTTTACTTCTTGCCTTTTTTATTCTGTTTTACGCCCGTTTCTGATTTTTCTCGATGCTGAGAAGCTGTACGATACGCTACGTTACGCTACGCTCCAACTTACGGACGGCATCCTCGGCGGTGGGGCTCGGCCCAGTCCACTTCCACTTGTACGCCGTCAAGATGCAGCACAGCGAGGCGATCATCAGAATGATGCCGAGCATGTTGCAGGTGCGGTGGACCTGAAAAATCCCAAAGCGTCGCTGCCAGCCTGCCATTTCCGGAAAAAATTTATCTGCTAGTTTCATCTGAACATTCGTGATAAAATACCGAAGTTCCTAAAATACCGACACTAAGACTACGAAGAGAGGTGTCGAAAAGCAAAAATGCCGAAAACCCGAAATATCCAAAAAATTACATACCGAAAAAACTGCGCTTGGGAGAAAGTAAAATGTCAAAAAAAAGGTAAAAATGCCGACAACACCGATTAAACGTACAAAAATATCGAAAAGTGCAGGACCATAGCAGAATGCAAAAAAGCGGAAATACCGACACGGACGCTACGAAAGGTTATCTTGACTGTCGGCATTTTTCGGCGAATTTCGGCTGTGTTTAAGCGAAGTAATTATAATCTTAATGTCGGCTTTTTAGCTCTGCGCACTGCGTTTGTCGGTATTTTTAATGCACGGCCGTAAATACCGTAACCCACATGGAACCAAATCAACAGCCCCATCGGCTTGTAGTCGGGCCAGGCGTCCCGCATAAATCGAGCGAAAAAGACGGCCGTCGGCACGAAGCAGAACCACGCCAGCACCATCATGATGGCTAGAGGAGAGTCGCGTAATCGAGACCAAAAATTATTACCCACCATGCGCCTTTATCAAGCGCTCCTTCCACCTCGTGTCCTTCGCGTTCGCCGACAGCACCAGGGTCAGGTCCATCGCCTCGGAGGTGACGACTGTGTCCTTGTCTCCGTGCTTGGTCAGGCCTAAGATTTTGTTGGATTTTCTTCGCATTATTTTTTAATTAGTTGATTTTGCCGAATTTCATTTAGCCATAATTTGCTTGGTTTTGCAGAATTTGATGATTTTTACTTTTCTACAGCCTTTGTTCACTCAACTGGGTGTACTGTAGAGATAAACTGACAAGGAGTCGCTTTTAGGTGCTTTTGGAGTTTCGGGACGGGACCTAGCTAGTTCGGTAAAGAAAAAAATTCTGAGCAAGATACCATTTTCAAAAAGTGCTGATCGATAAAGGAATCTTAGAAAATTTAGTTTGAAGTTTGCCCTTTTTGCTAGTTTTCGGGTTCATTTCCTCGTTTCATGTCGTTTTCGGGGCTGGCAAGGCGCCATTCATAACCTTCCGCCAAGGCGTCCATCACAGGTTGAATTGGCCTATTGGTACCGCGCTTGCCTACCAACTTTTTAACATTTTTTCCTCGGGTTCGAATCTTCGCGCTGGCTAAACCTTTGCTTTTTGGTTCTTGAACCCGTTATCGGTGCATAAAGTTTTCATTAGCAAAAAAGCAAAGAGTTAACGATAAATAAGAATCGAACTTTTGGCAAAAGGTAAAAAAAAACTTCGTAGACCAACGCACTAACCACCTGGCCATGCCTAGGACGGGATCCAGGACGCCAGAAGTCCCCATGTGACAGGGGCGGTCGACCGACACAAATCACCTCAAATCACCACCATGGTCCGGATACCGGGGAACATTTTTAATTAAATGAATTTTCTAAAACACCTTTATCGATCAGCACTTTTTGAAAATGGGATGTTGCTCAAAATTTTTTTCTCTATCGAACTAGCTAGGTCCCGTCCAGAAACTCCAAAAGCACCTAAAAACGACTCCTTGTGAGACGTAAGATCGATTAAAAACAACATTACTGAAATTACGGGCATCAAGAAGCTCCAAAAGCGATACCAATTGACCGAAAAACTGCAAAAAGCCTACGACACTCGGGATTCCCAAGCCGTCTCCGATCCAAGTACTAACCGAGCCCAACGTTGCTTAACTTGGCAGATCGGACGGGATGCCGTGCTTTCAACGTGGTATGGTCGTAGGCGAACGGGGGATAGGGAGGGCGGGTGATGAAAGGATGGGAGGGAGAGGGCGCGGCCAGGTCAGAGTGAACAGTGAGAAGCTCCCCGCATCCCGAACGTATCGCGTTTTTGCTTATTTTTGTTATAACTTTTAAACTACACATTCAATCGGACTGAAATTTGGTGAGTATTGAGAATTGGGCTTGAGGCGTGTCTACCAAAAGAACCAGGCCAAATAGAAGCTAGGAAGAGCTAGAAGAATCAAAATTAGGGCTCCTTGAAAGTCAAGGTTTACGAGGTTTGGTTTTACGAATTACGATTTAGAATTATTTTAATCCTATCTGCGCAAGTTCGGCGAAATAAAAAAACTAGACGAAATACGACAGAATGAAACTACGAGATAAGATGCGTATCACTGAAAACAGGCAAAAACCACCGCACCGTCATTCCCCGCCGTGCCCTTGGCCAACATGACGAACATCTTCTTCCCGTCGTAGCTGTACACCTGGTTGTTCTCGAGGGGGAGGTTGTTGATTTGCTGTGTAAATCGGCAGTATACAGAGCCGTCCGAGGCGACGATCGTCGGCTTGGTGAGTACTTTTTCGTAGTCCGCGTTCTGAAAAAAATATTTCCTAACTTGTTAGGATCTCCACTTTCTAAACACTGCCCCACCTACCGTAAGCCCGCTGATGCGCACGTTGCGTGGATTGCCATTATTATAAGACAGCTTGGGGCTTCGCGCCGCGCCGGATAGGGCTGAGCATTCCGTCACATAAGTATTTGCCTGGAAAGTTTGGCTTATTCGGAGAGAAAAGTGGGCTCGAGCTTCGCGAAGTTAAAACTCGGTGCTTAACGTTTAGCGGACGGGGGTGGACTTTCAACTATAGCCGATAGCTCCCTGTTAGTAAAATAGAGGGTTTTACAGTGTTTTTAACATACATATATTCGTTTCAAGCGGAATTTTTACCACGTTTTAGTTATTTTTATCACGTACTAAAAACACCTTTTCAAGATTCTTTAAAATTCTACCCAACTTGACCTTTTCTGACCAAAAAATCAGAATTTTTATGATTTTTTTTTTAGATAAAAAGCCTGTGTAGGGCCCCGCTCCGCTAAACGTAAAGCTTCTAAAAAAAACACGCAGAAGCTAAGACATATACCCAGAAAACTTACCATAGATCCGGAGGTTCCAAAAGCCATCGCAACATAACTACTCGTCGAGGCCAGGCTCGCCGAGTACAGCTCGATATCCAGGTACATCGTGCCGGACTCGTTCCGGAACTGAAATCAAACCTTTTTGTGGCTTTGGTTTTCTTTTTAATGCCTTTTTAACAATATTTACCGTCCATGAAGCAGCAGCAAAGGCGTCTTTCGAGTTCTTGGCCCCATTTCCAAAAAGACATGTCTTATTCACAGCACATCCGGAATCGTCAAACGTATCCGCGCCGTTTGGGTGTGGAGGGATATCGCCAAGGTCCACCGTTACATTTGAAGCTGCCATTCCGTTGGCATTGTGCTCGAGGAGGCCTAAAAAGCATGCTTAGGCTTATTAGGCTTGGGCTTAGGCTTAGGCTTAGGCTTAGGCTTAGGCATGCTTAGGCTTAGGCCTAGGCTTAGGATTAGCCTTAGGCTTATGCTTAGGCTCGGGTATGCTTCGGCTTAGGTTTTAGGCTTAGGCTTAGGCCTGAGTTTAGGCTTCGGCTTAGGCTTAGGCTTAGGCTTAGGCTTATGCTTAGGCTTAGCCGTAGGCTTAGGCCAGGGCTTAAACTTGGTTTAGGCTTAGCGTAGTATGAGGCTTATTTTAGACTTAGGCTTAAACTTAGGCTTTGCCTTAGGCTTCCGCTTCATCGCACCCACCATTCGCATCAGTCTTCCCGACCGCCATGATCAAAAACCGCTTGTCGCCCTGCTTGTAGGTGTACACCTCGTCGTTATCCTTATCATCCTTCGGCACATTAATGGGAAGGTTGGTCAGCTGCTGTCGGAAGGAGCAGTACACCCGGCCGTCAGACGATTTTATCGAAGGGGTCTTGAGGATGGTGCCCATATCGTTGGCCTGGAAAAGGGAAAAGCTTCGAAAACAGAATAAATAATCACAAAATAAACCAAAAAATAAATGGAGAGAATGACCTACCGACAATCCAGGAATCCGAATATTCTTCGCAACTTCGGCAGGCCCTTTATTATACGAAAGTTTCGGGCTCATCACGGCCTCATTGCCAATGGCTGAGCATTCAGTGACAGGGGTGTACGCCCAAATTACGACACTTTGGACAATACAGTTCTTTTGCGTTATCGGGGGGTATAGGTGGTATTTGGGGGGTAAATCAGTATAAATAGAGTAATTGTTTCAGCAAACGAAACTAAACGAAACACAAAACATAAAAGGCCAAAAATTCATTTCCGGCCAAAATTTCAAACTTATAAAGCAATTTTAAAGTTTTTAGATGGTTTTTATCACTTGAAATAACGTCAAGTTTTAACAAAAAACTTTATTAAAATACTTACTATTAATTCACTAGGAATTTCTGGTCGTATAGCAAAGAAATAAGTAAAAAAACTCTTACCATGCCGCCATCCTTGCTGAAGCCAAGCGCAATGTATTGTCCGGTAGACTCCAAATTCCCAGAATACAACTCGATGTCCAGGTAGCCGGTTCCGTTGATAGTAGTGGACTGGAATACCGCCAAAAATTTAAAATTCAGTGTTAAAATACCTTCAACGAAGCCACCGCGAAGCAACTATCCGGATCCTGAGCCCCAGTGGCGCACGGGAAGAAGCAATACTTATCCAACCCACACGTCGACGCGTCAAAGAGCTTCTCCTTGATGTGCGTCGAGTTGGCCAAGGGAATGCTCTCCTGCGTGAAGGCCTTGTTGGCGCCGACGTGCTGTAGCAGGCCTAAAATTTCGGGGTCTTGAGCATTATCGGGGGGACCAAATTTTTCCTATAATCCGAAAATGTCTGGTAGCGTAGTAGTATAGATTTTTATAGTGTTTTCTAGCAAAAAATTACCATATTTTCAGCGAAAAAACTATCAAGAAGAAACTTAAAAATTCGAAATTTGGGCGAAAATAAGACATTTTTGGTCGAAAAATCGATATTTTTGTATTTTTTCATTAAAAAATTATTATATAAGATTTTATTAAAAAATAAAAAGACAATGATGTCTTATTTAATTCAAAAATACAAAATAATTATGTGATTTTTTTAATTTTTACGCTAAGGGAAAGTGAAAACCGGCCTAGAAAAAACGGAAAAGGGAAAAGCTGATCCCCCCCTGATAACGCAAAAGCACCAAATCGTGCAAAAATTTTACCTGACCCGCTTGTCAATCCCTTGGCAATCAACAAATATCTCGAATCCCCGTCCTTGTACGTGTAGAGCATGTCGTTGGCGAGGGGCAGGTTGTTCAACTGCTGCGTATAGGAGCAGTACAATTGTCCGTCCTGCGTCGTCACCGTAACGTTCGTAAGGATCGCGTCGTAGTTGGCTTGCTAAAAATAATTCATTTTCGGGTGTTTTCGGCGATTTCCGCTACCGTCAGCCCGTCAATGCGCAAATTGGCCGGCTGGTTGTCGTTGTACGACAGTTTTGCCGTCATGTTCGCGCCGCCCAACGCCGAGCACTCCGACACGAAGCTGTTCGCCTAGAGATACACATATAAAAAACTTAAGCCTTTTTATGACATTTTAGAATGTTTTTAAATTTTTATCCTACTATATATAAAAAAATAGTTCCTGTGTGTGTGTGTGTGTGCATTTGCATGCAACTTCCGTCACCGTGTCCGGAGGATATCTCAAGAGGGGAAAGGTCTTAAGCTACGTATGATACGTCATTAGGTGCGTAACGGCCCCGAGATGACTGCACGCATATCAGATTTTTCAAATTATGCTATTTTCAACATTAAAATTAAGTTTTTGTTGAAAAATCCGGCAGCCTTCTTTGTTAGGAAAAAATTAGCATGCGCCGGAAGTGGCGGGAGCCTATATATAACGCGAGAGAGTGCAATTTTTCATTTTCTCTCAACCGAATTCGCGAGACGTATGCAGAGTGAAAAAAAAATGGAGTTAGATGGGGCCAGGGTTGAAAAGTCGCGAAGCGGCTTTTCAACCCTGGTACAGGTTTTAAATTTGTAAGATTTTGTAAAGCACGTAAAAATGATAGATAAACCATTTTATAAGTAAAAATAAAAGTCTATATTATTTGTAAACGTTTTTTTTGAGCTATCAAACGCATAAAAAATCATGATATTTCAAAAATTTAGCGTTTTTCATTCAAAAAGATATGTAAAAACCAAAAATTAAAATGTTTAAAAATGTCACGATTTTTTAAAAGTATTTATTTATACACTTTTTCGGAGCTAAACTGCAAAAAACACATAACATGCATTTTAGTGTACTAACGGCACAATAAAAATTACCCCCCCCCCCCCGCTAACAGACCAGTACCGACAAACGTACCATGTCTTGTTTCTCGCTAATTCCCAGCGCCAAGTACTTGTTTTCGCCCATATCATTCGTGAACAGCTCGACATCGAGGTAGGAGGTGTTGTCAACGGTTCGGAACTGAAAATTAACTTGAAAAAATTACTGGTTCTTTTGCATTATCGGGGGGGGAGCATTTTTTCATACAAGCTCGGAAATTCCTCGTAGCCTAATAGTATGTATTATTAAAGTTTTCAGCCAAATTTACCTATATTCAAATGGCAAAACTATCCTAAAACCTTTGAATACTTAAAATTCCAAATTGGTCGAAAATCTATGGTTTTTTATTATTTTTTTGATAAAAATTTATACATTTTTTACATTTATGAAAATAAAAAAGCGTATAAATATTTCCTCCATTTATATTCGACAAATTGGCTCCTCAAGAAAAAGTGGTTTTTGCACGAGTGTCCCCCCGATAACGCACAAGAACCTCAGGCTGCAGAAGCAAAAGAACCCTAAGCCCAAGCCTAAGCTGAAGCCTAAGCCTATTATACCTTAATCGAAGCCACGGCAAAATTCTTTGTCGGATCCGGATCGTTTTTCGGGAAGAAGCAGTACTTCTCGGTACCACAGGTGCTCGGGTCGAATATCGTAGGACCGGAAGTAGCGGTTGTTCCCGTTGGCATTTGGGTGGTTTGGACCGAGAGTGGATTCATAACATCGATCTTTGCGATACCTTGACCAGTATCACCATTTCGATGCTTGCTGAGTCCTAAAATCAGCTCCTGGCACTAGGCTTTTAGCGGGGGGGGGGGGCTGAGCTTTCTAATTAATTTACATACTGAATTGTCACGAAATATATAAACCCATTTTTATAGCAATTTGAACCGTTTTCCGATTTATAAAAACACATAAAAATCGGAAAATTTTTGAAATATTTGAATTGTGGTAAAAATGTTTAAAATTCACTAAAAAAAAAGTTGCAGCATTTTCAAAATTGCAGAAAATTTTGTAACTATTTTTCTAACTAATAACAGTATAAGAATACTTTATATATTTCCACAACTATGTACAGGCGGAAAAAAAAACAAAATTTCACCCCCCGTGAACAGTATATAACAATTTTGACCAAAAATCAAACATTTTCTAACATTCTAATATTTTCATGACTTTCTATACTTAAAAACAGCGCGAAAATCAAGTAAATGGTCGCTTTTTTTTTCTTTAGTGGAACCCTCTACCCCCCCGCTATCAGCCCAGTACCAGCTTAACGAACCTGTTGGCCTCGTCAACCCCTTAGCCACGAGCAGCAGTTTCAGATCACCATCGGTATAATTGTAGATTTTCGGATTATTTAGGGCAACATTAGTGATTTGTTGTCGAAATGAGCAGTAGAGGCCGCCATCCACTTTCCGCACCGAGCTTTCCAGAAGAATCCCGTTCATCTGCTCTTGCTAAAATAAAATTTCATAAATTCCACTTTTCGGCGCTAAAATCATTTTCTTTTTACCATACCGTTAAACCGTCAATCCTCTCGTTAGATGGATTCTCATTGTTCCACGACAATTTCGGCGAAAAATCCGCTTCATCGTCAATTTGAGAGCACTCCGACACGAAGCTGTTCGCCATCGCCGGCTCGGCCTAAAAGTGATATTTTCTGAAGTTTAGTTCTTTTATTTTATCGTGTTTTATTTTTTATCCCGGGAATACCGAAAAGAGCGAAAATCCCGACAGAAAAATCCCGACAGCCAGAACCCAGAATGCCAAAATACCGACAGATTGACACTTGTTTGAATGTCACTGCTTTTAAAAGCTCTATTTTTGTGTTTTTTGGCGTTGCATTTTAGCGTGTCGGGATTTCCTGTTGGTTTTGGCTTTTGGGATTTGCCTGTCGGGATTTCAACCTGTCGTGATTTTCCTATCGATATTTTGTTGCTCTCCCTCTCGAATCCATAAAAGAACTTACCCCTTCCGACAACCCGAATGCAATGTACGATTTCTCGGCCAACGTCGGGGCGTACAGCTCGACGTCGACGAACTTGACGCCAGCGTTGTGCGTGAACGGCTAAAAAAAGCGTTTTCCATAAAGCCCTGCCAAATACCTTGATGGAAACCGTCGCCGAATTGCTGTCCGTTGAAACGCAATATTTTTCTTTTCCGCAAGTGCTAGCATCAAACGGAATAGGGCCCGTCGTGCCCGTAAAAAGGGCTGTAGTGGTAATTACAGACGGCTGGGTGGTAGGCAAATTCAGTGGATTCATCACATCAATTTTCGCATCGGCCACTTTAATATCCTTATTCGAATGCTTGGTGAGCCCTAAAAAATCCATATTATTTTTATTATTCTAAAGTAATGCGCTTTGGCATTAGCGGGGGGAGGGGGGGGGGTGGGTGGGATTGGGGAAATCAATTTTTTTCTTAGGATTCAAATCTACGACCCGACCAACCGGTCCTCCTAAATGATTATTAACCGTTGCGAAACGCAGAAATATTTTCAATTTCTATGAAAAAAAAAGAAAAATACACATTTTTCAGCCAAAAATCGTCAGTTTCGGACAAAAAAAAATACATATAGATGCTTTTTGTTTTAGATATAGTTAAATTTACTAACAACACTGTTAAAAGCGGGTTGTTCAGTCGTTAGTAAACGTTCCCAACAAGCTTATGCAAAAGTTTGGTCCCCGATAATGCAACAGCACCGATTTCTTGGAAATAAAAGACAACTAACCAGCTTCCTTGGTCTTTCCCTTGGCGATGAGCACCAACTTTTGATCCCCATTAGTGTAGTTGTAGATCTGCTGATTATTTAGAGCAACACCAGTGATTTGTTGCCGGAATGAGCAGTAGAGACCGCCGTCCACTTTCCGTACCGAGGGTTGCAGAAGAATACCGTTCATCTGGTCTTGCTAAAACAAATTCTGGGTCTTTACTTGCTTTGTTTTTTTTTTTGGAAAATTCTATTTTCTAAGGCAACGTAGATATTTTTATCGATTAGATAGCTTCTATTTAAACCTTGAAACCAACCGTTAGGCCCTCAATTCGTTCATTCGAAGGTTGATCGTCGTTCCACGATAATTTGGGCGTGAAATCTGCCTCACCGATGATTTGGGAGCACTCAGAAACGTAGCTGTTCTCCATTGGTACGTCACCCTAAAAGTATCTTTTTTTTTATTACGCTGTTTCATAACGTACGCCACTCGACAAGCCAAGCGCAATGTACGAGTTTTCGGCCAACACCGGCGCGTACAGCTCGACGTCGAGGAAATTGATGCCCTGGTTATCGGTGAAGGGCTGGAAAAGGACAAAATAAAATGCCCAGAATACCTTTATAGAAAAAATAAATAAAAAAAATAATAGTTTTCATGCCCAGAATACCTTTATAGATATGATTGCCGATTCGCTGTCCGTTTTCAGGCAATATTTTTCCTTTCCACAGGCGCTATCATCAAAAGGGGCTCCCCCTGTCGTGGTAGGCGGTTGGGTTGTAGGCAAATTGAGTGGATTCATCACATCAATTTTCGCATCGGCCACATTAATGTCTCTACCCGAATGCTTGTTGAGCCCTAAAAAAATGCATATTATTTTTATACTCTAAAATAAGGGGCTTTGGCATTAGCGGGGGGATATGGGGAGCTTATCAGCGTTGACGGCAACGAAGTTTTTTTAGGATTAAATTGTGCTGTCTGACCAAAAAACGTTCCTAAATTGTCCTTAACTGTTGCAAAGCGTAGAAATATTTCAAATTTTTATTAAAAATACAAAAATACCGAATTTTCCACAAAAATTTCATAAATTACGAAAGTTCTAGTGAGTTTTTCCATCTGAAATATAGCTAAATTTACTAAAATCACCATTAAAAGCTTACTATACGGTTATTAGGCATTTCTGGACTTATATAAAAGTTCGCCCCCATTGCTAATGCGCAATCACCGATTTTTTGGAAATAATTAGACAACTAACCGGTTTCTTTGGTGCTTCCCTTGGCGATGAGCACCAACTTTTGATCCCCATTAGTGTAGTTGTAGATCTGCTGATTATTTAGAGCAACGCCAGTGATTTGTTGTCGGAATGAGCAGTAGAGACCGCCGTCCGAGCTTTGGATCGATTCCTCGAGTAGAATGGTCTTCATCTGGTCTTGCTAAAAAAAGACTTGATCTTTTTCTCAAAATTAAGGAAACGTGGATAGATTCACAGTTTAAACAGATTAAATAAATTATATTTTCAGCGTAGAACTAACCGTTAGCCCCCCAATGCGCTCATTCGCAGGTTGATCGTTATTCCACGACAATTTCGGCGTAAAACCGGCCTCACCGATGATTTGGGAGCACTCAGAAACGTAGCTGTTCTCCATTGGTACGTCACCCTAAAAGTATCTTTTTTTTATTACGCTATTTCATAACGTACGCCACTCGAAAAGCCAAGCGCAATGTACGAGTTTTCGGCCAACACCGGCGCGTACAGTTCGACGTCGATGAAATTGATGCCCTGGTCATTGGTGAAGGGCTGGAAAGGATAAAGTAATAGTTTTCAACTCCAGAATACCTTTATCGATATGATTGCCGATTCGCTGTCCGTTTTCAGGCAATATTTTTCCGTTCCACATGTGCTGTCATCGAATGGGAGTGCGCAGAGTGAGGTAGATATCTAAAAATGCTTGATAATGCCGCTTGTTAGACCTCGTGCTTGTTTTCGGATCTTTTTCCTTACCGGGGGAGGGGAATCCCCTCTCTAGAACCAGATAGATACTATCTGAAAATCTCGGAAAGGATTAAAAATTTGCGATCTTCCCCCGAAAATCCGCGCTTTTGGCCGAAAAATCTTGATTGTATGTTTTAATAAAAAAAGACCGTTCTACACTTAGTAATGGTAAAAATAGTTCCTAAATAAAAAGGCTCGGTATCACCCGCACGAATCTCAAAGAACCGTTTTTTTCCGTTTTCTTATCGTAGACTTTGATCCCGTCAGCCCTGGAATGCGCCCCAAAACTCACTGCAAGTGTGAGAATCAGCAAAACGCGACAGGATTCCCCGGGCTTTCGGGCGACCATGCCGACGTCTTCCTCCTCTTCTCCTTCTTATCGGCCCCAAGGGGTGCGCCCTAAAGTTTCCGTTTTCTCTGGCTCAACTAGCGAGGTGGCGACAGTGAAATCGGATCAACGAGTTGAGCCGCTTGCCCCTTTGCGAACCGAATAATTTTGGAAAAGTGAATTCTTTTTCCCCCAAATTCTTTGTCGACTGAGTCAGGATGCGCTTTTGAAATATGGGCTTGAAAATTTGAAAGTGTCCCGATGACAGGTTTTCGCTAGGCAAAAAAGGGACGATTAAAAAGTCCGCGTCATCTGAAACTTTAATGAATGCTGCTGGGACGGTAACTAAACATAAAAAAACAACAGTATTTTCACGGTAAGGATCTGCCGGAAAATGCACCCGAAATGAAGGGTTTTCTTAGACAAAAAACGCAACTTAGAAAGTTAGCAAGGTCTCAATAAGTTCAATAGCGGCTACTGGGAAAAGCAAAAGTTTAGAAACAGGATCACTTGACAAGTTCTAAAAATTTTAATTTTACGACACGAAGGAATAGCTATTGGAGCGGATTACCTGAAAAATCGGCTCTAAAATCAGCCAAATATGACAGTGTTTCCAGGCAAACAAAGGCAAAAAGCTAGGCTCATCGCCCGCCAAGAAAAACTCATCGAAAACGCCCAAAGAATGAGGAAAAAAAAATTCGGATTTTCGTAGACAAAAACGCCGCTTAAAAGCGAGCACGATAATCGAATACCTTAAAAAATACCATACTGGGCGTTGTCTAAAATTTGAAAATATTAAGAAATGCCAAACCAGCAAAATATTCTTAAAAATTCGCCTAAAATGTTGCCTTGTAGCACAGCATCTGGCGGATTACCGCTCCAAAAGTTTCACGGAATTCAGAAAACAATAAAAAAAACTACATAAAAGTATCGAATGGACAGAAGCGGACGCTGCATACTGAGTCAACCCCCCGGTGACGCCTTTTTCGGGAAGGGCATCAATGCTTTTCCTCCTGGCGACCCCCACGCACAACCCCATCTGTACAAATAATAGTTTGGACGGATGAGGCCCCGGAAATGGGCAAATTTCCGGGTACCTGGTCAGAAAAATAGGGTCTAGGAGCTCTAAAATCTAGTCTTTTATGGTAAGATCAGAGAGAACGAGCCAAGGTTCTTTCGCATTATCGGGGGGCGTATCGGGTCGGATAATCCTGGGACAAGCTTTTTCCCGTAATGAGCATTTCAGTATCTAAAATTGGCACAAGCACTGTTTGAACAATATTTTTTTAAAGTGGAAACGTCACACATTTTTATAAAACCGAAAATCATAGACCTTTCCAGAAAAATTTAAACTTTAAGCGTTTTTGTGGTCTCCCCAATGAATTTTTCGCATGAAAATATCTAAAATTTATCAATTTTGTTTATGAACGGCCATGCTCAAAAAAAAATTGGGAACTTCACGTTCGAAGAGAAGGAAGCCGAAAAATGCGGAAAATCAGAAGATTCGCCCCCCCGATACTGCCATAGAACCGAAAAATCGTAGCGAAAAGGTCGCCTCTGCTACTTATATAATCACTTTGAGAGAAATTTATTAAAGAAATTCAGAACCCCGACGTCAAATAAAAATGAAGCCGAGCCCCCCGGCACGTAGAAGGCGTTCCAAAATGCAAAACCCCAGGCAATCAACGCGTCAGAATGACCCTCGCCCGGAGAAGACTGATGATTTCTCCCCGGGCGAACCGCGCCGTCGTATTCCGCGTTGTTCGGATCAGCCAGCCTCCGATAAGTGAAAACGAAAGGGTGTCACAAACTCCTGGGTTGACGAATCCGTGTTTCGGGCCAGAATAGCTGCCCAAGGAGAGAAACGGCGCCTTATCTGAAGTCGTCTTTGCTCGGCCAATGAATGGAATACCCGGTGCAGAGCAGTGTGTCCGGCCGCGGCGTCATTTTGGCCTATAAATCGGCTGCGGGCGCTCGCTTTCTTGGTGTTGCAATTAAACGCGATAGCCGGGCAAGCTTATACTGTTTTGAAACAGGTCCTGTGCCACGCCCTATGATCCCATTTTTATACCTTTTAAAAACATGCGGACTCGAGCCTCAAGTGTTGAATGTTTTTGAAAAGAACAGTGCTTTTGCATTATCGGGGGGGGGGGTCTATTTAAGACCCTTTCCCTTTCCTTATTCCTAAATGTAAAAATCTAGAACTTTTTAGACTTAAGAAAGTACGAGCAATATCGATTTTCGACCAAAATTACCGATTTTCGTTCAAAATTTTGTTGTTTGTTGATAAGTTCAAAAGCTTCAGTTTTACAATAGTTTTATTGAAATTAGAGCTAAAGTCCTTCAGACACTATTAAAACACTTGATTTTATATTACTTGGCGTATCTGGGTTTTGTAAGGCCGCCACCCCACCGATACTACAAAAGCGCCTTCGTTTCTGTAAAAATAGGTAGGACGAAGCTAGACTGTTTTCTAAAGAAGATTTTACCCAAAAAATACCTTATTTCCAATCCACATACCCATTGTCCTTGATGATTCTAGGTTCAAATGCTAGTCGCATCCCGCAGAATCGTCGACAAAAATACAACTAAAGAGTTATCCATTTTATACAAAGTAAAATATCGACACCGGAACACGTAGGAGATCATCACAGACAAAATGATAGAAGCTCAAGCTTACAACAGCGTAAAATGGGAAGACCAATTGGTAAAGAAATAGGAATTTACCAAATCTACTTCTCAAAATTATTACAAACTCAAAGCCAAACAAAACACTATCTCAATTCTATTAGCGGCACGACGCGAATTCGTTCCAAAGCTTCTTCAACTTGCGACTCCATTCTTGCGCGTCCGGGCGCCAATTTGCCTCCGAAATGACGGTAGGACGCCTGGAAAAGGGCAGAGAATAGTTTACAAAAAAGTGTCCACAATAATACCTGATTAACCAGTCGGCGATCGGCTTGAGCTTTAAGAGTTTCTCGGCGGTGACCACCTATAATTTGGGGGTTTGCCTTTAAGAGATAGACAAAATATACCTTTGTCGACAGGGCGGTTAAAATTTTGCGCTGCAACAGTGCCGTACAACTCGCGAAATAGTCCTGGAAAATTGATTTTAGAACGATCGAAACCGGAAAAATGGAAGCGAAAAGCGTTTTTTTCAGGTCCTATCGCATTATTGGTCGCGGAATTTTTTGCAAATCTAGAACCACCTAGCAACGCAATAGCCATTATTTTATTAATGTTTTTTTTATAAAATTTCCAGAAGAAAACTATATAGAAAACCTCAAAAATTTTTAAAATAGCAATTTTGTTCAAAATCCATCTCTTGTCGAAAAATCTATAATTTTCTATTTTTGAAATAAAAGCTTGTAAAGTTTTCACGTTCATTTGTACGTTCAGAAGTAGTTTCACGTTCAGAAGTGTAAGGTTTCACGTGAATAAAAACCCTTAGAACAAGTATATCTCTACATTCGAAAAATAACTCTAATTTCAAAAAGCCCTCCCCAGATACTGCATACGAACCAATTTTTTTCCATTACCTGAATCCGTTTCTCCGACTGGAAAAACTCGGCAAATGGCAACAAGGCGATGATTTCGATGAAAATGGGTAACAAGATAGCTGAAAAACGCTTAGCTAAAAATGAAAGTTTCAACCTTGAGTTCTCCACTCCTCGCAATCCATATTTCCCACAAAGACGTTGAGGATGTCCAGGCCGGTCAGATAAATCGGGATCACACCTCCGGCAATGTTCGTCTAGAATTATAATCCATCATTTTTTAATATTTATCAATACTAGCCGTCAATTGAGAAGCTCAAAAAGTCCTTACCTGCTCGACCAAGGCGCTTACAGTCGACAACCGCGCTGTAATGATCGCCTGCTCGTCCTTGATTTCTTTTTTGAGCTGGGAGCGCTATAAAGCAATATTAAAAAAAGTTTACCACTTACAAAAAGATGTTCGAAGCTGTGAAAGATCATCTCCAAGAGCAAGGAGACGCAGTGCGACCAGTCCAACAAAACGGAGGGGCGCTCTTTGAACTTTTCTAGCTTCTTGATGTTGGCCTCGGTTTGTTCGATGTACATGTGTTCTTTTGTCTAAAAAATTTCAAATGGGGATCTTTCGCATTATCGGGGGGGCAATTTTTCCTATCAGCCCAGAAATGACTAGTAAATTAATATTAACCATTTTAATAATATTTTAGTAAAATTTAACTGGGTTTTAAGTGGGAAAAAAAGAATTTCAAAACTCAAAAAATTTCTAGTCGAAATTTTTGTAGAAAATTGGGTATTTTTAGTCGAAAAATCTATATACTTAATCAACATTTGTAAATTGTACGTGGAGGAATGGCAACAACAGTGTTCTTATGTTACATGCTTTGATGTTCAAAAATTCGGATTCTAGACGAAAAAGTTGGTTCCCCTTTTCCGATACTGCAAAGAACCCGAAAAGGGTGAAAAAAGGAGATAGTAGAAGATGATTAGCGAAAATCTCACATGTCGATAGACGCCAATTTTGGCTGACGGTCGATAGGCATAGTAGAAATAGGCGCGATGCGTGCAGGTGATCTGCAAGAAGCGAATTAATTTTTTAAGCCATTTTAGCAAAAAGCCCCTTGCTTCAAAAACATACCCAATCAGTCAGAACGGCCGTGAGCCGCTGCGATTTGATCGCTGAAAATTTCTCATCCGGCAGACTGTTGATGAACTGTTCGAGTCCGTAGTACGAATCGATCACCTAGAATTATTCACTTTCTGGCAAGCGAAACCGCTCGACCTCTCGCAAATTCTGATCCTGGTTCGTCCCATATTTTCTCGCATCCACATCCATTAATGCGAGGCCTCGCCGTAAGGAGGTAACGTTTTGGAGCAGGGACAGCTTTACCTGGCATACCTAAAAAACCGAAATTACAGGGGGTTTTTCCGACCAGATCGTTTTGCCCGATCGCCTGGCCATCAATTTGCTCGATGTGCTTCAGTCCCAACTCATAGAACCTGATCGCCGACGAGAAGGTGTCCAACAATTCGCGTATTGGGGCTGAAAAGGGTTATTGGGGAGATTTCAAATCACCCGTTTTTTGCTTTTCATATATCGCGAGGCGATGGCGATCACCGCATTGCATCAAGGCCAGGCTGATGGCGCACCGGACACTGAAAGTGTAATTGAAAATTCGATCTCGATCTCTCTATCTCTCGCTCTCTCTATCTCTCGCTCTCTCTCGCTTGCTCGCTCGCTCTCTCTCCCCGAAAGCTTACCCCGGCAGGTCAAAATTGTCTCGATAAAGCCGACTCTCGAGCTGATCGTAATCTTTTGTGTATTTTGTCAGCAACGTTCGGAATTTGTTGCCCACGTCCAGCATCCAGCGATCCAGCTCTTCCGGGTCGGTCATCATCTCCGGCGTAATATCGACCAACATTCGCAGCGGGTTCGTTTCTACAGCAAACAAGAAGCATTAAAAAACTGAAGAGCCCTACCCGGAATTACAATCCCCGATAGCCACTTCTTCAGAAAGATGTCGCCGCTCCGGGCTTCGGATAACTATTAAAAAATAAAATTAGATATCGTGTAACCCACCTTTTCGTGCAATTCCTCGGTCGAAGATCGCGTCTGGCTCATCAACAGCTGCATGTAGAGGCGGAAGACGTTAGAAACCTGGACGAGGGCAGCGGTTCGGGTTCTCGAATTTGATTGCAGTCGCATCACCTCGGCTGGAAAAAATGGCCTATGAAATCCTAGTAATACCGTACCCGCATGTTTAAAGGCGCTGCGACAAAGCTCGAACAGGTAGGCCGCATCCGAGTTGCCGAAGACGTGCGATTCCGGGTGGCTCTAAAAGGCAAAAAGTGTAAGTTTAAAAAGATGTCGAGGTGTTCTGGCAATATCGTGGGGGGGGGGATTTTCTCTGTAAGACCGGATAATCCTCTTAATGTAATACCAAAATTTTAATATTTTTTGCTCCAGCGTAATCAATTTTCAGGCGGAAAAACTGTTAAAAAATTTATTTGTATTTTCAATGCATTCGGGAATAGAAACGGGTCAAAATATTTTTTCCGTTTGTAATCGATTAAAAATTTAATCCAAGCAAAAATTGTAATTGTCTTCTCCCCCCCCCCCGATGTTGCAAAAGATCCCCAAAATCAAGTCGCCTACCTCCGGTTCGACAAGAGCCATCAGTAAGTATGCGGAAACGGCTCGTAAATGCAGCAACGATCGAAGCAACAACACGTCTGCCCCGGGCCGCGGCTTCTTCCGCTCTTTTACTACCGTATCCTGGTCATCTTTGCCGATCGGGAAGAGCGGGATTTTACTCGCCACTCCGTTCTTCTCCCGCTCCTCGACAATGCTCACGCTTTTCAAGGCCTAGAATTTTCTGCACTTGACTTTTAAGTCATGCTATACCGAATCCAGCGAATTTATGGCGTAGGTGAGGCAGTCGACTGGAGTGTCGAGGCCGGGCACTGTACTTCTGAACCTGAAATGAAATAATTTTTAAAGTAGACTGACCGAATAGCAGCTTTTCCTTTGTCTTCGTCATCATCAACGATAGACACTGCCGAGCGTAGAGCGCTTATCTGAAAAAATAGACATGTTTGCTCTCCGCCAAAAGTATTACCGGAATTGATGCCGACATCGAGGGGTTGCGCTCTATCAAAATCGACTCAAGCCCAAAGAGTTGATTGTGTGGCCGCTCGAGAGCCGTTGACAAGTTTTGCCTAAATGAAACGGATCAAAAAAAATCTTAATTCCATTACGTCTTCAGCTTGACGGTGACACTTTGGTACAGCGCGGCTTTCAGATAGTAGAGCGAAGCGGCCAGCTAAAACGGATCAGACCCAAAACTTTCTTTCCAAAAATGCAATCTTTACATGCGGCAGATGGTCTTCATCAAAAATCTCCTGCGCTGAGCGGAGCATTTTGTAGGCAATTTCGATGCGCGTCGTGCAGACGGTGTCGTCGTTCAGGAAATCGGCGACTTGCTAGAAAAGCAAAAAAAATGAAAAATATTAAAAAAAATGCCTTCATTAATGCTGACGCAACCACCGGAAGCGAGGGGTTGAACTCGGTTTTCTTTGACAGATCTGGGAACATGGCCGTCATGTCGTAGAGGGTCAGGTCGTCTCCACCTTCTTCTAAAAATGGGCTATATGAAGAGAAAAAACCGAACGCGTGAGAGAGGGCGAGAGAGAGAGAGAGAGAGAGAGAGAGAGAGAGAGAGCGAGAGAGCAAGAGAGCCATGTTAATGCAGTTTCCATACCTCTATGCAAATAATAGGTATGTCCCTGTTCGGTCATTTTGTCGTCCAAAAATTTGTGCACATTCTCGATGACGGTGGCCAGCTCGGAGGGGTCGAATTCGCTGCCCTTTAGCGTCGGGATTTCGGACGTCATGTGCAGTTGGAAGTCCTGAAAATTGACGTTTAGACGCTTTAGAGTCAGAATTCAAAATTAGCAACTTCTGGATGAATAATGGCTTGAATCCAATTAATGTTAGCGCCGTTTTATCAAAACCCGCTTCCATATCTCATTTCCACTACTCGCCGAACATGAGCGATGGGCTCGACGTGGACGGGCTGTTGAACCGGATGCTGGCCGTCGGCCGCCCGACGACCGGCATGACGCTGACGGTCCCTGAGGAGGAGCTGATCACGTTGTGCAGTGAGTCCGAGGGCTGGGTTTTAGTATATGTTGTAGAAATGGCGAAAGACATGTTCATGTCGCAGCCGGTGTTCATCGAGATTGACCCGCCGGTGCGGATTTGCGGCGATACGCACGGGCAGTACGGTGACCTGCTGCGGCTGTTTGATCGGGTGAGCCGGAGATTATCGCAGTCTTTGAATAGTATTTTTACGAATTATCGCTTCCTTCAAGCACAAAAAAAAGAAATTTTGGTTCTTCGCTTTTAACGGGGGGAGCTAATGGGAAAATTCTACTTTACGGTATGTTCCCAAAATGTCAATTTTTCGGCTGGAATCGATGCAGCTCGATGAGCTTGTGCATTTCCAGTCGAAAAAACGATTGGGAAACGCTTCTGGACAAAGTTATAGGCTTTCGAAAATAGCGAGTATACTTTATTGTTAGTATACTGTTCATAAAATGTCATTTTTTCATCTGAAAACGATAAAGCTCGGTGAGGTAAAGCGTTTTCCGTTGAAAAAGCAATTGGGAATACCATAAATCAAAAGTTATTACGTTTGAAAGCTATTTTTGGTAAGGTCCTTAGGCTACGCAACACTCCTATCCCCGCATTCTAAAGCGTGCCCTCTCTGCAGTTCTCACGTGCTGAGCTAAAAACATTTGGAATTTTTAAAACTAGTAATTTGAGTATGGAAAAGATAAATAAATGTTAGTTGTGGCCTCTAACATTGTCAGGCAAGGCGGGCCGTCGCTTCGGATGGGCTGCCGCTCCACTCTTCCGAAATCGGGGCGCCTGGCCGCTACGCGTGCCTCGGGCGCCCCGATTTCGAAACCCTGTACGAGCTCGCACCCATCCGAAGCGACTAGGCCCCGGGTGGCACGAAGCCTTATTTTTAGGCTCATATTGGGTGTCTATCGGTCGAAAACCAAGCAAAAATGCGATGATTTTCATCAATTTTGGTGTATATTTTCGAAAGCCTATAACTTTGTCCAGAAGCGTTTCCCAATCGTTTTTTCAACTGGAAACGCACAAACTCATCGAGCTGGATCGATTCCAGTCGAAAAATCGACATTTTGAGAACATACCGTAAAGTAGAATTTAGCCGAGCTAATTTTTATCTTTACGACTATTCCTACCTGTTAGTAAAAACTTGTATAAATACATTAGTTTACTAGCGCATGTTTACGCTGTTTTTAGTAGTTTTTGATTGCTGGACAGTTGCAAAAAAAAGAAAATTGTGTAGAAATTCGACGATTTGTGTAGAAAATTGTGTAGAAATCCTTTATTTGGCCATTTTTCATAGAGTTTTGACCAAACCATCATTTTCGAAAATTTTTTATGATTTTTGTATCTAAAAACTGTGTAAAATATGCTATAAAACCGTCTAAAATACGAAATATCGGGGGGGAAGGTTGGGTAAGAGTCTAGAAAACCCCCGCCCAGCCGGCACCAACTTTTGTATCTCGGCCCCCCTTTGTGTTAGCGAGCTCTAAAGTATACCAAAATGTTCGCCGTAGGCTAATTAGTAAGACTACATTGCAGTTCAGCCGAAAAAAGTAGCGAAAAATAAAAATAAGGAAGGTAGAAAAGTTGAAAAGTCGGCTGGGGGGGTTTCCTAGACTTGAGCCGAAGGTTGCCCTCCCTCCCCCCATAAACCGGAAAAACCAAGATTTTAATTTTTGAAACGAATTTCCAGGGCGGCTTCCCGCCGACGGCCAACTACCTCTTCCTCGGCGATTATGTTGACCGGGGCAAGCAGAGTCTCGAGGTGATCACGCTGCTCTTCGTCTACAAGGTCGGCTTTTTGCACTCGACAAGCAGCAGCGGCCACTGCAGCTGCGCTACCCCAAGAACTTCTTCCTGCTGCGCGGCAACCACGAGACGCCGAGCGTCAACCGGCTGTACGGCTTCTACGATGAGTGCAATCGTCGCTACAGCCCACGGCTCTGGGAGGCTTTCCAGGTGTGCCACAGACTCTGAAAATTAGAAATTATCCATCACCAGGACGCCTTCAATTGCATGCCACTTTCGGGCCTGGTCGGCGACGCCATCCTCTGCATGCACGGTGGCCTGTCCCCGCAGCTGCAGACGCTCGACCAGTTGCGCGAAATTCAGAGGTATTTGGATCGTAAGGGCAATCGTAACCATCGTTTTTTGGGTTCTGGGCTGTTAGCGGGGGGGGGCTAAGCTAAATTTCCGTGACAAGATCCACCTTTCAATAATATATAGTGTATTTTTTTATGCTCGTATTTTTTCATTGTTCGAAAGCCAACAAAAAGGTCTAAAAATTTTTTTGAAATTTCACAATGGTCTTGGTTGGTCATTTTTCATCAATTTATTTCACCAAAATCCACAATTTCAAATTTTTTTTTGTACTTGTATCCAGGGGCGCAGCCAGAAAAAAATTTCGGGGGGGGGCACAAAAAATTTTTCCAAAAAACTCAAAACATTGCCAAAAAAACAGCGCCGCAGGCAAAAATTTTTGAAAAAAAGGTTGCATAGCTCTACAAATAGCCGTAAAAACGTGAAAAAATAGCGCCGCAGGCAGCAAAATTTTTGAGAAAATCAAAATCATAAGGGTCCCCCTTATGAAATTTTCGGGCCCCGGCCGATTTCGGGGGCGGGCCCAGGGGGCCCACCTTACGCTACGTCCCTGCTTGTATCTAAAAATTGTGCAAATGCCAAAAAATGGTTTATGTTTCGCTATAAGACTGTACGGGGCTATGGAAAAATTTGGTCCCCCCCCCGCCCGCCAACAGTCCAGAACCGACATTTGTAGGCCAACCCCGGCTCTGAAAGCATCGCTCGAGCTTGACCTGCTTTGGGCTGACCCGGCTGCCAACTTATGCGGCTTCGCCCCAAATGTCCGCGGCACCTCGGTCTGGTTCGGGGCCGACATGGTCAAGCAGAAATGCGCGGATTTGGGCATTGATTTGGTATGTAGCGGGCCATGTCCTCTAGGCTGGGATTCCAGGTAGCTCGCGCGCACCAGGTCGTTCAGGACGGCTACGAGTTTTTCGCCGACCGGAAGTGAGCAACTTCGCCAAAATTTGATACAGTGTACTTTGAGGTTGGTGACCGTCTTCTCGGCTCCGCACTACTGCGGGCAGTTCGATAACGCGGCCGCGGTTCTGATTGTCAAGGAAGACTTGCTGGTAGGGGATATGACGCTATCAGACCAAACCACTTCCAGTGCTCCTTCGAAGTCTACAAGCCGCAGATCGGCAAGCTGGTCGTCGCCTCGAAGGAGCTCACCAAGGGATCCAAGGAGACCGCCGCCTGAACGCCCCCACCAAGCTTACAACTATCGTCATATTACCTTAAAAGATCCAGAACATTGAATTGAATAAAACATTTAAAAAGTGCAATTGGCAAAAGGGGCGCTAAAAATATATACAAACCTTTCTGCTGCCTTTTCCTTGGTGAATGACGACAACCCCGTCGAGTCCTTTGATCATCTGATCCAACCACATATCCACTCCAGTCAGAATTGAGATAGGAAGCTCTTGGCTAAAAACAGCAGTATGATCGAGCGGTTCATTCCCACTACTTGTTTCTAAGGATCATTTTTTCGAATCAAAATACAGCAAAAGTTTCTAAACTTTTTACTATTACTGAACGTAAGAACGTAAAAACGTAAAATTTCTCGAACAATTTTCGACCAAACATGGCCGATTTTTGGCCAAAATGTCGAGCAAAAAAAAGGTTTTTTTCGCGTTTTTATTGTTTTTCCGCTTGAAATAGAGGTGAATTCTACTAAAAACATCGTAAATTACTTAGCATCAAGTTAATAGACCTTTCTAGACTTACATGAAACCATTCATTCCTCTCCAGCCCCGCCCCGCGCCCTCCCCCCGATAACACAAAAGAAACTGCAAAAACTAACTCTGCTCGAATAGAAATTGAGGGGAAATTCTCGCCGCTCAGCACCGGAATCTCGTGGTCGACGAGCATCCGAAGATTCGAAAATTCCCAGACATGCATCGAGGAGCCCGTCTAAATAAAAAAAATTAATCTTCCCACTGGACCGACGTCTGTAGAGATTTTATACGTCAGCGATTTCGGGCGCGTCCATGTTTCGTGGACATTCAGCGACGTATTACTTGAGCGCAACGACGGGTAGACGTTCATTACCGAGACCGCATTTGATAGATCCCACCTAGAACCTAGTTTCTTGACATTCTTTCAGGCTCTACATTTCATCATTCGACTCCGAGAGCCCCTCCCAGATCTTTGTCGTCGGCTCATCCACATTAGAATACGACGACTCGACAAAGGTCCTCGCCAATTCGTCTCGGATATTCACACCCGAGCTTTCCCATTGTTGCGAGGAACTGGATTGATTATTGCCCTAAAAGAAAATTCAAAAAAAATGTAGTCAAACCTGATTCGGGCGTTTCACTTGGTCGACGTAAATTGTATTGCCGACGCGGTGCGCCATGATGTCAAGCGGTTGATGGTTGAAGGGGATCATGATCAGCTGTTTTATCTACAAAAAAAAATTGTTTTTAGACGCCAAAATCTACCGTTCGACCACTTCCCACCAAATGTGGAGGCTTCTCGGGTAGAGGGTGCTCGTGGAAGGCTTCATTCACTCTTTCCAAACTAAAAACGAAAAAATGACTCTTTCTCATTGCTATAAAATGAATGATTGTATCGCCCACATTGAATGATGTCGTAGAAACCGCTGCTCGTTCTCATAGCCTGGCGGAATGTTCTGACGTTGCGCAATGGCTTTGCTGAGCGCGTCGTGCACAATTGCTAAAGCTCAGAAATAATCATCCCACAAGCCGATCCAACCGGATTCCTGTGAACAGTGCGGCGCAATTGGTCGTGGGGCCGGGACGGCTGGCCTTTGATGGGGCCAAGCATTGTGAGACATTGCTAGAAAATTCATTGCTATTGTGTAGTACATGTTGTCAAACAGCCAATTATATAGCAACTCCCGGCTTCTAGGCATCGATGGAATACCAGGCCTGATTTCTTTGTGTTTCGCAAACTGAAGAAAGAAACAAACTTTATTCAGGGTCAACGAATCAACAAAAACAACAAACTAACAACAATTCGACGAGATCGGAATCAACGTTCCTGTTTGTTCGACAAATCGACGAGCGCCTTCATCCAGCCCGTCGCCAGCTGCTCTGCTGCGGAGCCATCGAGGTTCAGCTTTGCACGCTAAAAGTAATTGAATGCTTAGTATGCTTTAAAAAAACCTTGTGCACGTCCGCCACGCCTTCAGGTCGGTGCGTCAGGAGAAACTTCAGGTATCCGAGCCAGGCCTCAGGGCTGAAAAGTGATTTCGCAAAATGGATGATTTAACTGACTCCTTATCGTTTTCATTGATGGCCGCCTTCCATGAGGTTTCCACAAGCGCTTTGTCGAAATCGGGCGCTCGCTTGCTTTCCAATTTTGCTACCGCCTCGTAGACCGAGGTGCTAAAATTGCATAACTTGAGCAGCAGCCATGTTAGCTACCTATTTGGCTTCATGTCCATCAAGCGTCTAGCTTCATTTCGGAACAATTCGGAGTCTTGTGCGGCATCGAGGTATTCAAGCCGGGCAACCTTAAATGGGTCTCGTACGAAGGACCTTATTATTACCTTCATTTCCGACGCAACGCTCGCATCGGCTGCTTTGAAGCATTGGGCGAATAACTAGAAAACCGATATAATAGAACTAAAAACCAAGTCCCACGTTATCGACTGTCGCTGGAAAATGCTCTACAGCAAAATCAATAGCCAGCCTCCAGATGGGCAACTGTTCGTGCAAGCGGACCTAAACAAATAAATAAATACCATGGAATCACGCACCTTTTGGAAAGCCTCGTCGAAGAGGGACATTATGGCGGGCTCAACTTTGTCTTGGCTCCGGCGCTTCGGGCCCCGCTCGAGCTGCGTGATCTCGGCTTCGATCCGCGCCTCCCAGAGCTTCGCATCGCAAGGCGTTTTCTAATTTTCCAGTGATCGATCCCAAAATAGTCCCCACCTCAAGGCCCAGCTTCGCAATGTCGATAATCCGCGCAACATGCGAGCTGTCAGTCTCATCCAGATTTTCTAGCGTCTAAAAACAATCGTAGATAAATTATTAAAATTTGAAACCGACCTGTTGAATGTCGCCCATTGACGCGTATCCAGCTTTGATCATGCCTTCGCGGAGCCGTTCCACCGCAAGCGCTCTCTCCTCTGGAAATCCCAATGGTTGTTGCCAAAAATTGCAATCAACCTCCTGCCGCGCCAAAGATTTGCAGCAACTTGCGATACATCTGCTCGGAATGGCATTCTTTCAAAATGTCTTCATAGGTATCGTAGAGATCCTCAACTAAGGTTTGAAAAAGGTATCGTAAAATACCTTCTCTTCGGCCACCGCTTCAGCCTCGGCCTTAGCCAACAGTTTAAATTCCTTCTCGCCTGGAGCCTCCAGCTAAAACTTTTAGATTAAGAGAAATCTTAGAACTACCTCATTTATTCTCTCAAAAACCTTGGCCTCAATTTTCGCCGCTGATGGGCCAATCTCTCGGCAAGTCTGCCACATTCTGTACAGCATTTCTGGAAAGGATATCAGTAGGTGCAGGGGAATGCTTACCCGCTCTCCGACTCGGATCCTGAACTTGTTTCAACGATTGTTTGAGGACAATTTCGGCAACTTCAAGGTCCAGCACTGCATCGCTAACTTCTTCCGGGGCTTTGTTCAACTAAAAAAATAAACTATTCAAAGGCCCTAAACTACTTCTTCCTCCATATCTTTTTCCTCTTCTGCCGTCGTCTTTCTAGCCCCGCGTCGCTTCAAAAACTCCAGTCGAGTCTTAATCCTGAAACACAATTCAAAAAACGTATTCATTTGCCAAGTACCGATCCACATAGAGTATCTCGACTTTCAGCAATGTGATCCAAAACTCGATTTCCTGTGCGTCTCCCCGGATGGCTTGTTGCAATTGCGTACGGGCGTTGTCGATCTAATTTTTGAAAGAAATGCCGAGATAAGTGACACAAACCGAGCTATTCCCCGTCAATTCCCAGACGGCTGATCTGCAACGCAGCGGCACATTCGATGAATTGAACTAAAAACAGCCTGAGATCTCTGAAATCTCCTACCTGCAAAGCCACCGTGAACGCCTTGCTGCAAACTCCATTGAGTTTGTACTGGGTCAGAAAATCCAGGCAGCTATTCCACAAGGGAAGATTCCCCTAAATCAAATTTATTACTTTTCGGAATCGACTGACCGCAAATCTGTGGGCACATGCGTAATAGAGACCGCCGATTTTTGTGGCAAGCGCCCCGTCGATATCTTTGTAGCGATGCATGTAATCTAGCTTCTTCCTCCGTTTCTTCACGAGGGACATAAGGTCCTTCAGGTAGTCGACGTACACCAGATAGTCGGCTTCGGTTTTTTGCTATAAAGCTTTTAGGAGATAGACCGAATTCAACCTTTTTCCCGATACGATATTCGTAGCGGCGGCATCGCTTGACGAGCTCATTCACCTCTTCGTCCTTCAAAATCTCGACATTCTTGAGCTGCTCGAAGAAGGGGACGAGCTTCTCGATACGGAGCTCCACGAACTCTCCCATCTAAAAGCAGAAGTTCTCTATTTTTACATTAATTTTACAAAAAAAAAATCGAAAAACAAGGTTTACTAGAAGGGAAGAATAAAATCGGCTGAGGCCCGTTTCCGCATGCCCCTTTGCACGGATTTACCTAGCGCGTTTCGTGCACGACTAGGCCATGGAATTTATTTTGCGATTCTTTTTGCATAATTGTTTTAATTAAAATTTAAAACAGGAAACCTTGCTTTCCTTTTAAAAATATGATAAACCAACAACTTTTTTTTTAGATAATACCCCCTTGACGGCGCCCCTTAATGCCGAATTCCTCGTGCCAGAATGAAGACTGTTGTTAGCGATTTAGCGCAAACGCGATGTATTGAGGTTAGTGGCTTTCTCGCTGCCTGTATTAATTTGAGTTTAGGCTGTATTCACGGGAGGCGATGTGGCATGGACTCAGGATGGCCAGCGGTTGTTCGCGACATGCACCGACACCGTCAAGGAGATCAACCTGCAGAATAATTTGGAGACGTAGGTCGAAAATACAAGGGGTTTATCAGGGACTGTTTACTTTTACTTATACCATTATTTCTAGGCGGGAGATCGGCGGCTCTGACGAAAGGGGACGTGTCACAGCACTGACTATCGACGAGGAGCGTAGGCGGCTTTTTGTTGCTTATAACAGCGGCTTGGTATGATTAGGATAAGGTTTTTCCACTTCGATTTAGATCTGCGAGTATTCGATGGACGGCGACACATTTGGCACGACGCTCCGCACCTGGAAGCCGATGCACACCGCACCGATCCTGATTATGAAATTTAATGCCGACTTTTCTCTGTTTGCCACTGCTTCCAGTGATAATAATATCAAGGTCGGCCGTTATCAAATTATTTTTATCGCAACTGTTTTCAGATTTGGGACGTGCGAAAACAAATCTGCTTGTATCACTTCACCGGCTCATCGGTCGTCACCTACGTAGCATTTGTGCAAAATGGAAAATTGCTTGCTGGGTATTAGATATGTGCTTTTTTGCTATTTCCTTTTTAGGTATATGGATGGTGTTACGATTCTCTACAGCTTGAACCCGGGCGTGACAAATCGGGCCCTGACGCAGTGGCAGAATCACCAGGGCCAAATCTCCTACATCGGCGAGATCAAGGACAGTCGTGAAGCCCTTATCGTGTCTCGCGATCAAATCTGCAGCATTGTGGATGTCGAGTCGACCAAGAAGATAAAGGCGCTTCCACTTTTTGAGGTAACGGGAAAATGTAACTTTCAACGATCTATTATTTCCAGGCAATCGAGGATGGTTGTCTGCTTGGGGACCGATTGTTCACAGTTGGTGAAAAAGGAGAGATTGTGGAATGGGAATGCGCGACGGCGAGACGAATCAGATCTAAGAAACTTGCTGGGTACCCCTATCATCAATTTTTATGTAGTTTTACCATTTTCCAGCCACGGCCTGAACAGCATTTCGTACAACGCCGCTACTCAAAAATTCTTGGTAATTTCGGCGGAAGAGATCATCTATGTGCTGAACCAAGAATTTGACGTCGAACGTCAACTGGTCGGCTTCCACGACGAGGTACGTCTCCTTGCCAATAATTTTAACAATGTTTGTAGATCTTCTCCACTGCCATCCTCGATAGAAGCGAGAACTTTCCCGGTTACCTTGTTGCAGCTGCCAATACAAGCCAGATCCGCCTCTACAATATGGAGAGCTGGGATTGCAAACTGGCGGATGGTGATAGATTTTCTAGATTTTTTTACAAGGTTATTAGGTCACAGCGACTCCGTTCTCTGTGTTCGGACTCCGATCTGGGATCACTCCCTTCTCGCATCAAGCTCAAAAGACAACTCCATACTTTTGTGGAAGCTCGTCGCCGGCCGCCAAGAATTGGAACAGATTGCGCTGGTTTGTTTAGTTTTCGCTATGACTTTAATGCGCTTTAGGGTGATGGCCACCTGAATTCTGTTGTCTCGGTTGCCTTTTCTCATTCTGGGAAACAACCTTTCATTTTGTCCGTCTCTTACGACACTACCCTCAAGCTGTGGGACCTCAGACCGGTAATCAAGAAGGGCCAGAAGAAGCCGGAGGAATTGTAAGCGCTTTTCTGTAAATTAATCATTATTTTTAGGCCTAAACTTGCCTCTTCGTCAACGATTGTAGCCCATCAGAAGAACGTGACCTGCGTCGATTGTGCTCCGAATGATTCGCTTTGCCTGACCGCCTCGATGGACAAGACGGTTCGCCGTGCATTTTCTGCTTTATCCAAGTTTTAGGCCAAAATTTGGAAGATCGACACTGGGAAGATGCAGCTCGGAATCGCGGGCACCCTGTCGGGGCATAAGCGCGGTGTCTGGGATGCAAAGTTTTCGCCCAATGCGCAGGTTTGTATTCCGACTTTCTAGGCTTATACAATTCTCCTTAGAAAGTGGTGACATGTTCTGGTGACCAAACGCTGAAGATCTTCAACGTCTCCGATTGCACTTGCTTGCATACTCTCAGCGGTCATACATTCGCAGTTTTGAAGGTAAATAATGAAATCTTATTAGTGATACAATTAAATGTGCTTTTTATTGGTGAAACTATCGAGAATAATTATCTCTTCTCCAGGCTGAATGGATCAACAACGCCTCGCAGATCATCTCCGCAGACAGTGGCGGCGTCCTAAAGCTGTGGAAACTTGAGAATAACGGTGCAAGCGTGGAGGCCAGCATCGAGGCCCACGATGATAAAGTTGGTGTCGTAAATTTTTTGTATAAAATTTTTAGATCTGGACGATGACGCCTACTAACGACGAATCGGGCTACATCACGGCCGGCAGTGACGGAAAGATTATTTTGTGGAAGGACGTCAGCGAGGAGAAGCGGGAAAAGCAGGAACAAGTCCGTCGCGAGAATGCCGAACAAGAACAGGTAAACAACCAGCAATCTTCGGAATCTGTCCTTTAGACGCTTTCCAACCTCATTTCCCAAGAGAGATTCGACGATGCGCTACAATATGCCTTGGGATTGAATCGCCCATATTGCGCGCTGAAGGTAAATAATTTTTTGTCGGCTGATCAGAACTTGTATAATGAAGAACTTGGCGTTATGGCATTTCGGCAATCTAGAATTCGCGTCATAAAAAATTCGGAATTCCATGTTTTTTATTGTGGCGTTAAATCGTCTAAATCTGACGGGGTTACCACCATTTTCAGGTGGTCAACAAGCTAGTGGAACGAGAAGCCCTCGTGCCCGCTATCAGCCGCCTGGAATCAGACCAATTAGCGGTGCTTCTCGGCTTTGTCACGCAATGGAATACGAACAGCCGTACGGCGACGGTAGTCACTTTTTTAAATTGGATTAATTTTCCTTTTTTAGATAAGTCAACAAGTCCTGCAAGCTATCCTTTTGACGAATCATCCCGACCAGTTACTCAAATTGCCGAACATTGCCCAGACGATCCAAGCGCTGCTACCGTACACGAAGCGGTAATTTATTTTTTTTGGCATAATGATTCATCAAGCATCTTTGAGACATGTCTACCGCTTGTACAAGGCTCAACAGGACGTGTCGCTGTTGGATTACACAATGTCTCAAATGCGAATCAATTAGTTATCAGCGTTATTTGTTTTCTTTCTTTTTGTTGATTTTCCTGTTGTCTTACTGATTGTTATTTTTGGCTTGTTAGATCGTTATTATATGTTGTTACGGTTTGATAAAGATATTCTTATGTGGGGACTTTGTCGTTTTCGGTTCAGGACCGCTGCTTATTTCGGTGGTAAAAGTTTTCTTTTCAAGGTTACAGTTGTGTGCTCTTAATCGAATATTTTTAGCACAATGGCTGACTTACCAATGGAAGAGATCGACGACTTGCCAGAGCTGGTAAAACCTAGCCCCTTTAAATTATATTTTTCTTTTTGCTTAGGTCGACGATGCGCAGCCCACGAAAATGCCCTCATTGGTCGATCAATATAAAGAAAAGCCAAAGGATGAAGACTGGCAAGTTCCAAAGACGCGGAAACGGAAATCGCGCGATGTGGATATGGAAGACTCAGAAGACGTGGTTCGTAAGATTTTTTTTAGTCTATGGCTTTTTGTAGGTAATCGACTCGCTAAAAGGCAGCGACGATTTTTTGAAGAAAGTCTCCAACGATGCTGAGGAAGGCATGGACACGACAGAGGTTGTTGCCGCTCCCAGCAAGTAATTTTTTTTCTGCCATGTTTCCCATCCTTTCAGAAATCGTTAATGCCTATAAAAACTTTCAGAAAACGATCGAAGGGAGAAGAAAACGAAATGCGCAAAATTCCGGTGCCACCAAATCGCTACGGGCCATTGAAGGAAAACTGGGTACAACTGGTGACACCTGTCGTCAAGCAGCTCGAGCTCCAAATGCGCTTCAACATGAAGAAGCGAGTGGTTGAGATCCGGAATCCACCGGCCGTCACCGATACGACGAAATTGCAAAAGGTCGCTAATTTTTCAGTTGTTATTTATTTTCTTTTAGGCAGCAGACTTCGTGCGCGCGTTCGTTCTGGGCTTCGATCTGCAGGATGCGATCGCGCTTATCCGGATGGATCATTTGTTCTTGGAGACGTTCGAGGTTGGTTTTTGGTGTTTCGTCGTTTACACTTTTTCAATTTCTTCTGCCCCTCTGCCACTACAGAAATATTTCCGTTTTCCAGATCGACGACGTCAAATTTTCGTTGAAAGGGGAGAGCAAATCCCGTGCCATCGGCCGTATTGCCGGCCACGTAAATTACGATTTTCATATCTTTATATAAAAATTCTAGCACGGCCAAACGAAGTTAACCATCGAGAATGTGACAAAAACTAGGATGGTCGTTGCCGGCGCAAAGGTAAAAGAATTTTTTGCTATAAAAACGCTGTCTGTAGATCCATCTATTGGGTGCCTACCAGAATATTCGCATGGCTCGTCACTCCATTTGCAGCTTGATTTTGGGTAAGTTAATCTTAACCTCTTTGCAAAGAAAAATTTAGGCGCTCAACCATCCAAAGTCTATGGAACCCTGCGTCACTACGCTTCCCGCGTCAACGAACGGCTGTAATTGCTTCAAGCCATCTGTATTGTTATCATCCCCCTAACCATTGTTTCCTGTTATTGTTGTTTCTGGAGAGAATTTAGATAAATCTTTACTCACCAATACGGATGTGACAGGGAAAAAAGTGGTGTGTCGTCTGTACGTGTCACTGTGCTGGCAATCGGCAACGGAGTTTATTCAGCAGAGAAATGCATGGTGGGCGAAGAAATATCAGTCGAGTAACGGGCCATGGGGGGAGGACTCGCACAAAAGAACGCTCAATTTTTTTACGTTGTAGCTGTTTTTAATTCGATTAATTCCATGGCGGGAGTTATTCTTTCGTCTCTTTTGTTTCCTTGGTCGCCTCCTTCGTCTCCTTGTCACGGGTCCGGTCTTTGGTCACGTCCTTCGTCTTCGAGTCCAGCGTGACCTTCGTCTCCTTGGTATCTCTTGAGCTTCGCTGCTTCTTCACTTGCTTCGAGTGCTTGTCACTGCAAATCTTGGCGGTTTATTTTAAAAGTTAACCTACGGTTTTTCCGCTGCACTACTTTTGTGGGGGTCGGGTGGCTCTGGTGTTTCGGTGATGACGTCGAACTTTGTCTCGGCCACCACCTCGACGTGTGCCACGTTTGCGCCGAACATGTAGCCACCACGGGCTAGATGGCGCGCGATAGCGCTCTGAAATTTGCCCATTTCTTAGATCTAGCTCTAGCTACCTGATGGAGTTTGCGCGCCTCGATGAGGGCTTTCTGCTCGTCGGTGAGCGGCTCATCGAGCTCGGCGCCGAGCTGCTGCGGGCCCCAGTCTTTACGACGGCCCTTTAGCGTCTCTTCTGAGCACATGTTGAAGTACTCGTTTGGTTCGACGTCTTCCTGAAGGCGCAGAAATGCATATCCAGGTTTTTGCGGTGTTTTTAAATATAGAAAAGTGATATGATTGATACACATATTTTGATTACAATTGATTTTGATTTTGATACACAATTAAAATTTTTGATTTTTAATTAAAATTTCCCACGTTTAAAACTTGATAAAAATTTTTTTTAACCTTTTGTTTTCGCTTCTTCAAAAGTCCCCTCAAACCCCCCGCTAACAAGTCAGTACCGAACTTAGGACCCACCCTTGCACGCAGCCGCTCGTTCAGGTCTAGATTGTCGAGGGCGGCCGACATCTCCGGGGCGTCGAGGCACAACGTCGTGTGCGGATCCTTCGGCGCGACTTTCTCATCGGTGGCGGCTTGACGTTGCTTCTCGTTGGCGTCTTTTAGCTGTAAAACCCCAGGAATAAACCAAACTTGATCAAACTCACAAAGTCAAAGTTCACTTGGGTTTCCGGGCGCACGTTTCGTACCTTCTTCAGGCGATTGCCCTGAAAATATCAGCTGTCTGTCTAAGAAAGTCGTGTACTTCAGCTTCAAGCTCGAGGAAGAAGCGATGCCGGCCAGCCTCATCCCAGTTTCCGCCCAATTCCGTCGGCTGCCACTCTTCGCGAGCTGCCGGCTGAAAAACCGCCAAGTTTCTCTAGTTTTGAACCCCGACTTCTTTTCCCTTGTCTTCTGTGGTGGTGCCGGTTGGCTTCTCGGCGGCGGGCTTCTTCTCTTCGGCGGCTGCTTCCGGTGCCGCTGGGGCGTCGGGCTTCGCCGACGGTGGAGCAGCGACAGATTTTTTAGACCTGGGTCAAAAGTAGTTGGCGGTTGATGAACTAAGAGTTACTTTTTTGACGCCGGCATCACCGATTTCTGGCTGCCGACCTTCTTTTTAGAGGTTTTCGTCGAAGACTCCGTCGGCTTCTTCTTGCCCTGTCGCCGACGGTACTGAGAAGGGCGATTTTTTTCGAGCGATTTCCAACCCACCCAAATGAAACATAGGACAATGAACGCCACGATGAAGATGACCACCGGGATGTTGAACAGCGGAATCTTCCACCATAAGTCGTCGGCTAACAAAGGGCAGTTGAAAAGAAAAGACCGGTGAAAGGCCTACCCATTTTGGCGTTAGCTGAGCTGGCTCCGGACGCCGCGGCACAAATTGGCGGAGGGTAAGAAAGTGGGAGCAAGGTGAGGAGCCGAATTCAGGTTTGGCATGCTCGACTGCGATTCTTTATTCAAAACAACATTTTAAGAAAATTGGCTCCGAGACGACGGCGTAATTCAAGGAAAAGCACTATTATGCTATCGCACGTTTTTAAATATTCGTAAGAATAGCTTCATGCTCCGTCCTGCTGCTTCACCCTCAACAGGACGCGCTTCGGGTTGGGCTTCAGAATCTTCTGAAAGCTGTGGTTTAGGAGAGGCGGCAACACCGTGTTGCCAGCTTCTAGACTCAGCCCTACGTTTGAGAGCCCACCTCAAGTTGCTGCATCTGCGTAGCCTCGTCCTTGTATTTGGTGTCTGGTGGAACGCGACAATCGGCTTCGTAGATATCCTCGAAATCGCGCATCGGGTTCGGCAACCAGATGTCGCGCAGCTGCTTCACCGCCTGGAATTATCTGCATCGAGGCGGTTCTTTAGAAGTCCTGAGAAGCCCTATGAATCTACATCGAGTACGACTTTACCCCCGGGTAGTCCAGTTTGTTGCCCTCGATGATCGTTTTGTGGGCATCCTGAAAATCGCCAACGTGGCTTTTAGTTTGCGGTGATCTGTCCTAGTATTATCCTTGTAGATGGCCTAACCGTCAGATTCTGCTGCCGCTCAATATACTCTGCGGTCTGCTCCGGTGGGTCGCCCCAGTGGAGGCGCGCGGTGGTCAGGCGACGCTAGAATAATTTCTCTACATCCATTTTCAAACACTCATACCCTGCCAGCGACGAAATAAATGGCCAGACCGATGATCAGGGCCAGCGTGAGCGCCGAAATGAGGATGACAGCAGCAAGATGGGCTGTTGGGGCCACATATTTACCCTCCTCCAGCCCCAAGAAGTCGTTCTGATGCTCGCGGATGTGTTGCGGTGCGCCGGTCGCCTAAAATGGCACCCAAAAACGTCTTTTCTTTCTTGGGTTGCGAACGTTGTGGCGGAAACTCACCCCAAGAAGCGTAGACAATAGCAGCCGCTCGCCCTCGTCGGCCACATAGTTCGCGGCGTCGGAGTGCCCGATGTACATGATGAAGCGCGCTTGAGGCCCCTCCAGGTTTCGCATTGCTAAGCTGGAATGGTTCTCGGGATGACTGAATCCACACACCGGTCCGCGCAAAGCGGTTGACCGTCGTGTTGTACGGCATATTTGGAGTGGAGATTTTTTGCGTATATTTTGTTTTATATCTATCCGGATTCCAATTCCGGGATGCAGGTTAGCTTCCCAGAGATCGTTCGAGAGGAAGATGTCTACGCATTAACGATACCTCAATTGATACTTGATATCAAGTTAGCTTTCCACGCTAATATCTGGGGCTAGGCTACCGTAGGCAGAGGACTTGCCGAAAACGCCGCAAATACGGCATCTCCGACATATGCAAGTTCTCAATTTTTGCCAACTTTTATTTGCCTTTGCAACTTTTTTTACTTCATTAAATTGCTTTTCTTTTTTCTCAGTATTTTGGAACCTCTGCAACCTGCAGACTTACGAAAAAGACGGGAATGATAGATAGATTTTTCGCTTCTTTCCTCTCGTTTTAAAATTTTTGGCTTTTCCAGGGATTGTGCGGCAGTTTTTACTTTTGGTAAACAATATACGCGACTCTAATCTCGAATGCAACTCCTCCCTGCGTCGGCTTTCGTGCTTTCCTACCATTTCCAAGTCCGGGCTTCTCTTGACCACGTGAAAAACGTGCTGCCCCCTTCGTCTTGGGGGATTTTTAGGGCTTTTTCTCCCTTTTCCCCGGCAAAATAGAGCGCCTGTTACGCGGAGAACGCAGGTCTGCCCCCCAGTTAGCAAAACAACATTCGATCCCGTTCGTAAACACTTCTTTTCGCTTGTTTTTTTGAACCGTTTTGCACAATTTGCAACGTTTTCTTTGCAGATGCCGAGCCCTCCCAAAATTGATGAACTTTTCCAACTCGACGGCTACCTGCAGCCTTTCCGGTGAGTTTGAAAAGGCACTTTTTTTCTTTCTGGCTTGTTCTCCTATAGTGCATTTTCAGTGGCGAAATTGAGCGGCGATATGGCGTCTTCAAGGAGTACGAGCACAAAATCGAGGAATGCGGCGGCTGGGAACGGTTCACGCAGGGCTACAAGGAGTTCGGAATGATCGTTGAGGTATTTTTTTGTTTTGCTTCCACAAATATTTTAGCCCGACAATACAGTGAAGTGCCTCGAGTGGGCGCCCGGAGCCGATTCCTTGTCGCTGATTGGCGATTTCAGTCAGTTTGTAGTTTTTGCTCAAGACAAATGCTTCTAGACGGCTGGAACCACGATACGCACAAATACACGCGTGAAGATTACGGGCGCTGGAGTTTGACAATTCCGCCGAGTTCAGATGGCAGTTGTGCGGTAAAACATGGGAGCATAATTAAGGTAATAGATTATTTTTAACCGTTATTTTGGAGATTTTTTAGATTGCCGTCACGAAGGATGGGCACACGAAAAACAAGCTGTCTCCTTGGGCTCATTATGTGACCAGGCCGACAGACAGCGTCGTGTACCATCAAGTGAGATTTTTGAGTTTTATATCCCTATCTTTGTTTAGATCTTCTACAACCCCGCCAACCCCTACAAGCTGCACGTTCCGCGCCCGACTCGCCCGAAGTCACTGCGCATCTACGAGGCTCATGTCGGCATCAGTAGCCCGGATGGGAAGGTATTTTTGAACTTCAAGGTCGCAGTCATTATACCTAGGTAAATACCTACCGCGCATTCGCCGACGAGGTCATTCCTCGCATCAAAGCCCAAGGCTACAACACCATCCAGCTGATGGCTGTTATGGAGCACGTCTACTACGCATCGTTCGGCTACCAAGTCACCTCATTCTTCGCGCCGGCTAGGTAATTTTTTCGCAGAAAATCTAATCCGTTCATAGTCGTTGCGGAACGCCTGATGACTTGAAATACATGATTGACAAGGCGCACGAGGCGGGGCTCACCATGCTACTGGATGTCGTCCATTCGCATGCATCGAAAAATGTGGAAGATGGTATTTTCGCCGGGTTTTTAAAAAAATTATTTTTTCAGGCCTAAACGGCTGGGATGGAACCGATGGCGGCTACTTCCACTCGTCGGCGCGTGGTTTCCACAACCTTTGGGACAGCAGGCTCTTCGATTACACCCAGTTCGTTTAATGATGGTGTTCATCTACTTAGCTTTAGGATTGAGGTGTTGCGCTTCCTGCTTTCCAACCTGCGCTGGTGGATCGACGAGTACGGGTTTGACGGGTTCCGTTTCGATGGCGTGACAAGCATGATCTACCACAGCCATGGAATGAGTAAGATTTTTTGTGAAAGTAAAGTCATCTTTTTTTTGCAGATGATGACTTTGCCGGAGGCTATCCAATGTACTACGGGTTGAACGCGGACACCGACTCTCTCGTGTATTTGATGCTCGCCAATGACTTTTTGCACAAGAAATATCCCAACGTCATCACCATTGCTGAGGTTTTTAGGGTTTATCGCTCGTCATGGTTTCTTTTAGGAGGTTTCCGGGATGCCAGCACTTTGTCGGCCAGTTGACGAGGGTGGCCAAGGCTTCGACTATCGCCTGGCCATGGCCATCCCGGACACTTGGATCAAGCTCCTCAAGCACACGCAGGACGAGGATTGGGATATTGCCAACATTGTGCATACGCTGGAGAACAGGCGGTATGTTTGTCGTTCTAAAGAATACCTTAAGATTTTCTTAGCTACAAAGAAGGACATGTGGCTTACGCCGAATCTCACGACCAAGCGCTCGTCGGTGACAAGACGATCGCTTTTTGGCTGATGGACAAAGGTATCTAAACTCTACTGAGTCGACCTTATTTTTAGAAATGTACGACTTCATGTCGACGATGAGCCCTTTGACTCCAATCATTGATCGCGGACTCGGGCTCCACAAGCTCATCCGACTTCTCACCTACGGCCTTGGAGGCGAAGCCTGGCTCAACTTCATCGGCAACGAGTTCGGCCACCCCGAATGGCTGGACTTCCCGCGCGTCGGAAACAACGAGAGCTTCCACTACGCTCGCAGGCAGTTCAACCTTGTTGATGATGACCTCTTGAGGTTCCTAAAAAATTTTTTAGTAAAAATTTCTTCTAGATACAAGTTCCTCAACAATTTTGATCGCGAGATGAACCGTGTCGAGGAGGAAAGCGGCTTCCTGCATAAGGGACCCGTATGAACAGCATCTTTTACTCGTACACAGTATTTTTAGGCTTACGTTTCTTGGAAGCACCAAGGAGACAAGGTGGTCGTCTTTGAACGCGGCGGTCTCGTCTTCATCATCAACTTCCACGGCCAAAAGTCGTTCCCCGATTACAAGATCGGAGTCGAGCATGCCGGAAAGTAGGTCTTTGAAATTTTGGCGTAATTTTGGTTTAGGTACGCTATCACCCTGGACTCTGATCGTGCCGAGTTCGGAGGACACTCGCGAGTCGACCCTGCCTCCCAATTCCACACCTTCCCCGAGGGGTAAATATCTTTAGCATTATTAGTTAGAAAAATTGTTTCAGCTACGCCGGTCGCCCCAACCACCTGTGCGCCTACATCCCTTCCCGAACTGCCCTCGTTTTGAAACGTGTCGATTGATCTGAAGAATACGACCGGAATGCTGATGATAATAATCTGTGCCATTGTTTTGTGATATTTTGCTCAAGTTGCCATGTTTTTGTTGAGCCTTCATAGTGCCATTAGACCCGGGCTCTTTTGTTTCCAAGAGCCTTTTATAATAAAGTTTTTGAGGAAGAGGAAGAACAAGCAAATCACGCTGGATATTGTGGTCCATATAAACAAGTATTTTTTGTGAGATACTTTTAGCTCGGGGCATCGTCGGGGAAAGGCCCTCTTTGAGGGGATTCGCTGCCTTCTTTGCGCCATTTCCACAGTAGCTTGTAGTCTATGGCTTGTGCAGAAAAACTTTTGCGAAAAATTACGCTACGTATAAACTAAGGAACTTTTTGATTTTAACTGAAAAGCAAAGAATTCAGACATTGCTGTATGAGTGGAAAGCAGAACATCCGGCTTCTGCCGCTCGCCGGAGCCGCCGGGGATGATGGGCCGTACTGTTTTCTCTTGATGGTCGGGTTTTATTTTCAAAACCATTCGTTTGAAGTGAAAATGAGGGTTTTCCGTCAATTTGAGGTTCTTACAGATAGACGACTGCAAAATCTTGCTCGACTGCGGCTGGGATGATCGCTTCGACCTCAAATACATTGACGAGATTATGGTATTCGAATACCAGAGTTTTAAAGATTGTGCTTTAGAAATACTGCTACTCGATAGATGCCGTTTTACTTTCTCACTCGGATCGAGCGCACCTGGGCGCTTTACCGTTGCTGGTCAAGAAGGGACTCCGATGTCCGATTTATGCAACGGTGCGTGGTGTAATATTCTTTGGAATAATCTTTCTAGGTCCCGGTGGCAAATCTCGGAAAGCTCGTCATGTACGATTGGATGAATTCGCACCATAACATTGAAGAATTCGACGTCTTCAATCTCGATGAGATCGACGCTGCCTGGAAGTCAATAATCCCGATTAATTACAATCAAAGGGTAAGACTGATTTGGCTTATTTGTACTGGCTTTAGATCAATCTCGCTCATCGTAATGTAATTTGCCGGGCCTTCAATTCAGGCCATTCTCTGGGAGGCGCTTACTGGAGGATTACAAAAACTGGAGAAGAAGCTATCATTTACGCCGTTGCTTTCAACCACCGAAAAGAATGGCACTTGAATGCCATGACTTATGGTAAACCCAGTTGCAGGAAATCATACGAATTTTTCAGATTTTTATCGTCCCCATCTTTTCATCATGGACTCAACAAATTCTCTGTATACAGCCCCTAGAAGAAAGCAGAGGGACGAGTCGTTGGTGAAAAAGGTAAGTAATTTTTACGCAGAAATCAAGTTTTTATTCAGATTGTTGATACTGCCACAAATGGGGGAGAAGTGATGATCGTGACTGACACAGCGGGGCGTTCGCTGGAGATTGCCTTCTTCTTGGATTCGTGCTGGAGCGCGTAAGCTTCAGCTTCTAATGCAAAATCATTGTTTATTTTCAGGATCAATGATCTCAAAACTACCTCCTTGGTGCTGATGAGCAACGTCGCAGCTTCGGTCGTTGATCATGCAAAGATGCACATCGATTGGATGAATAAAACAGTTGCCGAGTATGTTGGAAGCAGAGGATTTGACATTGTCATTTAGGCGCTTCGAGACCACCGCCCAGAACCCGTTCAAGTTCAAGCACGTACATCTTGTGCATCGGCTGCAAGACCTGGATCGGCTGCGCTCGCCAAAGGTGCGGTTCCTTTGCTAAATTTCAATTATGTTTAGGTGGTCCTCTGCAGTCAAATGGATATGGAATCCGGGTATTCGTACGAGCTCTTCTCGAATTTTGTCGCAGATCCGCGCAACGCCCTCGTTTTGACGAGTGAGTGGCTAATCTGGTTTATTGTCATTTTTTCGTGCGAAGTGAATGCTTAGTAATAACTGTAATTTTTCTAGGTCGGCCACGCGCAAACACCATCGGGCACTACTTCTATCAGCTAGCTCAAGACGGCGCAGCCGGAGCCAGTAGAACTTTCAATATCAGAAAGGTTGACTTAAACGTTTTTTTACATCGCCGCTTTAGCGCATTTTCCTCGATGGCCCCGAGTTGGAGGAGCATCGCCAGCGAGCTGCCCAGAAGCATGCTGTTGAGCAGGAGAAAAGGTAATAATGGCGTTCCGAAAAATCACACTTTCTTTAGGTTGGAAAAATTCCGAAAAGAACAGCGCCTCTACGTCGGAGCTTCCTCCTCTGATGAGAGCGAAGACGAGGAAGAGATTGCAAAGGTGTGTATCTAGCTAGCTCCTGATTATTTTCAGGCTGTTGACAAATACATTATTGAAACCGACGTCCGTAATCGTAAGCGCAAGAGGAAACACGGTAAATTACCATTTTCATAAAATTAATGATGCTTTCAGAGGTGCGAAAACACACCCAGACCGTCATCCCCGGAATTTCTGTAAAGCTCATTGAGGAGTCGCAATTTGTCGAGAAGCCGAAGGAAGTTAGCGAGGATGAGGTACCCGCAGCGCTTGGTTAAATTTGATTTTGTTTTAGGAAATTGAGGCTGAGGTCGAGGAGATTCGAAAGTCGAAGTCTCGCCGAGTCGCCACTGGTATTTTTTGCGTTCAACGGTTGATCGCATTTTAGATGACATCGAGATGCAAAACTGGGACAATCCCTTCGACCTCTATTTCCGGCACCATGTTTTGGTGTACTACGGTATGGGAAAGGTCGGTTGGCGATATTGAGTTGATTTCTCACTCTTTTCAGAGCGACGTCAAAAAGAAGAAGCGTGCTGGCTTCCCGATGTTCTCATTCGACAACGATAAGCGCAAGATGAATGTGAGGATTTTTAAGCTTCTGGTTTTTGCCGATCATCGAGTACAACAAAAAACTATTTACTTTGTTTAGACGTCTGACTACGGGGAGCCAATAAACCCGGAAATCTTCCAGGAAAAGCAGCGCAACGACATGTGAGTTTTCCTATTCATTTTTGAAAGGAGATTTCAAGGTTCGTGCCTGCTCCGATGCAGCGCCCCGACGAGAAGCCCGACGAGGACAAGAAGCCGACGATCAAAGATGAGGAAACGGACGGGGACGAGTCGGACAAGCCACTCCTCGGCTTCACAGACGACGACTGGCCAACCAAGTGCATCGAGGAACAAGAGGAGGTTCAGGTGAGGTGTCATTCTTTATTAGGAAAATAGCGATAGTACCGGAAAATTGTAAACGATAGATGTGCTTTGTTATTTTGTACAGCGAGTGAGTCGGGGGATTATTTCTTTTCTTCCTTCTTGACCTCGGGCTTGGCGGCGGGCTTTTTCTTCGCGGCAAGCCTCTCCCTGAAGAAATGGGCCGTCTTGTTTTTTCTTCTTTCAAACCTGAGCGCGGTGATGATGATGCCCTCCTCGGCGTAGCCGTACTGCACGAAACGAGACATGTAGCGTTTGAGGAAAAAGTCGCACATTGCATCCTCTTTCCCCATCACCGACTAAAGAAGTTTTTTTTTCTAATAGTTGCGCAAAATTACCTGTACAATCTGTCGTCGTTCGCGGTAATCACGTTCGTATTCGGCCAGGATCTCTTCATCTGTCATTCCCGCCTGCAAGCGATGATTAAGGATTATAAAAAGTTGATTTAGCAATTTTTCTTAGGTTCAGAAGTGACCTATAGTTGTTGATAAAATTCTGTCTGGGGGAAAGTAAAAAACGACGGTTAAGGAACTTACAATGAGGTCATTTTGCGTTGAAATTTTTTTTATTCTGCCAATTTTTACGTTTAGCAATGATGAAAACCAGTGTGATTACACCTTCTAGATTTGATTCGAAAAATTGGACGAGGAAGAAACGAGGAAAAGGAAAAAGGAAAATAAGAAAAATCTTTCATGATATCCTGAAATCAGCAAAATGCATCTACCTGCTTCGCGATCATCACAATGGCCAAGGCCGGTGTCCGAGCGTACAGCGCGGCGTCACGGGCCGCCTGGAATCGCTTGTCCAGCGCTTCCATCTAAACAGCGTAAATAACTCCGCATCAGTAACTTGTATACCTTAAATCGACGACGGTGCATGTAGATCATGACAAGGATGAAAATGTCGGCGAGGATAATCAGGGCCGCGGTTCCTAAAAACAATTCAAACGGATTCGCGGGGTTTTTTTTGCTACTTACCAATGTTTATGGCGGCTGCAGTAAAAGCCCACGACATTGGGTCACCGTTTGGAGGGGGCGGGAGTCAAAATGACGACTTTAGTTTTTAAAAAATCGTGACATTTTATGCAAATCAATTCCATGCCAATTTTCAGGTGCTCTGCTCGGTGGTGTTCATCGACTTTGAAGGGCGCGTTGACGGCGATGCCTTGACGTCCATGTTGGATCAGGTGCGGGATGGTCAAGCTCTTGTAATCGGTTTTTGCAGGTGAAGCCCCGAACATTGATCCTGGTCCGTGGCAACGACGAGGAGAACAAGCATATAAAGGACTATTGTGCAGCGAATTTTGCGGACGAGGTAAGAATTTTTCTCAGGACCCGACCGTTCCGATCTAGACCGACGTCCTGGCGCCCACCGTTGGCGAGACGATCAGCCTTGGCCTGAACATGCAATTCATGGACATTGAGTTGACCGACGATTTGTGCTCGCGCATCAAGTTCAAGCCGGTAAGATTTTGGTTTAATTGTCCAGATCGCCTAATTTTTTACAGTTAAATGACGGCGGGCGAATGGCGTGGATCAACGCGCGGATGCTGACGAGAAGACGCCTGAAGGAAAAGCTACCGGAGGAGATGAGGGTAGGAATTTGTGTGTTTTATATTAAAAAAATGGCTCGCCCGTTTTATCGGAGGAGCATTTTTGAAAAGTTCAGTCAACGAAGGCTTCACTGTGAAAATGCTGCCTTCTTCTTCAAAATTGGCCCAACTCACTTACTTCCGAGTTTTTAATTTCGTCAAAGGTTTTGTATTTTTTAGTGATCGCAAGCTGCGACCAGCACTAAAATTTTTCCAAAAAAGGTTTGCTAATTCTTTTCAAGGAAGCGCCAAAGAAAATTCCCACCATCTCGAAATCGTTACAGGCGCGATATGCTGAGGGTGGAGATGAAGACACGATAGTGGCTGAAGTCTGCCCGCCCAAGCTGGCCATCACTCACGAGGTACGATTCTCCCGCTGTTTGGAAATCCTTTCTAGTCCGTCTACATGAACGAGGTCAAGCTGATGGACCTCAGGGACGAGGTACGGAAGAAGTGTGATCAATCGCTGACCGACAAGGATGAAATGGTAAGCCTTATAAAAAAATTTGGACTTTTATCGCAGGTGGACCTACGCGAGGGCCGGCTGCTCATTGGCCAGCGGTTTTCGATGAAACGCGTCGATGCGGGCAACTTTTTCATTGAAGGAAAATATGGGGCTAGGTTTGTTTTTCGGCCTATTTTTTTGTACGACTCTTTTAGCTACTTCAAATGGCGGGAATACTGCGTCAAGAAATTCGCGCACGCTTAGATGAGATGATGTAACCGGACGTACCAAGCCTATTTATTTGTTATTTTGTTGCATATCGGTGCCAGGGCACGTTTGTTGCCTGATAAATGTTTATACATTACATTGCCGAGGAATTTTTTGCGAACCAGTCCATTGACTGTCCGATTATTTGAATGTTGTGCTAGTCGTACTCCAGAGTAATTCTGGGAATGCCCGGATTTGGAGTGATTTTCGGGTTGATTAGGGTTTATGGTTGTCGCCCAAAAAGTGGTTTTATGGAATGGAATGTGTAAATAAAGGTCAGAAACGAGTTTAGAATTGAAAATTAGGCGGCGGCAGACACTTTTTAGTATTGAAATCGATATTTTAATTTTGCGATCTACAACCATAAACCGGGGTACGGGGGACACCGGTTTATGGTTGTAACTCGAAACTGGGGTTTTGCTATATGAAAAGAAAGAGGATGAGCTGAAACGAATTAAGCTGCAAAAATAATGAAGCGGAAAGTCCGAAAACGGGTAGAACGGAGTCTTAGGAGGTTTGTTCATCACACCCAGTTTTAGCCTAAAAATAAGGCTTCGTGCCACTCGGGGCCTAGTCGCTTCGGATGGGTGCGAGCTCGTACAGGGTTTCGAAATCGGGGCGCCCGAGGAGCGCGTAGCGCCCAGGCGCCCTGATTTCGAAAGAGTGGAGCGGCAGCCCATCCGAAGCGACGGCCCGCCTTGCCTGACAATGCTAGAAGTCCCACCTTTCAAAACCCCCCTTGCCCCTTTTTCCGTCGTTCCGCCTCATTATTTTTGCAGCTTAATTCGTTTCAGCTCATCCTCTTTCTTTTCATATAGCAAAACCCCAGTTTCGAGTTACAACCATAAACCGGTGTCCCCCGTACCCCGGTTTATGGTTGTAGATCGCAAAATTAAAATATCGATTTCAATACTAAAAAGTGTCTGCCGCCGCCTAATTTTCGATTCTAAACTCGTTTCTGACCTTTATTTACACATTCCATTCCATAAAACCACTTTTTGGGCGACAACCATAAACCCTAATTTTCCCTGATTTTCTTGTTGCTTTATAGTTAGTGATTTAAAATTTAGTTTTAGGTTGAATAAGAAATTTTCCGAACCTAAATCTCACCCCGGGAGCGTATAAACATGGTTCTGAAAAAGGGCTCTGTTTAATTCGTCATAATTTTTATAGAATCATTTAACTTTTGTTTTCTAATTTAGTCGATGGATGTCGACACCCTAAAGGCGGGCGATGAGCCCTACATGCAGTTCGACAAGCTGCATTTTCGAAATTATATGCCAGGTTTGGTTGGCTGTTGAAAAAAACACCCAATGCGTTTAGGCGAGATCAAGAAATTGAGCATCCTGCACGTCACTGCCCTGAAGACTTTCGATAAGGTATCTGCCCTTTATTCATTATCACACCGTATTCAGATTGGCCAACCCGTGCCCGATGGCCTCTACGACAGCCGCATGGGCCCCAACGAGCGCTTCGACGCCTGTGCGACCTGTGGCCTCGGAGAATTGTGCGTCTACAGCTTCGAAATTTAACAATTTGTTTGTATTTAGACATTGCCCCGGTCACGTTGGACATATCGAATTGACGGTGCCCGTCTTCAACCCGCTGCTTTTCAACTTTCTTCTGAAGGTATCTACATTGCGTTAGACCTCTACGAATGGTTTCAGTTGATGAAAGGCACTTGCATTCATTGCCACTCGCTCTACCTCGATTCTACTGGCGAAAAGGCGCACATGTATATGGCTACGTGAGTAATTGAAAAATTGTACAGATCCCAAATTTCAGGATTCGATGCCTAGAATTGAATCGGCCGGACATCATTGGCGAGTTGCCTTGGGAGTTCGAGAGTTTGATCGGTCGGATGAGAGGTGGAAACTGAGATTCTATTTTTTTAATATTGCAATTTAGATGTCGCTACCGACGCGGAAATGGACCGCGTGCTCGACGACTATATCGAGAAATGTGCCGGTGTTCCGATTGGAAAATTGATCGGTATGGCGTTTTATTTTCTGATAATTGAAAAAAAATCGGGATTTACATTGGTAAATTGAGTTTTTTTGTAATAATTCGAAAGCTGCTATAGCAATCGGGCTGAAAGTTCCATCAAACATCCCACCTTATATAATTTGGTCGCGTATCTTTGTGTGTGTGTGTGCGGAGGTCAGTTTCGAGGTCAGCTTTGACGCCCTTCGCGTGTCCAAAACGCTCTAATTCTCCGTCACTTGGGGGAATCGACCCTCCTCTTTCCGATGGTGTTTTCAGAATTCCGATAAAATACAGGTTTACAAAGTTAGAGCCGGTTTTATTCATTTTTCTGGGTCCGGGAGGGCTAATTTGCATAATGTGAAAAATACAAATTTCCTCATTCTTGCAATTTGCACGCGCGTGTTTGGTCGGTGGGGGGAAGGGAGGTCCGAAGGACCAGAGCTATCGGAAAGTAAAATTTTTCATGCAGAGGCCCAATTCCAGCGCCCAAGGCCCACGAAGCGGGTTTTGGGCGCGGGTTTTAAATAACTTCGATCTTCTTTGAAAAATTTCAAATCAATCTTGCTTGAAATGACCGAAGGCTAACGTGAACTTTTTTATTGGGACTACCGCTGCAGAAAAAAGATATGGATTGGTACAAAAACTATCAAAATTAAAATAAGGACGTCATGTGTTTTTCACTGCAATGAATGCCTTTCAGCCGATTCCGCCAACGTGAAGCCCCATCGAACAATCGTCGACCTGCGCTATCGCTATCAAACCGAATTCCAGCAACTGATCGTAGGATGACGTCCACCTTATAATTTTTTTTTCTTAGTTCAAACGTACGAAGTGTCCGCGTTGTAAGGGCAACAATGGGACCATATTTAACGACGAGAACCGCTGCCTGATCTTCGATTTTGGGGGCAATAAGTATCAAGGTGAGCTTTTTGCGGCCAAGTTTACTTACTAGGGTATTACCGCATATCTTATTGTCGATTTTTAGAGGATGATGACGACAAAACTGCGGCCGCAGAGGACCAAGAAGGGGAAGATAATGAGAAGGAGAACCCCGAGATTAGTGCGTGGTGTAGTGTACCAATACTCTGCTTTTTCTAGAAAGAATCAGGGAAGGAAACGTCATCTCTGGAAACGTATCGGTCACTGGCGCGGAAGCCCTGGCCCTGCAACTCAAGTCTATCACCAATGGCACCTGTAGGAAGTTGGCCTGGAGAGGCGCTGAGGTGCTTTCGAAGCTGTAAATTTTCAACGGGCCTTCTAGGTCCGTGAGCATTTCCGCCTCGTCTGGAAGAACTGTTCGCGGTTGCTGAGGAAATGCTTCCCGATGTTAGATGGCATCGATGTAATGGGAATCACCATTCTTGCAAATATTTTTTTCAGGACGCCTGCCCGCTCGACGGACTGTTCTCCGAGTTCATCTTGGTGCCGCCAAACAAGTTCCGTCCTATTCGGATGATGGCTGGTGATAGGTGGGTTTTGGTTTTTGAACCGAATTCGGGATGATGTAAATTAAGGCGGAATTAAAGATTTTTTGGACAGCACAGGCGATTTAACGGCACTTCAGAAGGCACTTTTTTTAAGATACGAACACCCGGCAACCGTCAGCTTGCGCGCTCTAATGGAGGCCAATGAGGGGATGAAGGTGTCCGTCTTGCTCGCTGACTGCACCGATCGCGAAAAGAAGGCCGAGCTGGTCGAATACGCCAGAAGGGTAAGCATCGTAATGTGGACTTGGGTGCTTTGGTCTGCGAAAAATCGACAAGAATCCTAGGTAAACGGTAGTGCAAATTGGGATTGTAGGTAGCATGAGAGATCGGGAATCACATGTATGGTAGCACATCAGAAAAAGGCGTTTATTCCGCTGCACATTTCATGGAAAATGATCAGGGGTTGTACTCGATCGGGAGGTTCTTGCGGCGGACCATGCCGTCACCCTGGAACCACTCGCGACGGAACTGCTTGGCGGCGCCGTCAGGGGTGTTCGTCCACTCGATGGTCACACGGTCGTTGTTCGTATCCTCGGCTCCGAACTGGAACGAGTCGCACGACACGGCCACCTAGAAGATGAACATTTGGTTTGTAGATGTACAAAGAGAAACTGACCAGGACTTGCTCCTTGGGGTCGAGGACACCGCACGGCGGGTCAACACCGAGACGCTTCATGTTGGTGGTCTTGAAGGCCCATCCGATGCGACGACCACCAGAGTTGATCACCTTGATGTGATAGGTGTGCTTGTCGTCGTAGGGGGCGTTGAAGACGATCTTCGTGCCGGGCTGGGTGGTGATGTCACCGGGAGCGACGGATTGAGCCATTGTTTCTCGATGAGGAGATGGATGCCCGCTTCTCCAGATCCCGTTTTTTGTACTCGAAAACCCATGTTAATGAGGTGATGGTAAAAGCGGGGTTCCGGATTTTGATGACTTTTATGCTAATTCCGTATTTCCCTTAGTAAGCCATAGAAATCTATTCCTTCCTCATTATGAGGAGGCAGAGTTTTAGGAGAGAGGTTTTTTGAGATTTTGACGGGGAACGGGGTGATGATAAAGGGAAATATGGTAACGCCACAAACTCTCTTTTTAGCTCGGCGTCTACAACAAGTTCGAGAACCGCATCATGCATCTGGCCTACAGGAACCTGCAGAACAAGTACACACCCCTTATCGATTATGACCTTTTTAGGATGAATTTGATATTTGACGGCGCGGCCGACAAGACGATCCACCTCAAGCAGGTTTACCGACTTTTTTAGCGTCGTATTCCTGCTTTCAGCAAGTCCCCGGACTAAAACAAGTGCTCGAGAAGAAGGAGGGACTGTTCCGCATGAACATGATGGGCAAACGAGTCAACTATGCTTGCCGGTCAGTGGATTAAACTTTGAAAAATTATTTGATTTTTTCAGCTCCGTGATCACGCCGGATCCGTACTTGGACGTCGATGAAGTGGGAATTCCGGAGGTGATTTTTTTTGTTTTCGGAGGCAATCTGGACTTTTAGGTGTTTGCGAAGAAGCTCACCTTCGTCGAGCCGGTCCACTACTGGAATCAGCAACGGATGCAAGACGCCGTGATGAATGGGCCGGCAAAGTACCCGGGGTACATTTTTTAAGATTGTATGGGAAGAAAAATATTGTTCCTAACCTAAACCGGAACCACAATGATTTGTTTTGCGCCATTTCGAACCCATTTCAGAGCCAACAGTCTCATCAACGCCAATCGGAACAGGATCGTCCTGTCTGCCGACAAGGAGCTCGAACGATTCTCGCAATCGCGACGGCTGCAGATCACGAGCACGTCCGAGTTGAAGATGCCGTGCAAGGTGTACCGCCACGTGCTCAAGGGCGACAATTTCGTCATGAATCGACAGCCCTCCTTGCACAAGCCGTCAATGATGGGCCACAGGTTTTTGGGGAAGACCGAACTTTTAACTCGTCTTTTTTAGGGCTCGGATCTTGCCGTATCAAAAAGCGTTGCGGCTCAATTATGCGCCTTGCAAAGCCTATAACGCCGATTTCGACGGTGACGAGATGAATGGACATCTGGCGCAATCCTACCAAGCCCAGTCCGAGGTGGCCAATATAGGTGCTGGTTATACCCTTTCGTTATTGTCAAATATCCCTTAGCATCCTATCAAAGCATTTTGTTTTGTTTAGTAAATGTCGGCAGCAACTTCTTGGTGCCCAAAGACGCTTCTCCGCTGCTTGGCCTCATCCAGGACCATGTCGTTTCCGGTGTCCTTCTGACGCTAAGGTATTGAAAACGTTTTTGGCAAAATTTTTGGATCTCTAGGGGACGCATGCTGAATCGTGAAGACTTCATGCACCTCGTGTTGGCCGCCTTTTCTGAAAACACCCAGCGACTCACCATCCCGCCGCCATGCATGATCAAGCCCCAGCGTCTATGGTCTGGCAAGCAGGTGCGCTAAAATTAAAATAATCTTGTTTTTATTCATTCAGGTAATCTCTGCGATCATCATCAATTGTATCCCAGCGGACAAGCCGAAAATCAACCTGGAGGGGAAGGCGAAGACGTCAGTGAAATGCTGGAAGGTAAAAAAATATTCACATTTTCCACATCTTGAGTTTTCGAGAGATGAAGCTTCAAGATTGTTAAATTTTGATTTTCTAATCGCGAATAATATGCCATAGCCTATCGACCCATTTTCTAGGCCCGTGGCTTCGACGCGCCCAGCTTCAGCATGTCCGAGAGTGAGGTGGTGTTCCGCGAGGGCGAGCTGCTCTGCGGTGTGCTGGACAAGAATCACTTTGGCGCTTCGGCGTACGGCCTGACGCACTGCTGCTTCGAGCTATACGGGCACAAGGTCGGCATCCAGGTGCTCTCCTGCCTCTCCCGGCTCTTCACCACGTACCTGCAGGTGAGGGGTGATTTTATTGCTTTTTTTGGTGATTTTTTTAATTACCTGATGTTTTCCAGTTCCACGGCTTCACCCTTGGCGTGGCTGATATCCTTTGCTTGCCCGAAGCCGATCGCAAGCGGAAGAAGGCGGTCAAAGCGTCGCGGAAAGTCGGAGATGCGGTATCAATATCTCAACTTCTCGATTATTGTCGTCTAGGCTGTCATCGCCACATTCAACCTGGCTCCCGACGCCAGCAAGGAGGAGATTCGGCACGTCTTAGCCTCGACCTACTGCAACCCAAAGGTTTGCAAATTTTTGGCAAGATTGGCAATACTGTTTTCAGGGAATCGGTGCTGAAGCGGCAGCCCTGGATCGTGTCGTCAAGCAGCACGTCGGGCCCTACAACGAGAAGATCAACAAGTAATTTCTTCAAAATTATCACAAACGCTTCGCTTTTAGCGCTTGCGTCCCGGATGGACTCATTCGACTTTTCCCAGAGAACGGACTGCAGTTGATGATTGAAAGTGGAGCCAAGGGTTCTTCAGTTAACGCTATCCAGGTATTATATTACCCCTTTAAAAGCAGCGCTCCAGATTTCCTGTGCCCTCGGACAAATCGAGCTCGAGGGAAAGCGTATGGCTGTGACGACGGCGGGCAGAACACTCCCCTCTTTCAAGTGAGCCTATTTTCATTTTTTCAGTCAATTTTTAGAGCATTCGACCCCACGCCACGTGCCGGCGGCTTCATCGATCAGCGTTTCCTTACGGGCATCAACCCGCAGGAGCTCTTCTTCCACACGATGGCTGGTCGTGAAGTATGCAGATTTTTGCAGGCGAAGACGGATATATTTAGGGTCTCATCGATACGGCCGTGAAGACATCTCGTTCCGGTTATCTGCAACGGTGTATCATCAAGCACCTGGAGGGAATTCGGGTTCACTACGATTCGACTTGCCGAGATCACGATGGTTCTGTCATTCAGGTGATCTTTCTACATTATTCTAAGATTTTCAGACTGATTTTCGAAATTCCTCCTGGTAACTCAGGAAACCCTGAAATTCGAAAATCACTAGTGCTTCGAAATCGTTTTCGAAAACCAGGATTTCGAAAAATTTGTGCTTGAGCAATCATAAGGGCTAATAAAAATTTTTCTAAAAAATTAGCTTTTCAGAGACACGACATTTGAAGGTCGAATTTTGTATTTTTGGAAAAAATTAGGCTCTTAAAAGTGAATTTCGAAAACGGTGTTTGGCCGTATTACCGTTCCGCCTTGCAACTTTAAAATATGATTTTAGTTCCGTTATGGCGAAGACGGTATGGACGTCTGTGAGAGCACCTTCCTGGATTCTGGTTCTCAGTTCAAATTCCTTCAGCAAAATCTGAATGCTGTGGAAAAGGTACTATATGCGGCTTTTTTCAAAATGTTGTCATTTAGTCGGTAAAATCGGGCGACTACGAGTACGGCAATTTGGACCTTCATCTCTCGGAGGACCACCACGCCGAGGTCGAGGCTCAAATCAAGATGTTGGCCAGCCAGCCGAAGAGAACGCTAACCGGTTCGAATGCCGGCTTCTACTCCTTCTCCGCCATGTACCCGGGCGTCAAAAAGGCAGATCTGGTCACGAAATGGCTGTTGCTGGACACGTCGGAAAGAGAAGCCTTCCGTCGCAACCACACCGTGAAGCAACTTGACCCGGTCAATGAGGCTCTAAACCCGGCGCGCACCCTGGGAGCGCTTCCGGAAAAGATGTTGAACGGCATCTCAAAGCATTGCCGAGACATGAATGACAAGATGGCTCGGATCGAAGAATTGAGGGCTGCGTAAGTATTTTTTGCGGAGTTTCTGCAATACTGATCGCGGTGAGAAAGCGGCTTTTTCTATGGGTCCGGCCATGGGTATTAATGTAATAGCAAGTAGTTTCATAAGGTGTTGGACAATAGTTAGCCATGTGCCATTCGAAACACTATTTTGTTACGTAAAAATGTTTCCATCCTCGAAATTTTAGTCCAAAATATATTTTTATGATTTTGTCTTGTGGTTTATCTATTTTTAGCGTGTGCTACTTTTAGCGAAGATTTATGAAGTTCTTTTACATTTATAATAGCAAAAACCTGTGTGAAGACCGTTCTACTTATTAGGAGACGCGGATGATCTGATGAACCCTACTCACAATTTTCAGGAGTCGTTCCCGTCTTTTTGGCGGGGATGAAGAGCTGTTGCACTCGGAGAAGCTGCGTCGGACACTTTATTGGAAAGGTATTACGTCTTTGACGCTCTTAAAGAAATTATGCCACTTTCAGGACTCAAGTCGATGGCCCCTCCCGGCGAAAACGTGGGCCTTCTGGCCGCCCAGTCCATTGGTGAACCCTCGACTCAGATGACTCTGAACACCTTCCACTTTGCCGGTCGTGGTGAAATGAACGTCACCCTCGGAATCCCGCGGTTGAGGGAAATTCTGATGACCTCCGGCAAAAATATCGCCACACCGACGGCTGAGGTAATTTTTATGGAGAATGGAAGACGAATAACGTTCTGTATAGATCCATTTCCTACCCACCGTCACTTCCGGCGATCTGGACATGGTCCGGCGGGCGCTGGATCGGCTCAAGTTGAAGCAGGTCATCAAGTCGTTCAACTATCAGGAACGCGTCAACTTTGTCCGAGGGTTTGGATCATTTCTCAGCTTATAATTTGTTTTTTAGAAGCAGCTGGCGGCACTATGTGCTACGAGTGGATTTGCTCAAAAAATCGAAACGAGAGAAGGAGGCGCAGCATCTGGGCAACCGCAAGATTCTGGCCATGGTGGGAATTTTTCATGTCCCACCTTTGATCCCAGAATTTTCCAGATCGAAGCGTCGTCGAAGGGCAGGGTTCGACCCACCGACGACGAGAAGGTCGACAAGGACGAGGAGTGGAAAACCCGCGGCTTCATCGAACGTCTCGTCGAAGATATCGTGGATCGAATGAAGGCCATCAGCAAGCAAGAAAGACTGCATATTGAGTGAGTGCTATATTCATGTTTCCATGCAGTCCAAAAACCATTTCATAAGGGCTTCTTTTCCTATAGTCATATTTCCGAAACGTAGATCTTCGGAAACCGTAATTTCGTATGACTTGCGCCTAAATTACAAATAGTAGAAGGTCACAAGGGGTAAAAAAATAGCAACGGTAATTTTTGCAAGATTGAAGGTTCATTTTCGAAAACATGCCTTTCGAAGAAATGTGTATCGATGAAGCGATTTTCTGGAATATGTCTGTGCGAAAAAATGCTTACGCATATTGTTCCCTCATTTGCACCGTATCCTTGATTTAGCCGGGTCCGGCAGGGCAACTTCCAAATCCTGACGACTGGCGGTGACGACGCGGCTGATGACGCGGGGAAAAGTGGAATGCAAGCACAGCTTGACGAGGGAGAGTCCAGCGATGAGGAGGCTGCCGGGGGAAATGAAGCCGATGCTGATGAGAATCGATTGCACGCTCGTCATCGGTTAGTGCTTTTTTCGTTTCATTTAAGCACCCGTTGTAGCGATGATGCTGCCGAATATGCAGGCGAGGAAGAGGAACGGGATGCCGTTGCCGAAGAGGTGAGTCTTTTTCAGACAAGAAGAAACTGGGCAAGCTTTCCGGAATAGAAGAGGGCTTTTCTTAGGAGTCCAGATATGGCTATATCCAGAAAACCGTCAAACATTTTAGAAAAATTTTTGGTCTCAAACCGGATATTTTGCACGTTTTGTTCAAAAATTGACATGTTTCATATTTGTTATAACTATGTATTTGTAAAGTCTTTGCCAGTGCAGAAACATTCCTCTAGTTCTAATGAAAATTGGCTTCAAAAATTGTGTCTTCCCGACATTACGAAAGAACCAGCCGATCCTCTGCTGTCCGTTCCATCGCAATTTTAGGAGCAGGAAGAGCCGGCTCAAGAATGGGAGGGCTACCCCACTTCTGCTGACGAGACCACCGACGATGAGGCGCGGCCCCGGCCCCTCACCGAAACCCAAAAGGCCGACAGCGAACGACGGCGCAATGTTTGTGTTTTAAATTATTTGCGAATTTTTGAATTTATATCAATTTGTGCTGACTGGACTTCTTTAGAACGTGCTCGGGCTCCATAAGCGCGGCATGATCGTCGACTACAAATTCGACGAGAAGCGCAACAATTGGTTCGAGGTCACCCTCGAGCTGCCCTATTCGTCGAGATCGAAGATCGACCTCACCTCGATAGTTCAGACGTACGTTTCGAAACTGTTGTTTTTCTTACAAGGGAAGTGCACGACCGGCCCACGAGAAATCGACACGATATAGAGTGCATCTGATGGAATCGGACACGGGGATTCCGAATCTGTAATCAGAATCTGCTAAATAAAACGGAGAAAAAACTTATGAAGCTTCAAAGTTCCCTAAATCGCCCAAAATCGGACTTTTATGGGCCTGTAAAGGCCCGGGGAATGGAAATTTGCCACAACCCGTTAGTGCATCTTGTTCAGCAGAAAAAGCGCTTTCGAATGAGCTATCTTACTTCAAGTTTACAATGATTTCGCGGAAATCTCTTCTATGAACTTGACAGGCCCTTGCCCGGGAATCCAAAAAATGAGTTCCATATTCCAAAAGCTTTCAATCTTTTTTCTCCGTTTTATTTAGCAGATTCTGATTACAGATTCGGAATCCCCGTATCCGATTCTATCAGATCCACTATGTCGCGTGTCGATTTCTCGCGGGCCGGTCGTGCACTTCCCTTGTTAGAAGCTAATGCCCTATCCCAACTGTCACATTATCACCCCCAAAAGGGCTATTCTTCGGTGCAAGCGCATTTCTCCTATGCACCTTTTTCGAGATGATAGCCTTCGCGATGGCGTCCATAATTCGATTTCCCCACTAAAATTACGAATGTTTAAGGATTTTCTAGTTTCTAAAGTTTTTCCACTGAAATTAAAGCTATCTCTTTTCGTGTCATTGCATTGCTCAATTGCAAGAAAGCGATAATGCCCCTCCCCCCCCGATAACGCGCAAGCACCTCAATTTTTTCTAGAGTAATCGACGAATTCATCGTGCACGGCGTCAAAGACATTGAGAAGTGCGTCTACGACGACGAGCGCAACGTGCTCAGCACCCAAGGAGTCAATCGCGAGGTATCTGACCTCCTTGATGACCTTCTTGATGTTATGTAATTTTAGGCGCTTTTCGAGTTCGCGCACCTGTTCGACCTGAACTCGTTCTACTCCAACAACCTCAACTACATGCTCAACACGTACGGGGTGGAAGCGTGCGCGCGAGCCATTGTTAAGGTATGTGTTTGGGCGATGATTGCGGGTGTCTCGCCAGATTTTTCGAGCCCATGCTGGCCAGATCAACAAATTCTCGGGTTTTTGCTCTTGAGCCTTTTGCGGGGCGGTGAGCAATGCATCCGGTGGTCCCCGGGGCGGCCGATAAATAACGCGATGTCGAAATTGTGGACCCTGGGCGCGGCGAGTACTTTGCACCTCTATGGTCTCCTGATCTGGCTTAGGGTACTTTTCTTTTAACCGGGGTGGGGGAGCGCTGATTTGTACCTTTTTGCCTATAGCGGTCTGTTGAATAAAGTCGGTGTAGTTTATAGTTTTAGTAGGTTAGTCACTAGAAAAGTATAAAAACATGAAATCTTGAAAGTTTTCCAATTTTGAGCTTTTGATGATCTTCGATACTTTTTAGCAAAAAAATCGGAATTTCCCATACATTTTTTTTTGTGTTTTTTTTGGGAAATGCCAAAATTATGCCAAGTAATATTACTAGTCTAGTGCAGCGGCACCAAAAACCGCAACCCATTGCAGCGGTGGTACTTTGTAATGTTTACCGACTAGAACCTATTTTGGGGATCGCGAGGCATTGTCGAAACTACAGCCCCGATCCGTTGGTGTACTGTGGCCACCGTGGTTGTTCCAACGATCCCCTAATCAACGCCACTTTTCCGGGAAGAGAGAGAGAGAGAGAGAGAGAGATGGCGCTCCTTTTAAAAAATATCTAAAGTACAGCGATTTTAAAGAATTTTACGGCCCTTTTTTGGAAGACCGGGGAGAAGGGCATGGGACTTGGCAGGTTCCTGACAAGCACAATTTACTGCGAGCACGCACCTACCGTAAAAATCGTCTCTAAATTGGGCAGTTCCGATTAGGAATTTCCTCTTTGGATTTGGGGCTTCAAAATATAAAAATCTGTGGTTTCCAATTTTCTCCGATGGGAAAATCTACCAGAAGTCTAGGAAACGTCTGGCAACATTTTTCCCTTGCTAGAAATAATTTTTTAAAAAGATCGGTTTATGCCATTCTTTGGACTCACGGAGATTTAGGAAAAATTGGTCTTCGCCGGGTGGGAGGGGGAGAATAATCAAGCTTTTTTGTTACGTTTTATATTGTTAGGAAAAAAATGGGTTTTTTCGGCTCATAGGGAACAAATTATCCAATTTTTTTGCAGCGTTTTTTAAATTTTTAAAACCCAAAGTGGGCTTATAAATGCACTTTACATTCTTACTAGGCCATCCGGAAGCCAAGGAAGACCCCCCCCCCCCCGATATTGCGAAAGCACCCGCGCTACACTTTTGCACAACCTTTCTCACATTCTTGTGCAAGCTGCAAAAGCTAGCTATGGGAGAACTGTTCGGGCGCGCGCGGGTACCTGTGACGTCGGGCGACCAACGAAGAGCGCGTTGAGGACGGCGGAATGGGTGCCACTTGGTCGTCTCGGTCTCCTCGTCTTGCAAGCTGCTGCTGGCGGCCGGCGACAATGAGGAGCCCTAGACGATGTGCTCCCCTTTCCCAAGTGTCTGTCTGTGTCTGCAGTTGCAGCTCCCCTCGTCCACCACCTCCTCCTCCCCTCCAATAGCTCAGCCCGATTGGAGCTGCTGCTTCTCGGTCCGTGTGCTGTGCACGTTGTGCACGGGTTGGCCGAGCCGCGCCGGTGTTGGCTCACGGAGATCAGGGGCGTTTGGAAAGGGTGGAAGTTGGTGTGGTGGAGATTACAAATTGTGCAATCGTTCTGAGAAATAGAGGAGAAAGGGTAGAAAAAAGCCCTGATTCTATTACAGTAACCGGAATTTTGTACGAACGCGAGGATTTTTTGTGGAATCGAGCGTTTTTTAGGAAATCGGGGATTTTGTTGCAAATCGCGGCTTTTTGACTGCAATCTTCGGAACCAGCCGCTTACAGCGGTAAAAAACAGTAAGAGACACTTCCTTTATCTAAATTAGGAAAATTCGAAAATCCCCCTCCCCCTTGGAAATTTCACACCAAAGAACTCCAGTAAAATTAGAATTTAAGAGAAATCTGGATCTCAACCTCCTTTGATCTCCCCAAAACTCCCTCAATCCTCACCGATGGCGCGAAGCCATAAAGATATCCCTCTCTCGCTCCCTCAGTGGCTATTTTTAGCCTTTCAAAAACTCGCCAACTCGATGCTCGAAGTTCTAGCCTTGCCATCTCATTGAGATGATGTGAGCTTATCAACCTCCCAACTCGCTCAATGACCGCATGTTGCCGAGTTCCCGAATCACCCGGTCATTTGCTAAGAACATCATTTACTCCCCGACTGTTTACCACACGCAGTTGTTGTTCGTCAACTCGGTGGCGATGTGCTGATATCAACATGCGCGGGTCCAAAGGATGCGTAACGTCTGTTCACCGCGCAGCCGTTTTTCATGCCCCTAATCGGCTGGGTCGTATGTCCAATATGGAATCTTAAAGGGATGCCGACGGCATAGTCAAACGGTTACGCGCTGGAAAGGAAATGTCTTTGCGCCTCTCCCCTGGGTGCGCTCTCTCCCCTGTTGGCTACTTGCCAATTTGTTGATGGGGGGGATCGACACATGCCGTCCGCAGCCCTTTAATTATTGGAAGTGAGGGAGAGAGAGAGCGAGAAAGAGAGAGAGAGAGAGAGAGAGAGAGAGAGAGAGAGCGATAACTAGCCATTTTTTCGCCCGTCCCTCGAGTTTACCGTACCGTGACGGTCCCACTCATTCTCCATCCATATCTCTGTGGCGGGTGTTCTCAATTAATCTTCGTCGCCGGGGGAGCCGCCGCCGCCGGGGAGATGGATGTGGCTGAAGTTTTCGGTCGCCTTGAAGCCATTTTTTGGCCCCGGGTTGTGTGTAGTTTGGAGTGGGTTTTAGAGCGGAATTTTTGTTACAAAATTCCATGGAGAAGGTATTTTGAACAGGGACCTTTATCCCCGAATTTGAACCGATTGGCTGCCGGATTCGCGAAAATCAGAATTTAAAATTTTCGGAATCTCAAGTTTTCAAAATCTCGAAATTCTGGAGGCTGAAAAAGCTCTAGGGATTTTAGACTTCAAGGTTTATCTGTAAACTATCGAAATGTCGATATTCTAATTTTTAAAATTCTGAAGGTTCAAATTTCTGAGAATTCTAGTTTCCGATTTTCGAGATTCTGATAGCCCGTTTTAGCCATCCCGGAATTTCCGCAATTTACCCACCCCCATCGCGCCGGTCACCCCCTCACCGTCCTCGCGCCGGGCGCCCACTATTTATGGGGGGCCACAAAATGAGCTATTCGCTCCACCGAGTCGGCACGACAAGCCACGCTCCGCCGCTGTTACGGTAGAGTGCTGGTGCGGCGAGCGCAAATTCTGAGCCCGGGTGATCTCGCGACGTCACGAACATGTGTGTGAGAGCTGTGCTCCTTGTCCCTGCGGCTCCTCCTCGCCAACGCCGAGGAACGCTCATGGACGGTGCGATGGGGTGCGCGAGGTGCCTATTTTTGGTGGGGGGGGGGGGGAGTATCTCTCGGGTCGTGATAGCGAGGCTTGGTGCACCCGGCACGCGCGAGTTATAGGAAGCCATTGTTAGGAGGTGGAGGAATTGAGGAAATGAGTGTGAGTGATTGATGGGCTGTTCGGGAGGAGGGGATTTGTACAAGGAACGTCGGCTTGGATACGTTTGGATACGCGAGGATACGCTTCCGCAGAAAACTTACGCTTTTTAGGGCGCTGGGAAGGTCCTTCCTGGCTGAATGGCTCTAAATTTGACTTTTTACGTTTTCAAAGGAAAGGAAAAACTCGGGTGCTTGCTGTTTAGCGGGGGGGAGGGGGGGGGGGGTAGTTTATTGAGTAGGGAAAACCCATGATTTCCGAGGAACCCCTTAGAATGAACTAGAAACGAGTTTTATAGGATTTTACACTGTTAAAGCTAAAAGTATTTTTTTAGACGTTGTTTGTTTCCTAGAAACAAACACTATATCATATTATCGTTTTTCGGAACTCGAGGACCCATAGTTTGAAACCGGTATCAAAGTGTGACTCTGCTTGACAAATTTGGCAAATTGGCTGATGGATCACACTCCCGGATCGCGGTTGCCGCTACTCTGACTGACCATGTTGGCGAGGAATGCGGTCGCCTGGCGGCCACGTGAACCGTCTGAGGGCATGTTCTGGTGGCCGCGGTGTTTTGTGTGACTGAAGGGAAAGCATATCATCGGCTCGGCGCACCTATTCTTGTGCCCTGTGATCGACGAAAATAGACCTGAGGCGCCCGGCCCTGACCTTGGAAAGTGAATTTTGGTCGGGTTTAGAAAAATGAGCGGATTAGAGGGCTTCTCGTTGATTATGGGCAGGGCAAAATTGAAATAGAATAGGAATTTAGCCAACTCGTTTGGAGCCCCCGTAGGAGGGCCCCGATTTTTTGTTTCTAAAAAAGCTCGATTTTTCCGATCCAAAATGGTCAAAATTTCCAATTTTCACGCATTTTTCACTTTTTTTTTAAAGCGTCTCTTCCTTAAATCCAGTGAAATTTTTCAAAAAAATAGCATAAAAACGCTATATTCGTTCATTCTGCTAGCCTGACCGCATAGGGAAAAATTTGGGACAAAAAACCCTTTCCTAGAAGCTCTACCACTTTGGCAATAATTTGAAGGGGCCTGGGAAGCCGAAAATCTCTGATTCCGATCATTCCCCAGCCCAACAAAACAGCATTCTCGCATGCCGCTACGGCAGACTGTTTCGCCAAAGTGCACTGCGATTGCCTGTTTGTAAACACACAACAATCCGTGCGATTTTCAAAGGTAGTGAGAAGATGCGAGAAAATGCTCGAAGAAAACATAAAAGTGAAAATTAGGACGTCGGGAAATTCAGAAAAATAGGTCTTTTTTTTCAGGAAATGTCAGCCGTGTTCGGCGTGTACGGTATTCGTCCCTCGAAGCGCCATCTCACGCTCACCGCCGATTATATGGTCTTCACCGGCGCGTTGCAGGTAGCGTTTTGGATGTTTTCGAAAATCACCTTTTCGAAGTGTTGTTTCCGAAAGTAATTTTTCGAAGAGCCGGTTTTTCGAAAATAGCTTTTCGACAATCAGAATTTCGAAAATTTGTCCCTTCTAAATTGCTTTGGAAATATTGATCTCGTGTTAACCTGAAATTAACAAATAATAGCTTTTTTTCAGCCATTCAATCGCGGGGCCATAAACTCGTCCGCCTCGCCGCTCCAAAAGATGACCTTCGAGACGACGATCGACTTCATGCGCAAGGCCCTGATTTCCGGTATATTTTTAGGCTGAACATTATTGGAACAACACTCACCCACTTCCGGCTCGCTCTCGCTAGCCGAGACACCCTTGCCATTTGTGCTGCAACACGCAAACTTTGCACTGCGACCGGGCACCGACCGACATGGGCTCGGCGCGAGACCACGGGGGTTGGGTGTGTGTACCCGATTGTTGACCGGGCCCCCCACTTTTTGGCACCTTTATGACGCGCGCATTAATGTGTAGTTAATGCGGCTATTAAATTTTTTAGCACCCCAGTTGGGGCTCCAGGTGAATAAGCAGAACCGGCAATTAAAACAATATTTGTTTTGTGCGGTCTTTGTTTTTACCATGTGCCTGGGATGCGTCATAAATAAGTACGTACGCAGCTGGTACTGTGCTTGTTATGTGAAGGGGAAAAGTTAAAGGAGCACCTAAAAACTAATACTAAACAGATTTTTGGAAAACATATTTCTAAAAACAATTTTTTCGCAAATTATTCCACAAAAAGGGGGTTTGTGGAGTCATATACTTGAAAATCAGAATTTCGAAAAATTTCCGTTGCGCTACGTAATGAAAAATACGTGTTGTAAAAATAGCAAAGGAAATTTCTAAATTGGGATTTTCGAAAATTATGAAATTTCGAAACAAGGCTTTTCGTAAATGGAAGGTCGCCACTAAACGTCGAAATTCGCAGGCACTCAGTATTTTGATTTTTTTCCAAAACCCTCATCACCCTCAGCGCACCGCATCTCCATGTTTTGCAGTTCAGTTGCGTGGCGTGCATTTTTCGGCAATTTCACGCGTGTTGCGCGCCGGCGCCGCCGCTGATCTTCAAAGGAGCGTTTGACCTTTTGAGGAATTTTAGTGTTCAGAGTTCTTTTTGGAGGACTTGCTGAGGATTCACCGAAAAATCCGGGTTTGAAAGCCGTTAAAAAATCGGGTTCCCAAATTTTTGCAAACTCATATTTTCAATACAATTTTCAGGCGAGGTCGACACGCTCAACTCGCCGTCATCCCGCATCGTCGTCGGCGCGCTGAACCGCGGCGGCACCGGCGCGTTCGACCTTTTCATCAACCCGAACCAAGTGAACGACTACGTCCCCCTGGGTGTCGTCAGGCGTCGAAAGCCCTAGAATCTTGCCCCATTTTAGGCCCTATTGTTGTTGTTATTATTTTTTAGCCCACCTTTTGGCCAAATTTCTAGCTGATAGAATTTTGCAAGTTGTTGCTTGTTGCCCTTTTTACGGCGTGCACCTCCCCGTGCAGCCATTTGTTGTTCTGAACCTTGTTAGCGGCGATTGTCGCGTGTGGGGTATAGCTGTTTCCGTTGTTGAATGAATTGTTGCTCATTTTTGGAGTCTGGAGATGTCCGGGAATAGGTGATGCACACTACACACTACACAGTCCTTGATGAGGAAGTTGGGATTAGACGCTCGAGTTTATACGGCTTGATTCAAGTTTACGGTACTCTCCCAAAATGCGGTTTTTTGTGTTCAAATCGCTAAATAAAGGTCAGAAACGGACTCAGAGACAAAAATTAGGTGGCGGAAGGCACTTTTTAGGGGAGAAAACCTCATTTTAGTTTTGAGATCGGGTACCGTAAAGTAGTATAAGGGGGTGACTACTTTACGGTACTCGCCCAAAATGTTCCTTTTTCTGCACGAATAGAAGCAGCAAGGTCTGAAACGTATTAATCAGCAAAAATAAGTGGGCGGAAAGGCCTATAAAGGAAAGATTCGGACACAGATTCCATCTCTCAATCACACCCAGTTTAAGCCTAAAAATAAGGCTTCGTGCCACCCGGGGCCTAGTCGCTTCGGATGGGTGCGAGCTCGTACAGTGTTTCGAAATCGGGGCGCCCGAGGAGCGCGAAGCGCCCAGGCGCCCTGATTTCGAAAGAGTGGAGCGGCAGCCCATCCGAAGCGACGGCCCACCTTGCGCGACATGTCATAAGCCTCAAACTTCGAAGTCTCAAATCACTCATTTTTAGGCCTTTCCGCCAAATTATTTTTGCTGCTTCATTCGTTTCAGCCCTTACTGCTTCTTTTCGTGCAGAAAAACTAAAATTTTGGGCGAGTACTGTAAAGTAGTCACCCCCGTATACTACTTTACGGTACCCGATATCAAAACTAAAATGAGGTTTTCTCCCCTAAAAAGTGCCTTCCGCCACCTAATTTTTGTCTCTGAGTCCGTTTCTGACCTTTATTTAGCGATTTGAACACAAAAAACCGCATTTTGGGAGAGTACCGTAAACCTGAATTTTCCCGTTTATACTTATGAGAACGTGTAGTTTCAGGTGCTCACATGTTTTTAAAGGGACTAGGAACGCGCTGTTATGGATTTCGGTGGATCTGGCTTTTTAGGAACTTTATCCGCGCGTATCGACCGCGAGACGCAACGCGCCCGTCCGTAATTGATCACATCCGCTTCGCGTTGCGTTTGCGCGGACCCGCGAAATCCATAGTCCTACCTTGCCCGTCCCTTGAAACTGCCTATTATTGCAACAACAACCTTGCAAACAGGCTGAAAGGGCCGTTTAAATCCCATGGAAAAATCATCAAATTAATGCTGCCAACGCAAGGCAAAGCTGTATTTTGGAGCTTTTTGTAGTCCGCTTTTCCCACCGAGATCTTGCCCTTTCAAAAATAGAAAGGGAAGTCTATTTTTTTAAAGTCCATCTCCTCCTCTCCCCCCGTCCCTAACCACTTGATCTGATGACCGAAAAAGTGCGCGCGGCGCTGCCTCCCGACCTCCAATTTAGTTGCTGTTTATCAAATCGGGCAAGCCGGGGCGCCTAATGCAGTACACAGTACACAAGCGTAGCCGCTGATGATGTATACTATTTGTGCGGCGGCTGGGATCGCCTGAAGGGTTGGGGCAACGTGCCAGCCATGCCATCTCCCGCCAGCTATCCTTCATCTACGGCTCTATTTTCGTCCCCGCGCACCCGCCATCCATCCCCCCTCCGCGGTATCATTTCCCTGTTTGTTTGTGTCTGTGCCTGTTTCTGTCCGTTTTTTGGGGGTCTGCCAGGCTCTCTCTCTCTCTCTCTCTCTCTCGTTTTTGGCTGAACTCCTCGCGCTCCACCGCGTCCGAATCGCCGGGTACGGTAACTTAAAGTGTTTAGTGGACCTGTTCGTTTGCTCAACACCACTCGTCGCCAAACTTTAAAGAAGCCAAAAATCAAGAACCAAAACCTTGGATTCGGGGAATGACTACGGTAAGGAGTCACTTTTTAATTTCCGCATCCTTGGGCCAGTCTGAGCCCACAGTTCACAAGCTCTGACCTCAAGCCCCCCCGGCAGGAAATCTCATATTTTCCGGCATCGCCAGACGATTCACGGAAATGGCTCCTGTTTTTCCGCGGCTGCCTCCTGCAAAAGTGCGTGCTTTCGTCGGAAGACGAAAAGGTACACTTTGTCCCCGCTGAGTGGCCACCAGCCGGGTAAAAAAAGGCGTAATTCGCCTGCAAATATCCGTGTGTTTTTCTGAGGCAAGACTGATTGTTTTGTATATTTCTGGCGTAAAAAAAACTTAAAAAACCTGGCCTTAACTGACCAAAACTAAAAAAAATTCGTAAAAATTAAGAATTATAAAAATCTATCGTTTTTATTTTTTATAATGCTAGTAAAAACAGTGTAAAACACGTACTCTATTTATATTGGAAAAATTGGATTCTAAAGAAAGAGGTTGCCCACTGTTAATGCGAAAAAACCGGAGTCCTTTAGAACTTTGGAAAAGTCAATCAAGTTTTTTTTTGGTGGCCAATGTCTAGAAAGCCATCCGAAATTAATAAATACCTACAAAAGACCCCGGTCTTCCTCCTCAAACAATTCCAATGATTCCTGGTCCCACCAGGAAAACAAGCGCCGTCTACCTGTCCGCCTCGTTGATAAATTACCCCATCCCCCTGGATGAACTGTGGCGCGGAACTTTTAAAAGACAGTTCCCCACGGCTAACCACTTAAAAATAAAGTGATATATGATGTGGGGAGCCGGGATTTTCGTTACACTCCTCAGAGATTGGATCTCGCCGGGCCCGGAATAGGCTGTATGAACACTTTATAGGTGGGTGCATTTAGCCCGAGACACTTGGCAGCAAAGGTCGCCCCCACATTTTTTCACACAACCATTTCTTCTGGTCGTCCGGATCACACGGCGAGGAAGAGCGATAAGAATGGATTGGGCGGCTACGAAACGTTCCAAAAAGACGACCGCAACTGCCTGGGGTTCACGTGGTTCAGTGGTCTCGCTCGGCAACAAGGTGGAGGGCAAGGTGCCAAACTGGGCTCGAGAAACGCCGTACAAAGGGCAGTTCCGAGGTGGTGAAAGCGGAAGGTAAAAGTGCCATTTGTGGCGGTTCTTGTGCATTATCGGGGGAATCTAGGGGAGTGCAAATTTTTTCTTTAGTATCCAATTTTGCGTATAGAAATATCGAAAGTGTTCTACACTGTTTTTTGCTGTTACTAAGCCCAAAGCATTAAAACATTTAAAAAAATATAGATTTTTCGACTAAAATTGAGCGATTTCCCGCTAAATTAAATTTTTTTTTGTTTTTTAGGTAGTTTTTCTACCTGAAATCTTTCGAAGAATCGCAGATTTTTCGATTTCTCTTTTCTTTTTTAATCCGAAAGCTAAAGTCAGTCTAATGAAACTTTTTGAATTATATTTTCCATGGCTGCCTCCCACGAGCTTTTTCTCCCCGACTGCCGTTTTTCCGATCACGTTTCGCGCTGCTATCAGCTAGCTAGACTTTCACTTCGGCGCAACAGCAACAATTCCTTGTCCCGCCAAGTTCTCTGCAATCAGGCGCCGGACAAAATTTGGCAGACTAGAGAATCGCGTGTTTTTGAGTGCAAAAATATAAAAAAATGGGTGCAGAACAATGGGGAAACACCGGAACAACGCCCTGGATCTCTGCTAATGACGGGAACGGGATTATCTTTTTTTGGTAATTTCCCCCGCTGCATTTTTGGAACCCTTGTGCTGCTGGAAAAGAACAACAAGAACAAATTTTTGCCTGGAGGATAGTCGAATTTGTTGAGCCCCCGCGCTAACGAACTAGAACCGCGATTTTTTTAGTTTCTCCGCGACCCGCTGAATTCTCTGTGCACCGTGCGCTTTGAAATCTGTTCATGTATTCGGTAGATTCCCAGCAATTCCAAATCTAACAAGGGCAAAGGCGTTTATTATGTACAGACAGACGCAAGCCGTATCGTAACGGAATGCCCGCGGGGGGAAAGCATAAAAAAATCGTGGGGTCAAACGGGGAAAGCCTCATTATACTGTTTTAAAGCTCTTTTGAACGAGAGAGTGGTTGATGAGAACTTTTTATGGGGGTGTGACCGGCATCGTTGGGGTTGATTTTGGGGGTGGCGGGAGCGGTTTGGGACCAAAAATTCGATAGGAAAATTCGGGAATAGAATAGGGGGCAAATTCGGCTTCTAACGACCATCCGCTGCAGCAAAATGCGGAATAGAAGGGTGGCGTCTTTTTCGGCGGGGCTGGCTGGCGGGTGGCGTGTAAATTGGAGCTTCGTGTAGGCGGTGGCTCGCGGAATTGCGCGGCTATTGTTGCGTCGGGCTGAAAATTTGGGGGTGAGGATTGGTTTTTGGGTTTTGTTTACTAGTAAAAGTGATGTTTTCATTAATTGCCTAGATTCAAGATTTGCTATTGGATTTTTTGGGTTTTTTTTTGCTGGTAGAAAGGGGTATCTTTTCATTAATTTTAGGTTTTTGGCCGGTTTCGTTGAGTTTTAGGGCACAAATTGATGGGGAGGATGGATTTTTTGGTTTTATTCTGTTAAAAAAATTTATCTGGCTAATATTTAAGTTTTTAGGCCTTCAAGCTCACCTCGACACTGTCGAAAAGCGACCGGAGGCCGGCGGTGTTTTCCGGGCGTACGACACGAATTCGAGGTTTTCCAAGCGTGTCGGGTGGACGATAGAAATCATCGTAGCAAGTTTTAAAGAGATTGGCGATGAGCTTGTGTAGCTGCTCAAGCAGACGGAGCGGGAACTTTGGGACTAGGCCGCGGCTGGGTTAAAGAAGGGGGTCCGGCTGGGAAGCCCGGCGCGGACCGCCCATTTTCGGGCGTTTGTATGAGCGTGTGACGCAGCTCGACCAGCCCAGGCCGATCCCACCCCCTTGTGGCTGGAGGAGCACCACCGACCGAAATGGGCGGGCAAGTACGGTAGACAGAAATTGACCACAGAGCGCCCGCCTCCACTGGCCACGGTTCCTGGTTCGGGTTGAACCCGTTTTGGCCTTGGCATGGGCTAACCGGAGGGATGCGGTGTTGACCCGAGCTCGAGAGTGGATTAGGAAACTTGTTCCAGGAATTACTGAACAACTGAAGGGGTGGTGCTATGTAGAAATACCGGTACTGGCCTGTTAGGGAGGGTACTGATTTTTCTGGACTTTAACCTTATAGGACGGTTCTTTCCCATTATCGGGGGGCAGGCGGGTGGTTTCAAGTGAAAACCAACTTTTTTAGCAGTGGGTTACATGGTCTAACGACCCGTAAAAATACCCCCCGCTGGTAGAGAGGCACCGAAAAACGAAGAAAAACGTGACCGACGTTCAGCCAATTGCATTCCATTAAGTCACAATTCGCTTGCTTCCCTTGCGCAAGTTTTTAGGGAAATTTCTGGCACTGAAAAATGATGCACAGTTGGGCAATCTGCAAGAAATTATCCGATCGAGCTCGATTCGTCACTCATTGGCGCGATCCCAACGTTTAGTGAGAGAAAATGGCCAAATTGCCAAAAAAAACGAACGCTATTTTAAAAAATGCTGAAAACGTCACTGTTTGGCAGTTGGCCAACTTTTATCGCGGGAAAATTAGACGAACTAGAGTGAGAGAAACTTCAAAATATTTTTTATTTTTCGGCTTTTGATTGAACGGAAAATGGTCATTTTCTAACAAAAACTGAAAGGAAAGAAACTTTCGAAAGTGTGGATCGCTTAAGAAGCAAGGTTTTATCGTTTTCTTATCGGTTTTCCGAATCGATTAGTTAACATCAAAATAATGAATCCAAAATTTACATTTCCAGGTATTTCCCTCTATAGCGGCTCGTAGAAAAAGCCCGCGCCATGCCTTCAAACACCATTGATTCGCCACAAAGTTGTTCGCTCGATGCGCGCGATTTTTGACACTACTGGGTAGTTTTGTGCCAATTATTAAAGTCAAACATTCAGGTACTGGTTGCTTTTCGTGGCGGCTATCCTGATGGCCGGGGTGCAAGCTGCGGACCCGACGAAGGCCAAAGTGCACGTGCTGCTCGATGAGGCCTGGACGAAGATCAACGCCACTTTCTTCAAGGAGGTTTGGTGGTTGCTGACCATTTCGTTCTCTAAAATAGGCGAAAAGAGTGAGGTTTAATCCCTCCAGCTCACTTTAAAATTTGTATCTCGCGTCCGCACGAGACACAAAAATATTCGCCAGAACAAGACGAACATTTTTGTGTACTTTACAGCATTTGCCTGCTTTCTGCTTTTGCCTTCTTTACTGATAACTTTTACTGATCATCATTTTCAGATGCTGCTGGCGTTCAGCAGCGAGGCCATGATGGACTTTCTCGAGCAACCGGTGTCGTGCCGCGACCGGGAGATGGAGCACAACTACGGCGAGGCCTACTTGATTCTGACCCCCAAGCCGTTGTGCGGAAATGAGGGCCGCGACCTGCCCTCGACTACCGCATCTCCGACGCCGAAATCCAAGGCCTTCCACGAGCGGGAACTCGCATTTAGTGAGTGATTTTGATGCCCACACTTTTGTTTGCAAAAATCTTCGAATTTCGAGTTTCCTTATTCGAGCTTTTCAGCAATGCAGCTTTGTTTCAGAATCGCGCTCCATGTACAAACGCTATGCCGAGGAAGCCGATATCGAAACGCCCAAGGCCGACGGCACTTCCACATGGCTGATGGTGGCTGGCCCGACATTCGTAGCGCATCCTTCCATTTATTTTACGGCTTCTACAGTACTCTATCAACGACTTGAAGCCGCACACCGGCCTCAAGCCCGAAGTCGTCGTCGCCGAGATGCTTATGGAGCTGCGCAAGTTCCGCGACCAGTACCATCCCCAGCTGCTGCCCGATCTCAACACCAAGGGCGTATGATTGGAGTTTTATTCTCTTAGGTTTTTTGTAGGAGCTGAAGCACGGGCTCACCTACAAACAATGCATCGAGATGTGGGCGTTGACGATCATCTTTGTCTTCGTCATCCTGATCCTCGTCGTCGCCCTCACCTTCTACCTGAAGTGGCGCGATACCAAGTCGGTCATTTGGCACAAATGAGTTGCTCCTCGTTTCTGTGGTACTAATTTTATGACTAAAAATAATATAGCCGTAGAAATGCAAATTTTAGCAATTTTTATTTTCTATACTTAAAAATGGCATAAAAGCGCTAGAAATGATGGGACAGCTCCCCCCTAATAGCCTAGTACCTAAATATTCCTTTCCAGGGTGAAGCTGGTCGAAGCGATGCGCAAGATGCGCCAAGAGAGCAAATCCCGTGCTGACGCCGCTCGACGCGCCGACCAAGCTAAGCTCAAGCCGGCCGCAAAGAAGGAGGGCGACAGCGAAAAGAAGTCGACCAGCGAGAAGAAGAGCGACAGCAAGAGCCAGAGCCAGAAGAAGGACTCGAGCGCCTCGTCGGCGTCGACCGCCAAGAAGAGCGGCTCCAAGGATAAGGTGCAGCAGCCAGACCGCTCCGATCGCTCGGCGCCCAGGAAGTCGCACCACCGCCGCCGTCCTCCAGGCCACGGTACCCACCTCAGCGACAAGGCATCGGTTCGTGAACTTTCCATTTCGAAAAAATGTCAAAAAGAAAATTGTCAGCACCCTGTCCTTACCAGTTGAATTTTTGTCAGTTTTCCCCATGACGATCGCCGGAGTTTTAACATTACAGTCGCATACACACGAGGAGATCAGCAAAGAGATTCAGGCCGAGGACACGCGCAGCAAGCGGACGATTGGCGAGGTGAGGAGGGGCTACGGCTGAAGCGACTCGTTCTGCACATCTTGCCCTCTTGTAACCACCTCCCGTTCTTTTTTTTTAGCGCATCAAAGACCCCATCACCGCCCCCGAGTTCCAAGACATCATGCACAAGCTGGGTGACTTTGTCTTCACCCAATTCGCCAGCCCCGACTTCTACGAGGTCACCACGGGTGATTTTAGCATGTATTTTGTAATCCTGTGCTTTTTAGCGAACCAGCCCGGCTTCTTGCTGAGCGCGCTGCCAGCCACCGCTCCAGAGAACCCCAACGACTACGACAACGTCGAGGCCGACGTGACGGGGTTGTTGCTGAGGGCGGTGCGTTTTTCCGATTGCTTTTTCTAATCTAAATGTTGCTAGGGGGGTTCTTTTACTATTTTTAAACGTTTAAGCCGGACATTTTAAAGCTCGTTAAAAACTCGCAAAAATTGACAAAAATAGCCGATTTTCTTCCAAAACGGGAGAGGTTCAAGCGTTTTTGCTAAATTCTACTCAAATCTTGCCCAAATTTCCGCTATGACTTTCATTACGATTTACGATTACGATTTTTTTAGGAACCTCCCCTGGAATTAGTAAAACGAACGCACTTGCAGATAACCCACTATCAACATCCGCGCTATCACGGCAACCCGTCCAGCGGCCAAGCCTACAGCACGGTCATCGCCGAGACGATGGCCGCCGGCGTGGCCCAGGGCGACGACGCCGACGAAATGGCGGGGCGCAAGCAGCTCGAGATGTGCGTCGTCAACTGGTACGGCCGCGCTCTCGGGCTGCCCGAGTCGTTCCTCTTCCAGGGGAACGTCAAAGTGAGTTTTGCGTTTTTAATCAGTTTTCCATTATTTTTAGGATTCTCCGGGCGGCGGCACCATCATGCCGAACGCGTCCGACGCGCTGCACAACGCAATGTTGGCGGCGCGCAACTGGAAGCTGGCTCAGCTCCAGCAGGCCTACAAGGCCGCCGGCGAGAAGAAGGAGGTTGGCGTCGACCAGGCCAACCGCCTCGTCGTCTACGGCAACCGCACGGTTTGTTTTGTTTTTTCAACTCGAAGCATCTTTTTCTAGCGTTGCTGCTTCGCCAAGGTGACGGGCGCGACGGGGATGCGCATGCGCCAGATGGCGCCCGGCGTCAACAAGGACTACGTCCTCGGCGCCGAAGAGCTCGAGGAGCAGATCCAGAAGGTCTTGCTCTTTTCTCTTATCTATTTTTTGCTTTTTTAGGATCTCGCCGAGGGTCTGATCCCCACCTTTGTGCTGTGCAACTACGGCACCGTCGTCAGCACGTCTTGCGACGACATCAAGGGGCTCGCCGCGGTGGCCAACAAGTACAGTATAATGTTGTGTATCAGCTCGATTTATAGATACAACATGTGGCTACACGTCGACGCCTCTTCGTGGGGCGTGGCCTGGGTGGAGCCGAATTTCCGCGACGGCACCGAGGGGTTCGCTAGCTTTTTTTTCTAATCTCTTCTTTCAGCCTGGAAGAGGCGACATCGGTGTGCGTGAACGCGCCGCGTGCCTTCATGAAGAACTCGTCGCCGGCCGTCTACTGGACGCGCGACCAGCGCCAACACCGCGCTGCCTTCGCCGGTCCGCTCGGCTTCTCGTGGACGCTCCACCGCTACACGGCGTTCCACGGTCTGAAGCTCTGGGTGGAGATGCGGCTCTACGGACTTGCCGGGCTGAGGTCCCAAGTCAACAACGTGAGGATTTTAAATATAGAATTTTTCAATTTAATTTACTTGCTTCAGTTTGAAAAAAATGACTCCTTCTTTTCAGCTGGTCAGCCTGACCGCCAAGATGGAGAAGATGGTGCTGCAGCAGTGCCCACAGCTCCGGAAACTGCCGTGGGACACCAAGGCCAAGGGCAAGCTCGCCTTCCTCCTCCAATACCACGTAGCTGCGCCCTAACGCCCTTCTTTACACCCCATGCTTATCCCAGGACCCGAATCACTCGGTCGAGGAGCGCAACCAGCACACAGCCGTCCTGGCCGCCCACATCAACCGCAGCCGCCAGCTATACGTCGCCACCGGCACGGTGTGGCTCTGCTTTCTTTCTCTGACCTCCTTCAGTTTGACGGCCACACCTTCATCGCCATCGCCGTCGCCCACGAGCGGGCCACGGAGGACGAGGTGCGCACGTCGGTCGAGCTGCTCGCCGCGTGCGTCAAGGAGTTCACCGAGAAGCGCGAGAAGCTCATGAAGAAGCCGTCCGAGACGGTCGTCAACATGTCGTCCGAGCCGATCGCCGTCGCCGTCGCCCCGTCCAAGCTCGCCATCAAGGACGCGGGCCCGCCGAAGCCGCTCGTCACCAAGGAGTACGGCCTTCGATGTTATCTTGATCTTTTTTTACAGGCGCATCCCGCTGGAGGTACTCAAGCACTGCGGCATCGACATGGCCGCCCTCGAGAAGGCCTACGAGGACACGCGCACCGCCAAGGAGCAGCCGGCCCCGGCTTCGCCTCTCAAGCTGCGCGAGCAGCCCTCCAATGGTTCATCAAATAATTTTAGTGAATCTACTGATCTCCTAACAGTGACTGCAATGCCACCGCTGCAGCCCCGCACGACGTTCAGCGCCCCTGGCGGCGTGGCCACGACGCCTGAAGTCCAGACGGCCCCGCTGCCGTACGCCGGCGTGATCAGCACCGCCACCACCCCCACCGCAACAGCAGCCTCGCCAGTTGTTCAGGGTATTTTCAACACGGTCCTGCTCCACAATGCTTTATTTTCAGCCTCGCTGCCTCATGCCACCTCATCGGACAACGTGGCCACCGCAAAATCCTCGGCCGCCTCAGCTCGCGAGCTGTAGTCGCCATGCCGCCACTCGGTGTTTTTTGGTGTCGTTAAGCTGTCCCCCTTGCCCGCGTCGTCGTCTATTCGTCTACTGCGGGATGATGTGTGAACCCCCTCGCCCCGCTTTTTGTCCCATTCCTCGCCCCTGCCACCGCCACCATTCTACTCGTTGTATACCTCTGTGGTGCTCGTAGCCACGCTTCATAAACCCGTTAAATGTCGCCCGTCAGAATAAATGGTTCTTTTCGTACAATGTGTGTTGCCGGCGCTGATACAAATGATGTTGGAAAGCCGAAAGATTTGCCTGTTTTCAGGCAAATGCCTGTGCTTTTGAAGTCGTGCATTGCGACAGCTCATTCGATAGAGCTAGTGCGCCATCGACGTTCTAGCAAACATTCGATTCGGCCCAGACCGCAACAAGGACGAGCAAACGATGGGAACTGTTTATTCTGGGTGAGTACGGGTGTGTCAATGGCGAATCGAGTAAATGTCAATGGCCGGTCGGCTCGACGAGCGTCTTCATCTGGTGCGCAGCGTGGTGGGGCGTCTTGGAGCGCGAACGGGAGCGGGAACGTGAGCGCGAGCCTGGAAATTGGTGCTGAGGCGCTTTTTGCATCCCTCACCATTAAGCCCCCGCATCGTGATCCGGCTGTAGGGGTTGTAGGTGGAGCCGGGCGCATCGCTGGTCGTACTCTGAGCGATAGGCTTGGTTGCACATTTTCTCTTTGTACCTTAACAATCTCTTCCTCGTTGGCGGGCTGCTGGGTTCTCAGCGTGCTTGTCGGGCAGTTAGACTGCAAAAATAAAACTGTTATACCTTGAAGCTGGGTGATTGCCTTAATCGACGTGATCGGTTTGCAAGTGGTGGTGCCGACGGCCGTACGCACGTCGGGCGAGCCGGCTTTCTGCGCAGCCACTTTTGTTGGGTTGGCACGGTAATCAGATTACCTTCCTGCGGAACACTGCAGCAACCCGATCAATCAGCGGGCCAACGACCGGCGCCCCGGTGGTACCTCCCTTGAATAGCCGGATTCCCTAACGACGTAACTCCGCCCACCAATTCTTTAATCCGAAGGTGTGACAAGTAAATAAGATAGGCCATGCCAAGGAAACCTGCCATCGAGAAGAGCGCGTCCATTCTCTTGAAAATCTACGTGATTCGTCAAGTTCACCTACAGCAGGACCGAACTAAGAAGCGAGTAGAAAACGAAATGATCTCCCACTTTCACTTCCCCCCTTGCGCGGTAATTCCAGATGCAAACATCCCAGGCACGTTATAATTTTATGAGGCGGCAACAAAGTAAAAATGTCAAGCAACAACTGATTCTCAACAAAAAAAAGAACATGAGATGAGATTTCGGATGAGAAAGAGATGCACACGGTAAATCGGACATAAAGCAGCTGGGATATCCCGACGAACCGGGCTACGAAAAAACAGGCGGAAGGAAAAGCACATCGAAGAAAGGCTAGCAGCTGGAAGCGATTAGCGAACGGCCATAACGATATCGTCAATCTTGAGAATGGATCGCACGCATTCGGCGGCTTGTTTGATAGCAGAGCTGGAGACGAGCAGGGGCTGAAGAACGGCCTCTTCTCGCATGTCTGTCACGTAACCCTAAAGATTTTTGTTGAAAAAAAAAGAATTGGGTTACCTTGCGGACGTTGATTCCGAAGTCGCTGTGACCATTCGCGTGTTGTGTGCGCAACTCGGTGACGGTGTGGATCGGAGAAAGACCGGCATTTTCGGCAAGTGTGAACGGGATCTAAAGAAAATATATTATTGACGTCAGCATAGCCATCATCCATAAAACTCACCAGTTCCAAAGCATCAGCAAACGCCCTCCAGCAGTACTGCTCGGCTCCGCTGCGCTCCTGCGCAAGTTGTCGGAGTTGGACAGCCACTTCCATTTCCGGGGCGCCACCACCTAAATTCAGCTAAAAACTGAAAACCATAAATCTACCTGGAAGCAGGGCCTTCTTCTTCACCAAGCATCTAATCACGCAAAGGGCATCATGCAGAGAACTGAAACAATATTTTAACTTGGAAAAAGGACCCTACCGATCAGCCTCTTCCAACACAAGCTTGTTCGATCCGCGCAGAAGGATAGACACAGCCTGTCCTGGGTTTTGGACACCAGTAACCTACAAAATTGATACCTGGCTCAAAACAAAGAAAACTACCTTGATAACCTTGGAATCACCGCCCGTAGAAATCTCCTCAGCCAAATCGGCGCTACCAAGCGACTCGGCCACGAAATGGTCCAAAGAGGCAACGGGACGGCAACCGAGAATCTACAAAAAGAATTCATACAGCAAAATAACGCTGAAACGCACCTTCGAATAGAATTCAATATCGTCGCGTTCAATGTCCTTGACGACCATGATCTTCAGCTTGGCTAGGAAATGGAGTGCCATCTCCGAAACAGCGTCCCTAAAATTTTGTTGAAATCGAGTTCGTCGTTTGCAACCTCAAGATGCTCTTCTGGATAAGGAGCACGTTGCAGCCGGCGCTTTTGATCTGCTTGCAAATGTTGAGCAAGTACTGGCGCTCTTCCTTCAGGGCACGGTCCATTTGCGTGTAGTCGGAGATGATCACTTGGTTTTCGATCTGAAAACAAGCGATGGAATTGGTACAAATAAATTGACGCGATGGGCGTTAAAATCAAAGGATTACGTACATCCGTTTTGGGGGCAGAAAGCTGGAACTGGATGAGGCCGATCTTGGCCTTCTCGACGCGGGTAGGCCCTCCACGGCCCATCGTCTTCTGATCAATCAAGGCTCCCTCAATCAACTCGCTCTCCTCGACAGTCTCGCCCAGCTTCTTGATAATTTTGATCATCTAAACAAGCCGTGGATCACAAGGGGGATAAAAACATACGTTGAGGTTAACGTTCGTATCCTTAGCCGGATCGATGATCTTCTTGACGGCGTTGACAGCCATTGGGGCGAGCAGCCACGAGTGCTGCGAGACGACCTAAAATCACTTTCCGAGATTTTAAAAATTAATTCACCTTGCTGTTCAAAGAAGTGGTGGCCATCTTGACGAGCAGCTCATCGTTGCTGAGATCGACGGGGCTGCTCATCTTCTCCAAAATATTTTCAGCTTCGGTGGCGGCACGTTGGAAAGAATCACTGATCTTGGTGGGATGGATGCCTAAATAGCGTACACAAAATTTTTGAACCAATACCTTTGGAAAGAAGCGTCTGAGCAGCATCTAGCAAGGCACCAGCTGTGACGACGACAGTAGTAGTGCCATCACCGGCCTCAATATCTTGAGCCTTGGAAAGATCGACGAGCTAGAAAAAAAGCTAAATACTGAAAAACCAAGAAAGTACTACCATCTTAGCGGTCGGGTGAATGACAGACATCTGGTTGAGGATAGTGGCACCATCGTTAGTAATCGTGACGTCTCCATTGGCAGACTGAATCATCTTGTCCATTCCGCGGGGCCCAAGAGAGGTGCGGACAGCATCTGCGACGGCCTGAAACAATGGGTTGAAGCGAGGAGACCAACAATGAATCTACCTTTGCTGCAATAATGTTGCTGTTCCTGACACCGGCGGGCTTGTCCTTGTCCTAAACTAAAGTTTTAACACTTGGTAAAAGGCGGGTACCTGGAAGCACCGCTCCGCGCCGGAGGCAGAAGAAGCTTTTCCGCCAGCTGCAGCAGCAACAGTAGCAGGGGCCATTTCTGTGAGAAAGAGGTAATTGAGCGGAATCTTGTTTCAAAGAGAAGACGTTCGCGTGAAGCAGAAAAATTGCAAAATCGAAAAGGAATTTTGGCGGGACGCTGCCATTCTCTACCACGTTTATCTAACGGCCGGATCTGCTTCAAATGCTACTAATATTATTATCTACGAAAAGAAAGCCCAAATAAAGTCTAGAATATCAAATGCGAGAAAGAGCTTTGTTACGTTTGCATTTTTACACTGTTCGATGCATTTCCCGAAGGAACGAAAAAGGGCGTAACTGACCACGCGTGCGCATGGGCATCGCGGTGGGACCCGGAAATCTTCGACCCAATCGCTCTTATGCGACGATTTTCGGAGCCTCTCGCTTTTTTGTTTTAATCAATAAAACTAATTTTACAAAACTTCCATAAAGTTTTAATTTTTCCCGTTTCAGTCGAAATGCCTCGTTCAAAGCGCGAAAAAGAGGTCTCCTTCACCAAGGTCAAGAAGAAGACGCGCGTCACCAAAACCGGACTTGTCGACGAGGTATGCAGCAACTGCAGCACAACAAATTATGTATATCTTTTTTTAGTTGCGAAAATGCGTTGAGAGCTACGCCACGCTGTACCTATTTTCCGTCGAAAACATGCGCTCGGATCTATTCATCGAGGCACGGCAACATTTTAAGGTAAGCTTCGATTTTTCTTCGAAAAAAAAGTTCTAGGCAAACTCACGCTTCTTCTTTGGCAAAAACAATGTTATGGCTGTCGCATTGGGCAAGACAAGAGAAAATGAATGCCAGAAAAACTTGCACAAGATCGCGAACGCGCTGAAGGGACAGTGCGGGCTGATGTTTACGAACGTTCCCCACGAAGAAGTTGTCAAGTATTTTGAAGAATTCCGACACACCGATTATGCTCGTGGAGGTATTGTGTACATATATCTTTTTGCCACGAAAAAGTTTTAGGGCTCATGGCAACAGAGACCGTAGAGCTTGAGGAGGGTTTGCTGCCGCAGTTTGCCTTCTCTATGGAACCGCAATTGAGAAAGCTCGGCTTGCCGACAAAGTTGGACAAGGGACAGGTGAGGCAGTGTTCAGATTCTATAAAAGTTATCGCTTCAATCCAAGGATTATATTTCAGGTCGCACTTTACAAGAATTTCCTCGTCTGCACCGAGGGAGAGCAGCTCAACAACGAACAGGCAAAGATCCTCAAGGTGCTGGGTTACAAGATGAGCGAGTTTCACATCGTTCTCCACAAGAAATGGCAACGGTCGACCGGAAAAATTGAGGAGCTTGATCATTAAATTAGTTGTTCTGATTGTTACTTTGTTATACCTGATCGTTATTCCTTCCGTTGTTGTTTCCGTTACTGCTGGTTTTCTTTGTTCGAGATATACAACTAATAAATTTGTACAATTTCTTCAGAAATTTGCGCCACATTTCGATCATTTTTCGACAGCTATCTGCGGCAAGCCGCGCCATGATTGACTAAGCATCGGGATTTTTAGTAATGAAAAGACCAGCTGAAGGCCAGGAAAATAATGGTGAAACGTCGACGCAGCTTCAAAACAAGGATTTAGAGGGGCACGAAGAAGTCAAGAAAGCGAAAAGTATAGATTGCTGCTTCGTTTTTAACTCTTTTTAGCCTTACAATTCGAGTCCACGTTTTTGCGGTCGATTCCCGGAGCGGCTCAATATGAAAAATCATTTATGCACAGAGACGTCATCACGCATGTCATCGCAACACAGTACAGTTATTTCGAGCGTTCGGACGTATTTCTTTAGAACCGATTTTATCATCACCGCCAGCCGTGATGGCCATCTGAAGTTTTGGAAGAAGAAGTATGGCGAGGGTGTCGAATTCGTCAAGCATTTTCGATGTCATATGTGTGAGTAGTAGCTCTAAATTGCTAGATATTTTTAGTCCCATTTACCGATATCGTCGTCAACTTCAATGGAACGCTCCTATGTACGATTTGCGCAGAGGACAAGACTGTGAAAGTGTTCGATGTCGAGAATTTTGACATGATCAACATGTTGAGATTTGATTTTTCACCCAGGGCCGCTGCGTGGGTCCATCAAGGTTGAGCAAAACTTTTTATAAGGCAATTTTGTTTAGGATCGGATCTCCTGAACCTTCTGGCAATTAGTGATAAAGACAGCAGCAAAATCATTATTGTTGATGGGAAGGGGACAAAGGTATATTCGCTTACTTTTTCGATGAGGTGGTTTTAGGAACCTCTTCACGTTTTCGACTCACTGCACCGAAAGAGCGTTCGCCTGATAGAATACAACCATCGGCTTGACTTGGCAGTCTCCATTGATGATGGCGGGATGGTCGAATATTGGTGTGGCCAGAAGGTGAAACAACCACCATAAATATATATATCGATTTTAGGATGATTTCCAATTCCCGAACTTTGTCAAGTTTGACAGCAAGATGGACACGGATTTGTACGAATTTTTGAAAGTAAGTCGTCGGTTAAGACTAATCTTTCCGTATTCAGGCGAAAACCCTACCCGTAGCAATCGTAATGTCACCTGATGGGAAGCGTTTCGCTACGGTTGCCGAAGACAGGTACAGTAATAGACCTTTCTTGTATACCCGATTTGCAGAAAAATTCGGATATTCGATGTTCTCACCGGAAAGATCGAGAAGCTGATCGATGAAACAGTTACGAAATATCTCGACGGGGCCAAGGAGAGCCGAAGTTATGGCTTGCAAAGTATGGAATGGAATCGAAGAGTTGCGCTTGAAAGAGAACTGGACAAGTGGGTCAAGTTCCTTTGCACATTACCCATTTTAGGGAAAAGTCGGCAAACTTCCGCCACCTGAAGTTTGCGTGGGATTATTCGAGCAACTTCCTAATTTACCCATGCCCGCTCGGAATTCGCGTGTACAATGTGGTCACTGATGAGGTGGTGCGGACGATCGGACTAGAAGAATCTGTTCGCTTCACGGCGGTGGCTTTATGTCGCGCTGTACCGGATATCAGAGCGAGGTAAATCATGTTCAAGCTCCCTCTCATCTTACATTTTAGATTACAAGGAGCTGCAGCAACGATAGAAACCGAAGCGGCGGACAATCCTAATCTGAATAAGCGAACTGATCCCGATCCGATTTTGGTAAATTCCTGCTGTTAGACTCATTTATGGTATTTTCAGGTGGCCATCGCCTACAACAAATCGCGATTTTACCTATTCACAAATCAAGAGCCCTATTCCACCGAGGTTGACGAGGAAGGTGGTATTGGCCGGTAAGGAACCGAATTAATGTCCAAACGTGATGTTTCAGCGATGTTTTCAATGAAAAGCCTCGCAAGGAAGAGATGGTCACAGCCCTGGACGACGGCAGCGGATCAACAAAATGGTCCGAAAAAGCTATTGTCCATACTTCCTACGGCGATATCCATCTGCGTCTTTTCCCCGAGGAATGTCCGAAGGCCGTCGAAAATTTCTGCACACATGCTCGACGTGGATATTACAACGGGCATCTATTTCATCGCGTCATCAAGGCGTTCATGATTCAGGCAAGTTGTTTCATTGCACTGATTGCAATTCAAGCGAAATTTTTCTAAAAATATTTTCCAGACTGGAGACCCTTCTGGAAAAGGTACCGGCGGTAACTCGATCTGGGGCGAAGATTTTGAAGACGAATTCCACCCCCGCCTACGATTTGATGCGCCATACAAGGTCCTTCCTAGCCCTTCAAGCTTATACTGTTGTTTTTAGGTGGCTATGGCGAACGCTGGCCCGAACTCCAACGGCTCCCAATTTTTCATCACTGTCGTACCCGCAGAGTGGCTCGATGGAAAGAACACGCTCTTCGGAGAGGTGAATCGCGTTTCACCTTTCGCTTATGCATTTTTAGTTGACTGAAGGCTTCAACGTCGTGCAGAAAATCAACAACCTACCCACATACGAGAAAAGCGGCCGCCCTAAGGAAGAAGTGAAAATTATTTCCGTTACTTTAAAGTGATATGTTGTTACCTAATACATTGCTTATGTTGTATTTTTTCTGATCTCGTAGTGCGTTAAAATAAATGGTTTCAAATGGAGTGCGATACAGGTGTAGATAGTCTGTCGGCTGCAAACTACCGCCCCTAAACTGTTGATGAACAAATTGAGCCACAAGTTTTCAAAACATCACTTTTCGTTATCCATAACTGACTTACGGCAAGCAAGTCTGCAAAGTTGAGGAAAAAGAAAAGATCGTTTGGTGAAAAGCCGCTACAACTTTCTATGAAAAGTGTACTGTAGAATCAGAATCACTCCCATGTACGACTTTGGTTGCAAACGTTTTTCTTTCCTGCCCAAACTTCCCCAATTGCGCCCATCGCCCATCGATTAAGTTCACGCCTCTAGAACCTTCCTTCTAAGCAAAATTTTCATTTCAAATTTTCCAGGATGCTTGGCCGAATCCAGCCAAGACCAACCATGGGCGGCTTCGACGCCGACCAGGCGACGCACCTCCACAGGGCCGTCGTCGTCCGCGAAGTCGAGCGTGGCGATGGCGTACCGGTATTTTCCGATATTGAGGCTGATCTTGAGTTTAGGTGGATAGCGGCTACATAGCCTTTCTCACCGAGCCGTTCGAGCGCCACGAGCGGATGACGCTCGTCATCCTCGCCCGCCGCTCGGAGCTCCGCTTGGATCCGGGCCTGGGAGCTGCCGTAAGCTTATGCGCCTAGTCATGCAACTTTTATTTTAGGAACAAAAACGTCTGACTCGCAAGGCGCAGGAGCTGCTGATCCTCGGCGACGAGGTATTTCTTTCTTTTTCGCCTAAATTACATTTCTTAGGTCGGCTTCCTGCCCGGCGACGCGAGCGCGCACGATGGTTTCCTGCGCGTGCGGAGCTTCACGAAGACTTCAACCCCCAAGCAGCTCCCGTTCCCGGTCCGACCGGATCTTCAGGTAGTATTCTTTTTGACATTAACACTTACTCAATTAGATGAGGTTCACCGGCATCACCGACGAAGCCAAGAATTCGCGCATCTTCATGGAGATGGCCGGCGTGATCCCTATTCGTAAGATCCGAGTCTTTTGCATCTCAAAACCTTTTAGCTATCGAGATCGATGATTTCATTGTGCCGAACGTTCGAATGGGATTTTGGGCTCGGCTCACCGTAGATGCCGCTGCCAGGCGCGTTGTGGTACATTTGTTCTGTTGTAATAAATATATTATTTTAGCCCGTGTTCGTGGAGTACGAGAAGGTCAAGGAAGATCTCATGACGGTCAACCGAGCGGTAATGTTGACCCAACGTTTTGTATTAGTCTCTTTTAGCCATGGGCCAAAATCCCGGAGCGAACTGTGCATTTGCAATTGCAAGAAGAAGACGGCGCCCTGGTGATGGGATACAGGGACGATGACGAGGAATACAAGCACACTGATGTAAGATAAATTGGGCTGGCTTTTGTAAAGGGAAATTCAGATTCGTCGAAATGCCAAGTGCATCCTGACGGGCCCGACCACACTTTACAGCAATGAATACCCGAAGGAGCGTATTGTCCTGCCACACGCGAAGCGCCAGGAGATAATCGAGAAGATTGGTGAGCACATTTTTTTTTGCTTGTAAACTTGATTTGCTTTAGGCCACCAATTCTTTTGCGAGCTCCACTTCAACCAGACGCTCGATTGCTTCGTGGTCATGTCCGATGTAAGCTCTCACTGCTGCTTCTAATTAATCTTTTGTTTAGCTCAAGCCCGCGGGAGACAAGCCGTATATGCGACGGGAATACGCCAACAATCAATATGCCGTGAGTTTTGGTGGTTTACTTGTTATCTCTTGTTTTAGTTGGAAATCGGCGTTCGTGAAGTCGTAGACTGTCAAGGCCTGTTCCACTCCGAGCATTTCGGCTACATCGATGATCCGCACAAATTGTACGGTTTGGGGCTTAAATTATTCGGTGATGGACTTTTTTTTCTCCTTCTTTTTGATGATCGTATTTAGGCTCTACACCAACTACTTCACCAAATATCGCGAATCGATCTGCCGCGTTACCGTGATCGACAGTGTCCCGACCCGGTATGTCCTTTTTTGCCTCATTCACTATTCCCTTTTAGTATCGGTCATTTTCGGATTGTCGGCGTAGAGGAATCGAAGAAAAACAAGCTGCGGAAATTCATGCAGGAAAACGCGGTATTTTTTATCCAAATAGATCATTTCTTTGTAGGTATGTGTTTCGGACACCGAGGCCGTTGTCTACTCGCTGGACGGCACCGCATTGGCCATCTGCGGTTGGCCGATGGCGAAGATCAGGTAGATAGAATTTCGGAATTTGTGTATTTTCGAGTATCTGATTAGGTTCGACTCGACGGTCTGCCCCGGCTGGCGCCGCATGAAGCCTGGCACCAAGATCAAGATGGACATCCGATATGAACCTGGAATGGAGGTGTGTAAGCCACTTTTTTGGTGCTTTGTTCTTCCCAATGAGTCAGATTTTCGGGGACAGCTACCTTTTTTGCTTCGGACTCATTTTTTAATATTCGTAGTGTTTCTGCACCGTTTTTCTACCAGCCCTAACGTAAAGACTTCAAATTTTGATTTAAACATACTAAAAAGTTCTCGATCAACGTTACATATATTTCACGATTTTTCGGGGTTTTTAAAGTGAGTTTTTCCAAATTATCGCAATTATATAAAAATACTATTAAAATATTTTTCTTACGTTATTAGACATAGCTGGATTTACAGGCAAAAATGACCCTCTCGCGCCGTTTATTTAGACCTGTTTAGTCCTTCGTCGTCACCAAGTTCACCGAGCTGCCCGACACGATTCGTGTTTGCCAGACTGCTGAGGGAATGGTATCATTGAAAAACAAAAATTTTGACTTAATCTCGATTTAAAGCTCCTCTTCCAAACGAAGGCAGTCTGGGATCGAGGAATCCTGAAGAATCTGGCGGTGCTCACCTCGTCGGTGTTTGGCCCACTCGACGACCTGAAAGATGAGTGCCCGCGCAAGCCGGCCCCTAATAAGTAGGTTTTTTATTTTCCTGCAGTTTACTTTTTAGGGAATACGATCTCTGGGTGGCGGTCAGCTCGGCGGGATCGGCTAGCCTGCCCGCGGCTCACACACCCTTCAACGTCTACTCATGTGGCCTGGAGCAGCCGCCCAATACCACCGAGGTAAGGGGCTTGTTTTAGCTTACTAGTCCTTTTTGGGTGGCTATGGGGTTTTCGAATGTTGTATAACTCATTCGATAGGGCTTGAAATTCTAAGCAAGTCCCAGCTTTCGAAATGGTGAAGAAGAAAGAAAGAAAAACACTCAGCATTTTGTGAAAGTTTGAATTTGTTGGGAATTCCAGCCTCTCTAATGAGCTCTTTCAAGTCCTAAAACTCCACTACCGCCTAAAAACTACTCTTTTTAGTTCTAGACTTCTAGCCAGAATGATTTAACGATTTCAGCCGATGATGTTCATTGAGCAAGAGCCCGTGCGCCCCGTCGAGCAAGCGAAGCCGCGCGTGCGGTTCGCCCTTCCAACCGCGGCCACCGCCAGGCCGGACGCTGCTCTGAATGCTGCTACGGTATGACCTTATCTTGATCTTAAATCTTCTTTAGAATGCGTCTGAGATGCCCTCCCTGATGCGAGAAGCCGCTGCCGCACCATCGCTCGCTAGCAACCATCCACCACCCACACGCTTCTCGGTGCCAAAACATGCTCCGACGTCACCGGTTTTTTATCAATCCTCTTTTCTAACTATATTTTTAGCCCGTGTCGGCCGTCAACCACCCGCCCGGCCTTCCGATCAACAGGGGAGCTGCGGCCGAACAGGCATCCCATGATTTCCTACTTCACTTTTTATCTTCTAGAGAAACGCTGTCGAAGTCGGTCTTCCCCTGGCGCACGTCTCGTTGACTCCCAGTCAATCGGTAAGTTTTTATCGGGTTTCTCTAATTTTGTGTTGCAGGAATGCATGTCGGCCTATGTGCAGAGCACGCGGAAATTCCTGCGCCTCGCCGAGCTGGGTCTGGTGATGGACACCAACCCCAGCTCCGCGATCGTCATACAATTGACGAGGCGCGCGCTCGGATTGTTCAACGAGGTAAATTTTCCTTTGCCAATTTTTAACGGTTATTTTCAGGCCAAGTGCTGCCCTGAACGCGCCAATGGCCTGCCGAAATGCGGTGAAACCTGCCCGATAGCCGAGTTGTTGCATAATGTAAGCTTTATTAATTTTTAAAATATGAGTCGAGTATTCCAATTATTCATCGTCCTTTTCTAGACGACCTCACGCCATCTCGCCATATTCAAAGAGGACCAACGGGCGTTCGACGATCTGATCGACTTCTTCCAAAAGACGACCCTGGGCTAAAAATTCAATTCCCCGCATCGCTATCGTGTCATAATTATTTGCTTTCTTATGTCTAAATTCTTCACTTAAACGGGCATTGCTTTCGGGTAGCATTTTTCCTTGCCTTATCGTCCCCCATCTGTTGTCTTCCTCTTTATACGTCGCTCTCGGCTATCCCCGCTTGCCCAGACACCACTGCCCAGCCAGACACAGAGGGCGACTTCCCTTTCTATCCCCTTATGCCTCCCACCCCTTCAAAATGTTAGTTAGCTCCCACATTTCTGCATTGCGTTTGATACTTGTTCAGATAAATATATTTTAACGTACTCACGTTTTCCATTTTAACAACACAGGAAGGATTTCCATTAGATATTGCAGCGAAATTCAGCTACTCAGTAAGATCCCAGCGATTCAAGCAAATTTTTCGACCGGAAAAACTTTTCTAGCTTTTTGTTTGGCGATGCTGATCCGGTTCCGGCTTGGTGCATTGCGGAGTGTCCGCTTTGCTTCTACATCGAAATTGCCGCTGAAAGAGCCGAAATTTAGCGAGAGTGCTGCCTTCCAGGTAAAACTTAGACCTTGTATTTTCATGACTTTCTTTAGGGGAAACGATCAGGCGCCCAGTCGTTCGATTTCCAACCATTTCAGCGCAATTACTACGAGTCGGACCAGTTCAACAATCGGTTGGAAATTCTCGAAAATTGTATATTTGCTTTATAGGAGACTATTCTCGTTCCTCTCATCGCTTGCCGTCCTGACGGTGTATTTTGGGTGGCTTCGCGAAGCGTCTGATCTTGACGAGGTAATTCTGGCGGGTTTGACGGCGGAAATATTAACATTATTCAGATCTGGAACGCTCCACCGCATATTCTGACTTGTAACTTGGAGCGGAAAATGTTACATGAGCAAATCGAGCGAGCGCGACGAGAGAAGAGGCCTACGGAATTACTTGAGGTCAGTGCGCATGGCTTTCGGCTCAGGAATCTCTGTAATTTCAGGCAGAACTCTCGTACATTGACGTGAAGGAAGAGGCGATGCGTCTTGAATATGAAAAGCAGCTGAAACAGCGGGCCCGAAAATAAGCATTCGACCCGAAGCATACCACTTTTAGACATAGCCATAGTTTCATTGTTTTTTTTCCCATTTGTCGTGTGGATTGATGTACGTGTATTTCGCTTTCCATATTATGATGGTCGTTAGAAAGCCGGATAAATGTTTGCCCCTTTCCAGGTAATGGACGTGGATTTCCTGGATCGAAACTATGCCCTGGCCTATCCAGAAGAGCACGACTGCATTCTGGATCTACAAGGCGGTTGGTGAAATCTAATTTAGTTTTTTATCCCCCTTTTATAGCCAATGCAAATTGTTGCAAGTTCAACCGATGGGGCTCGTTGATAGCGGTGGGAACGACGGACGGCCGAATGTATATCGTGGATTTTGTGACGAAGGGAATTGTCAAGGTTCGTATTGCAGCAATTGTTTTTTTTAAACTTTTTGATTATAGCATTGGACGGCGCACGTACAGCCAATCATGGCGCTTTCTTGGTCGAGGGATGGCCGGAAATTGTTGACCGGTAGGGATCGTCAGTTATGATCTTTAAATTCGTTTTTCCTAGGCTCTGCCGACTCGACAGTCGTTGTCTGGGACGTGCTAACAACGATTCCACTTCACAAATACAAGTACTCAGCGATAGTCGTTTCCGCGCTGTTCAATCCCCGGTTAGTTTTCTCCTCTTTTTTTTCTATATTTTTTTACCTAATTTCCTTCCTTCAATTTTTGTAATTTTCTAGGAACGACAACCAGGTGGTGGTCCTTCCCTTGGGCATGTTCCCACTCTCCGAAACGATCGTTGATGGCCGGCCACAACACTCTGTCGTTACCTGCGACATCCCTGGCGCTGGAGACGAAGGCGTAATTCTTTCAGACATTGATATTTATTTCGAAACTTAGGTTACAGCAATTGCCTTCGACCGACGCGGCAAATACCTGATCACCGGGACCAGCAAGGTACGAAAATATATTTGTCACACGTTCTGGTTTTTAGGGCCGCCTCTGCATCTACGACGCGAAAACGCTGAAGCTTGTCAACCACCTGCGCCAAAACAGCCAGCAGCAAATCCGGAACATCATCATCCCACGGCGCCACAATCAACTGCTCACAAATTCGTCGGATCGTGTCATTAGGTGCTTCGACCTCGACGAGTTGATAACGAAGCCGAAGGGTGCGGTGGTGGACCAGGCGCAGAAGCTGTTGGACATCGTTAATAAGGTATTTTTGTGTCGAAAAGCTACATAGAAAAAAATTCCTGGACTGAAGCATAATCAAGGTCATTTATATTTTTTTACACCGACAAATAAAAATCCCCACCAACAATCCACCACAAGAAAGTTTTCCATTTGCCAATGATCAACTTCAGGCGGCCTGGAAATCGGTGTGCGTCTCCTCGGAGGGGGACTACATCTGCGGCGGCTCAAACAAGTCGCACTCGCTGCACATCTGGGAGCGCAACTCCGGGTCGCTGGTCAAAATCGTGCACGGCACGAAGGCGAGTGTGCGTGGCTGAGTCGTTTCTTTACCCTAAATGTGGCTTGTGGAACTACCCCGGGGGGATGATGTTTAATCTGTGTGTCAACCCGCCCTGTTGCTAATAATTTTTGGTTTATTTTACCGGATTTGCTGGATCTGCTAACGTTATTGCAAAATTTTTGATGCATATATTACGGCTAAAGTTTGATTTCGCTGAAGCTAAATTTCATTATGCCGAAATGCAGCCTATTTAAATTTTGGCGTAGTGTTTTTCGGCGTAATGAATCCGTGTTTATATTTTTTGTATAAAAATTTTGCGAGAATTTCCAAAGGCAAATTAACGACGGGAATTGGCGTATAATGTAGTTTTAGATGTTCACCACCCCTTACATAATTTTCTCTAGCCAAACATATAACAACCCGTCATTTTAGGGCGAACTACTGCTCGACGTCCAATGGCACCCAACGCGCCCAATCATTCTCTCCGTGGCCAACGGCATCGTCAGCGTATGGACCCAGGCCCACGTCGAAAATTGGTCGGCGTTCGCCCCTGAATTCACGGAACTGGAAGAAAATGAAAAGTGGGACGCTTCGGTTTTGTGGCACATATTCCGCTTTCAGACACAAAGAAAAGAGAGCGAATTCGATCTCGACGACGAGGATGCTGATGAGGGGGAGAATAAAGACAACCTGGTGGGTAATATTAAAGGGCTGCCGACGGCATGTGTCGATCCCCCCCCCCCATCAACAAATTGGCAAGTAGCCAACAGGGCAGAGAGCGCGCCCTGGGGAGAGGCGCAGAGACATTTTCTTTCCAGCGCGTAACCGATTGACTATGCCGTCGGCATCCCTTTAACGGATTTGTTGTTGATTTTTTAAAATCTGGTTGCCAGAATGAAACTCGAAAAGGTTAAATTCTGTTTGAAATTTAAAATTTTCTTAGGTCTGATTAGTTTAGCTTCATGGTTAAAGTTTTAAGTAGAGTTTGATCTTCAATTAAATTTGTTATTTTTCAAGTGCTATTTTTCCTGTTCAGGATAAAGCCGAGGAGGAGCTGGACGTGTGCGGGCTGAAAGCGGGCGACATGCTCTGCTCCTCCGACGAAGAGGACGATCCGGATTTGCTGATGCCAGATCCGAGGTGGACTCTTTGCTTGGATGGCTTATTTTTAATCCGTTTGTAAAAATGAAAGGTAGAAAATGGCAGAAATTGAGAATTTAAAAATTTTAAAATGTTAATTTTTAGAGGCGAAAAGGGCCCGCTATGGTTCATCCCCGCTTGCCCGGACATGGAAAATATGGACGCGCCGACAACACAGCCAGGAGGTGCGTGTTTTTGGGAATTTTTTTTACGATTTTTTAGACGTACTCCACAAGCCCGTTTCACAATTTGACAACATCACCTCTGACGATTTGGAATGTAGGTTTTTCTTTGAGTTTGTTTTGTGGCTCGTCATGTAGTTATTCTTTCGAGCCGAAATACTATTATTTTTAGACCGGAAGCGGCCTGCCGCCGGCGCCGTCCCAGTCGCTTCTAAACCCAAGAAACCTAAATTGTAACATGTTTTTTTGCTCATGTAATATGCCTCGTGCGCTACGGGTTTTCCTTGCATGCCTGCCCAGATAATAAAGATCTCATCATGATTCAAAAAATTATTTTTTATATTTAGAGACTAATTTTTTTTGGAAGATTTTTTCTAGGGTTTTTATCGAAATAAAGGGTGTGATTGTACGTCGACTTTGGCTATTTCTGCGCTGAAAAACTTTATCAATTCTAATGAAAAACTTGACTTTAAGGGAAAAAAATCGCATTTTTGGAGCTAAAATGATCAAATTCATAGTTTTTTAAAATCATCCGGTGGTCAATTGAAATGTCTGCTTCACAAGCTGGACCTATAAAAAAGCGCGAGCGAAAAGCCACAAGCCCGCAGCAGCGACAAACAGCCCCAATGACGGTTGAAATCGGTTGGCCGCCGTCTCGTTCTCCATGGAAACTATTATAGACTGACAGCGGTGGCGCCTGATTTTTACGATTACGTCAAGAATACGTTATTTCGTTTTATAGTTAATACTTGCATCTTGTATAAATTTTTCATAAAGATAGCTCCGATCTATTACTAACAAGAATTCAGGCGACTCGACGGCCGCTAATTAACCGGCCGCGGTGGGCGTATTTGTGGAGGCCGCCTTGTCCCCGGGGTATTTTTGAAAAATGCAGAATGTGCGAGTGGTGAAAATATTAGTGAAAATTCGACTTTAATGGATTGATTAAAGTAAAGTACTACTAATGGGTTGGGGCATCAATTGATCAGCTGATTGATATCTTAATCTTTTTTTTGTTTGTTTCTCATAATTTTTTATGTGAAACCTGACGGGCTTCAAGCCAGTAAAACATCTAAAACTGAAGGTTTTTTGTTTTCCGACAATTAGGCTTTGTTCGACGAATGCAAAAGTGCGGGGCTCGTAAATTAAGGTGTAGAAAAAAGCAATAAGGTTTTCTTGCGGCGTTTTAGGGCTCGGAATCAAATAAACACCCGGTGTGAGGTTTGATCAGTTTTCGAGCATCAATTTTTGTTTTTTTTTAAGCTACTTTTGTACAACATTTTTGTTCTCGGCATGTTTAACATTTTTCAGAAATTGCGAATTTTGCGTCTGGATTGACTACTGATTTTTCGGTACTCGCCTTTTAGCGGGGGAGGAAGATGATTTTTGTTATGTTGATCATACCAATTCTACTTTTTAAGGCATTTTTTGAGTAGCTTTGATTGCTAGGGCCTTACAAACAAATTTTAATTTTGAAAAGTGAAAATGCCGATTTTTTGATAATTTTTCATACAGTTTTGACCCAAAAGTAAAATTATTCTAAAAATTTAGATTTTTTGCCTAGAAAATGGTGTAAAATGCTACAAATGGTACAATTATATTTAGTTGTGGGGTCGTACTGGTGCGCTGGGAAAGCGCTAGACCCCCCAATAACAGTCCAGTACCGAACGATTTTTTCAAACGGCACGTGAGCACTTTTAAACGCTTTAAAAACCACCGATTTGGGCGATTTTCCCCGAATTGAATGTAAAGTTCACCCCTGGTTGGTCGCCCCGGTCCCATTCATTTAGTGCAGCACCTTTGACTGCGAGGGATTGGGTATGGGCCAAGGGTCCCGCGTGACATTTCTCGATCCCGGCCGGCCCACCACTTCGTCAGCCAATTCAAGAACTTTCCAGGCTTGATGTGGTCGGTGGGAAACAGCTGCGTTGATTGGAGGGGTGTAGTTAGGGCCCGTTTGATATAGCGGGTACCCGGAAGGGCGAACTTGCTGGGAAAGCCTTGTAGCGAGGTTCTCGGCATCTCGCAATATTTTAGCGTAGAACTTGCTTGGAAACTACGGTGACCAGACTTGCTACTTTTCCGGGGGGGTACTCTTCTTTAGATTCCATTCTTCCAATAGAAAAAGGGGGAAATGTTTCTAAACTTTTTAATCTTCTTAAAGTAAAACTTTACAATTTTTATAGAAAAACACAAAAATCCGGATTTTCAGATCCTACTATATATAAAAAAATAGTGTCTGTGTGTGTGTGTGTGTGTGTGCATTTGCATGCAACTTCCGTCCGTATGTTCCAGTCGTATCTCGATAAAGGAAGTACTTAGGGGTATGTTCGATACGTCATTAGGTGCGTAATGGGCTGGAGATGACTGCACACCTATTAGATTTCACAAAATATGATGTTTTCGGCATTAAAATTATGTTTTTCATGGAAAATCGGACACCCCACTTTGTTAGGATCAAATTAGCATGCCCCGGAAGTCGCGGTAGCCTATATAAAGGGGTGGAGAGAGCATTTTTCATTTTTCGTCATCCGAAGCCGCGAAAATTATGCAAAGCCAAGAATATCATTGGAGAAGACGGGGCCAGGGTTGAAAAGCCGCGAAGCGGTTTTTCAACCCTGGTTTTTTACCAAAAATTTTTCGATTTTTTTTTGTATAAGTTTTTAGATAGTTTTTTTCGTTTGAAATATAGTCAAACTTTACTGAAAACAATGTTAAAGCGCTTACTAAGACGCTACTAGGATTTATGGCCTTATAGGAAAAAAAAATTAGCCTCCCCGCGATAGCGCGAAAGAACCACTTCCTAATAAACCTGACTTCATGCTCGATTTTACACGTTTTTCTGCCTGTTTCGTAGCGGTTAGTTAGCCGCCGCTTCATCGAGGTTCTCTCGAAAAAAACTGGTAATGACGTTTTTCCTTTTTAAGACATATTTTTCCTAATGAAACCGACTTCAACCCATTTTCATCGTCTCTTACCTGCCTTGCCTCCCTTGCGAAACCGAGCGAATCGTCGCAATTTGCCGCTTGCCGGCGCAAGACCCCCAAATTGGCGGAGCTCGGGTTGTAAATTGGAGCCCCGGTGTGGTGGGAGCGGTTGGGGCATTCGGGCGGTAATACTATCGAGACGGCAGGGAAACGCGTTCCGTGGCCCCGGGTTGCTGGATGATCAGCAACATCCCGTTGTTCACGAAGGCGGTGAGTGGTAGTGTAAAGTTATACCAGAGTTTATTTCGATTTTTTTTCCAATTCAGTTTTAGGAGCTTTCGCATTATCGGGGGGAGGGGAAGAGTTTTTCTATAAGCCTAGAAATGCCTAACAACATAATAGTAGGGATTTTGCGAGATTTAAAGCCGAAAACCATCTAAAAATCCTAGAATAGTTTGAAATTTTGGTCGAAAATCGGTCATTTTTGGTCCAAAAAATTACATTTTTGTATTTCCAATAAAAAGCTGTCGAGTTATATTAGAAAAATGCGACCCAAAAAACAGTAATTCCCCCTCCGATAATGCAAAAGCACCCCATTTTTTGCTTCAAACTTTTGCCACTAATAAAACCGTCTTTCCACGCCTACGCAACGCGCCTTTAGACACCATCTCTGACGTATTACAGCGTTTTTGGGAACGGAAACCAGCGTGTTTCCTAGCGTTTCCTACGGAAATTGTTTTTCCTAGCGTCTGGCCGGGTACAATTCAGAAAAAGCGGTGAGCGCAACGCGAGACGACGCCCTGGAGCAGGGCTATATTTAACAGAATTTCCCCCGTAATTTTGGCTGATTTCCGGCGCGGCCCGGCCCGTGGAAAATACGGAATTTTGGCTCCGAAACGCGGCGCAAAAGCTGGGGGGAATTTTATGCTTTTCATAGCGCAAATAATGTGACGATATATGTGATATTTTGGCCGAATTTAGGAAATTTGGGATACGATAAGACGAGCGTCATTTAGGAATAGCAGGCATAATTCCGGTAGACTAAAATTTCGACAGCCAAAATCCCGACATCCAAAATACCGACAGACAAAATCGAAATGATCCCGACAAAATCCCAACATATATTTTTGACGATTTTTGACGTGTCGCGATTTTGGCCTGGGGGATTTTGGCTTGTCGGCATTTTGGTCAGTCGCAATTCTCGCTGTCCAGATTTGATTGTCGGGATTTTGGCTCTCTGTATTTTGTCGGTTTCCCGTCATTAGCCACTCAAATCCGACGAAACGCGCACCCTAAACTTTTGTTTTTGGCTATCCACCTGCCGGGAACTTGCCGAAGACGTTGGCACCCAAGAAAATGAGATTTTTCCATTTTGTTCTTGTTTTCCAGCTGCCCCTGGTTACTTCCAGACCATCCATGTCCGATGGGAATTTTTTTTTGGGGGGGGCTGCAGTCTGGCGATCATGGATTTAGTGTCATTTGTCATTTATGTGTTTTTTGGCGCCACCTGAGATAATTATTAGCCAGGTTTGGCAAGTCTGTAATTTTGGCAAAAACGGTACAAGGTTTGTTGGGGAAATTGGAAGAGCTTTTGTGATCAGTTCATGGGATTTTGAACGTTTTGCAACCAACTACATCGATGTTTTCAGTACACCAACTACATCGGTGTTTTCGGTAGTATTCTAGCGTAGCGTAGCGATATTTTAAGAGGTTTTGCGGTCAGGATATTGATGTTGTCAATAGTATTCTAGCGTAGTTGGGCTCGGTAATACGTAATTTGAGAATTTTTTGATATTTTGATCGCTAGAAAATCGTTTTTCATACTTTTATGATGTTTTGGAATCATGATACTGAGTTGCCAGGAGTATTCGAGTGTAATTCACCTTCGAAATGATCAAAGTTGAGTATCTAAACGGCCACGAAATTTTTCTCAAAATTCGTTGGCTTCTTCTCGATGTCCATAGCAATCCCGCGTAGTTTAACAGCAAAGTTTTCCACCGCAACTTGCTCAAAGTGTAAAATCGCGTTTCCGATAGTTTTTCGCTTCCGCTTCCGCTGCCGTGCCACTCCTCCTTACACGTCATAATTGTGCGCTTTGCAGCCGAACCGCCGACGTCGCGCGTCACGGCTCGGCTCGTGGATGTGGCGCACGTTTGTCAAGTCGTCGACCCCAGATCCGGATAGTCAGGAGGTAGGCGAAGATAATTCGAAGCTAAGCCGAAGCTACGCCTAAGCTAAGCCTATTTCTAGGAAAACAACAACGCGAAAGAAGCATTTCTCGAGGACCTAGAGGTGCCAGCCGCCGAT